AAAATTGAACAATTTTTAACAAATTATGGAATAATACATGGAATGACCTTTCTGATAGGAGTTTAATAAAGGAGTCGATGTCATAATATAATTAATTCAAACTGCTGAAAACTCTATATAGTTCTAACATACACCTGTCCTATTTGATGCCATGACTTGAGGCTCAATGTCACACATTTTATGACCCACTGTAAAAATGAAGCATGTTTTTGAAATCTAGCTATAGTGATATTAATTTAATTATTTCCAACCATATTTCATTCAGATTTTTTTATTTCACAGCCTTATACTGGAGATCTTAGTATGCAGGGGTCATTAACAGAAACTGTAATAAAGTCCAGAATTCATTTGTAATTTTTTTTCTCTATGACACCATACCACTGGCGGATCAAGCTATGACACCATACCACTGGTGGATCAAGGGGAGGGGCCCTCTTGGGTGGGCCCAGGAAAAAGTTTTGAGCCCAAACCATGTTGAGCCCAAAATTAGTGGGCCTTTTTGGGCATTATTTGGCCTTTTTGAGCCTTAAATTTTTGGATATAAGGACCCAAAAAGATTTTCCATGCAAGAGAAGATTTTTTTCATGATTTGAAATGTGACCCCCCCCCTTTGTTAGCTTCTAGATCCACCAGTGATATCCATGGTAACAACAATTTATTCAAGATTTCTTTATTCAGTAAAGTTTCTTTAAATGGGCTCCAGCCCCAAGATGAGAATACAAAAAGTTCTTAAAGCCACACACATATTTCTAAATTATAAAGTTCAATCTATATTCATTGAAAATAGCTATATTTTGAAATAGGGGAAGTTTACACATTTATCCTCAAAACAGCACTCAAAAATTTGAGTAAATACTTAATCTAATTTTCAATTTCAATTGACAACTTGTATATATATGATATCAAATAAAAATATCAATTCATATCAAAATCAATAAAAATATCAATCAGATCAACATTATGATAAATAAACAAAATAAAAACTGTAAAATATGCAATTGCAAAATTTGCATTATGTAGATATCATTATGTGAATTGAGTACATTATATAAATATTTTGACTGCTTACCCAGACATTAAATTGGATTAGCAATAAGCCCATTAATCCGTGTTAATCTGTATTATTTTGATAATAAATACAATTTGCATTTCTTTCCACTTGATAGTAACCTTCATCAAGGCCGGGAGCATGGCGAATAAATCCAGATTAAGAGGGGTTGTTGTTCTTTTATATAACTATTTATCCAAATAATAGCAAGTTTGTGAAATTTTTCATGGACAAGTGTAAAGCAGATATGGATTAGTCTTCCATCAAGCCAAGGAGGGAGGCGTGGGGGGGGGGGTAAGGGCTACAATGGGCCATAGAACTTAAGTGATTTCTCACAACAAGGTAAATAAATGAAAAAAAAACAGGCAAAATTAATGGATATCATAAATTCAACATGGATAAGTTGAAGAGTCCCTGAAAACAACAGGCGATTTTATGAAAACAGGTGAAAATCGCCTGTTGCCTGCTGCTGATGAAACCCCTGTTTCTATTCCTGAAGATTTCTATAGAAGCAAAATCAAATTATGGGAAAAAGAACAAGATGGGTACAAAGAAAGTGACAGAAGCTAGTACATTATGTAGACGAAGCTCTCTTTTAGGGTGCAAAAATGTAATCAAACTATGGGAAAATGGTACAAAATTGGCAACAATTTAAAGTAACAGAGCCTAACATATTCAGTAGATGAAGCTCTCTCTTTTGAAGAAGAAAAATCTAAATTACTAGAAAAAGTTACGATGGGCTAGATGCAAGACTAAATAGAAAAACATGAACTAATTTAGCCAAACATTAAATCTGAAATATTTCAATGTTGAATTTATTTTTCCTGTGGGAAGACACATCTTGTTCTACCAAGGTATTGCATGACTGAAGGAATACACTGCTTTAACAGTATGGGGAATTCATATATTGGAAAAATATACTGAGATTTCGCATGATTTGAACTACTTAGACACATAATTTTATAAATGTAAGAATGTAGGTGCACATAAAAATATAGCCCTCAGAGAAAAACAACAAAATCTGGATACTGTTGAGACACATTTACCAGTTCTGCTTATTTCAACATACTGTTCATTAAAAACATGAACTATACAAGTTGTATTTCATGAAACTTGAAAAATAATGAAACATGTATCAATCCCTGTTTGAACAGTATCGAGGTTAATCAATGTTTTTATCATATGCTCTGTAAAATGAAGTCTTCTCATTGGTCAGTTCCTGTGCTGTACCAATCTGTATTGCTACTGAGACTGTCCCCATTGATCATCTCCGTCGTAATACAGAAAATATTGGTACGGAGGGGACATTCTCAGTAGCAATACAGAGGATCACATAATAAAAACATTATAGAATGATTTGAAGTGCAATACATGATATATTCTGCTCTAAATATTCTGTATTGGCACTCGACTTTGTCTTGTTCCAATACAGAATTTCTCAAGCACAATACATCCTGTATTGCACTTCAAATCATTCAATAATGTTGTGACCTGAAATTGTGGTCTGTGACCCCCTCCCCCTCTACCTGACTAAACACCTCTTATTTGCAAGGGCTTGTAGGGAGAACATAATTTTTAAGCTACCCATTCAAAATTATTCCAAGTTACCTGATTAGTTCAAAGGTAACTAGTAGGGTAAGTTTATCAAGAACTTGTAGACTTGTTGAAGTGATTGTTGATATTCGATAACACCTATCAATATTTCTCAGTCTACCTCACAGAATCAGCAGAACATATATAAGAAGGCTAGCAATTTTGCCAAGAGTGTAGACTATATCAGATGCAATAAATGTAATGATAGGGTATAAAATATGTCAAATAAGATGTAATAAATTGTAATATTTTTTCATGAACAACCCAAATGCCTGTGAGAATTTCTATTTCATCATGGCGTAAACAAAAAATTATTTACAACTTCAAATTGTTTGGATTCCAGATTATTCATGTATTCACGAAGACTGTGCACCCCAAAAGAAATTTCCTCATAAGATTGCATATAAAAGCCAGTTTTTGTAAGACTCTAATTCTTCTGTTCTTCAATTGCATTTTTTTAATAAATTGTTTAAAATTGGTAATTTGAACAGGTTTTAATACATGTCAAAATGGGATTTTTGAATGGTTTTCTATACTTTTTGAGGAGAGTGTACCAACCTTGCCAAAAGCAGAGTATTTATCAAGATTCTTGCATCTGATTAAACTTACGAATAATAGTGCATTTAACTCAAAGTGTAGTCTAACAGTCTTTTCAGGGATCCAAGGGTCCAAGGGTATTTCACCGCTTTCAATATTTTTGTTTTGTAAGAGAAATGAAGGTTCCTGCTTTATTCAATATCGTTTAATTCCTGCTCTGAATAAAATATATGATAGCTATTCAATATTCAAGCAGGAACCAGGATGATACCCTTGTGCTTGACGATATTCTAAACTATAGTTCTGACATTTTAAAAAATTGGATTAAAATGTCAGAAAATAGAAAGTATATATTTATATCAGTCAAAATAAATGATTCGTCTGCTATATACCAGCCTATATAGGATTCAGTTATATGTACTTTATGAATACCATGCGACATATGTGGCCTATGAATGAAATATCTAATTAATCAAATTTACTATATGGGGCACGCTGACCTGTCAAATATATTTCATACAAAGTTCATACAAAGAGATACATGGTGGCTGGGTTTTAGGTTTTGACTTACAATCATAAATAAAATGGGTTTTGAGTTAGTGTGAATATATTAACGCATAATGAGGGTTTTATGGACTTCAGTTGTAATTCATCAAAGTTGAAATTATATTCAAAATAGTTTTTGACATTTTTACTGGTAAAATTGCCATATTGCTAAGTGAATAAAAATATAAAGACCATGTACAACTGTTGGCCATTCGCTACATAATTACCCTCATTTCATGTATTTTCAGCTTTCGGGGAGGGGGCTATTATTAAATGCATAAGACTCCTTAAAACAAGGTATGATAAAATTTTGACACCTCATGTTTTTTGAGGTAGGCTTTAGGAAATTTGTAACTTTTATGCAAAATTGGATCTTATGTCGTAACAAGATAAGATTTTACCTCAAAAACATGAGATATTTGAGGTGCCATAATATTAATTTCCCCTGGCCAGATATTCTTTCAAAATCATGCAGTTTTTCGCTATTCTGAGCACTTTTGTATTTTCGTTTTTTGGTGAAAAACTGTGAAAAAGCTCCTCCTTTGGCTGGCAACGGGCAAGAAGTATAAAATTCCCCTAAAGATCTGAACCATTCCCTTCTTCTACAGATGCATGGAATAAATCACAAACTAGAATTGTCGATAAATCCATAGACCATTTTGGCCCAATGCTTTAAGGTTCAGCTGGAAAGTAACATTTTGGTAAAAAATTGCTATACCTGCACATGTTATTTTCTGGTACAAAATTAAGTATGAAGGCATATGTGTATTTCCTTGCTTTTTTCAGGAAAGTATCATTACACTGTCTTCTTTTAGAATATCTGGAAACAGGTCAATGGTAGCTCCTGTGTTGTCTGGAAACTTTGAAAGAAAATTTGGAAAAATAGAAAGTGTGAAATATCAGAATTTCCTGGAGTTCCCATTGAACGCCTACCAGATATTTTAAAAGAAGACAATGTAATGATACTTTCCTGAAAAAAGCAAGGAAATTGACACATGGCTTCATACTTTATTTTGTACCAGAAAATAACATGTGCAGGTATAGCAATTTTTTACCAAAATGTTACTTTCCAGCTGTACCTTAAATACATTCATTCCACAGCCAAATAAATCAAATATGGCCCATTGCCAGTATGCATTCCACAAAAACACCTTTGTCAAGAAATCGTTCTTGACCACACATATTCAAGGACCTCACAGCGTTATTGGAACCACGATAAACATCAAAGAACATGGTATTCCGATGTTTAATGGTTAGAACTAAACAATGGACCTACCTCCGTTACTTGCCATAGTCGCTGTCATCAAGAAAACACTGATCAAAACTTGGAGTAAAATCCCATGCGCCATGAATCGCATGTTTACATTTTTGGAGTAAACTTAGCTTGTTTTGTTTTTAACCTCGTTTTTATGCATATCTCGGCAAATAATTTAAGTAAATTGTTTTGTACGACGTCTATGGTACATTGTTCGTCCTTTAATATATTCCGTCACATATCCTGGATGTTTATTTTCAAGTTACGCACGATTGAAGCGAGAGATCAGGGACCTAATTTCACTTTTCCATGATTCAAAATTCAAGTATGCGCATGCGTAGAAAAAGGGGCGGGTCTTTCAAATGCATGATTCGATTTTTCAAAACATACGTTTTGAATGCCATCTTTAAATTAAACTTTGAAGTATTTTCCTGCTTTAACGACTCCGAGAATATTGTATTGGATTTACCATATAGTCATCACATATTTCTATTTTCAACGAGAAAGGAACTCATAGAAGGCCCATACCTCTTAAAACACGGAGTGATGTAGGGGAGAGCGGGATAAGACGGAACGAAAATCGACACTTACATGTAGGCCTATCTTCGATAAACTAGGCCTACTCTTCATTAGGCCTAGACAATAGACATGGGTTTCTTTGAAATTGTTAGTGATATTTTACAAAGCAGACCTACTTAAATGATATACAAAATTGTTTATGCAAGGGGCGATCTAAAAATGCTCTTATGATACGACGTCAGATACTGTACATCGCGGCATTTTACTGCATTTTTACATGCGTTCTTACTTTTAAAACCGCAATATCTCGACAGCAAAATCATATTTTTCTACAATTTTTCGTCATCAGTTGAACACGTATGTCCATGAAATATTTTGCCTATCAGAATTCCAAATAACTGATTTGTGACTTTTTAAATGCGAATCACGCAAGCCGTATTATTCCATAGTTAGCATGATATGCATGGGATAACATGTGAAAATAAAAACGGTATTTTTGTAATCAGTGGTAAAATATGATATTTTTGACAAATTTTCACTTAACCATAACATACGGTTTTTTAGCCATGACATACGACGTCGTATGCGATGGTTTATGGATTTTTGCTACTTCAGACTCAAAACGAGGCTAAGTGTCAACATCGCCGGATCGTCTGGAAATTCGAATTAAATCACTTAATTTCCGACGATTCTGATGATGACTTTAACTATGGAATAAAAAGAACATCCTATGATTTACTCGTGATATGATTTTAATCCACTCATGGATATTGATATCTGCACTCTCTCGCTACGCTCGCTCGTGCAGATATCATATCCATTCGTGGATAAAAATCATATCACTCATAAATCATAGGATATCCTCTATTTATGCGACTTTATATGCTAAAACCGGGTGTGGACTGTAACATTTTGAAGAAAAATGATTTCAATTTTAAACGAAAAATGAAGATAACTTTTTCATTTCTTAACGGATCTTTCTCAAACTTTCACAATATTTAAATTCACCATTTTGAAAAAGACAAACAGATTCTGGTTGATGACGTCATAATATAACAATGCTAACTTAACGCTTATATTTATGCAAAAAAAGTGTGGACAGGCAGAATTTCGTACCAACAAGATATATATTTTGATCAATTAAACATTAAATCGTTTGAAAGGTGAATTATTCTTTTTTGATTCCCGAAAGGCATATCATATTCTATATTTTTATCAAAAAACTATATCATTTCGATTGAAATTCAGTCTGTAAGAAGCATAAATTGAAACAAATATGAAGTGAAGCCATGTGAAAAATTCACAAAATTACGTTTCATTTTTTGAGTTCAAATATTTCTAATTAAGGGATAAACATTCAAAACTTTTCAATGTTTCAGCATGTTCTTTTAAATATACCCCTTAGCTTACTACATACAATTAATTTCATTTAATTTGATCCAGTATATATTGAGAAAGACATCATTTTATCACCGCAACCCCAAGTGAAGCCTTTACAAAATAAGACGTTATGCCGTTAGCGTATTATATGTTCTCCTTTATTATTCATTGCTTCAAATAAATAAAACTAAATATTCGAGTTAAAATCAATTACAAATAATGCATTTAACAATCCTTAATATCTTCCCGTCTGTGTATATCAGTTGAATATGACAAGGGGCACTTTGAAAGTGTCTAGAAAGACGGTGCGACAACGAGAGCGCGGGGCCGAAAAGCGCGACAAAGAAGAAAACGGGTAGGGTTTGAAATGTCTACTTTCTGGTGATTCTAATTCTGTATATCGTGATACAACCTTTTTGAATATAGAATTGTATTGAAGCACACATTAATCTGAACAAAACTTGACGTTTTTAAGAAGATTCCACGAATATTAAAACTTCTGCAATTACTTGGAGGAGCATTGCGCATATTTATCGCGTAAATCTTTGCATTTTGTCGGTAAAATGGACAATTACAATGTTACGCCGTGATGTACAGTATCTGACGTCGTATCTTATATATTTTGTAATTTCCTCACATATCCCTCTCATTTTTTCAGAAAATGTGGTTGGTAATTACACGTACAGTGCTGAAATATTATAGCTATGTCTTAAAATTATCAAGAGATAAGGTTGCCATGGTAATCTGTATTAAGGGTAGGCAGGTCAATCAAATTAAAACATATAAAATATCATGATAACTTGTTATTTTAATTATTTTAAAGCATGCGGAAATCAAACATTTTTTTAAAAAAGTCTGCAGATAACACCACAACTCACAATTATGACGTACACGGACCTGGGGACTATTCGGGAAATACGGGCTCATCTCAGCTTTGAGCGTTCATCTCTGCCTTATTTAAAAAGCTAACTATGCGTTTTATATATTATTTTGAAGTATTTCTTATTCGCATTTTACTGACATTATTTTTCCTTGAATTGTTTGATGGGATCTACCATAGTTTTAAAGTTAAATGTACCCCGACATCGTCAAATACGCTGTCAGACGTAACATTTTACGCTTTCCAGCCATTCTCTGTTTAGCGTGAAAAATGGTGTAACTGCTTTTCCTAATGATGTTAACCAAAATATATGCACTTTTTATGGTATAAATCAAATTTCAATTCAATTCAATTTATTTATTTCATAATTCTTATATAATATACACTATAAAAACAAGCCGCTAGACACCCTAGTGGGCATATGTTGCGGTTTAAAAGAAATTTTTAAAATGACATCTAGACTACATATAAAAGAAAGCACTTTTCTTATGTTACATGTAGGTATATAAAATGGTATTAACAATTACCTTAAGGATGTACAATGTAGAAATGTTACAAAAAATCGGGTACCAGTATAAAATCAACAGTACAGTTTAATGTTGGTATTATACATTATCGATAGATGATTGGTTTTTTTATATGAAAATGTTTAGAGTGGAGCAATTTTTAATATCATCTGGTAGAGCATTCCAAAGGTTAGGACCTAGATAGCGAAGGGAAAGTTTAGAGCATTTATGGATATGAAAATAATGCAACTGTCTTGTGTAATGATGATGGACATTAATGTTGATATCAAACAAGTCTTGAAATAGATTTTTTGGAAGACGGGAGTGTTTATTAAAGATTTTATACAAGAACTGACCAGTACAATATATGTTAACATCAAAAATATTTAATATTTTAAGATCTTTAAATAGGGAAGTGGAGTGAGAAAGTCCATCCTTATTTAAAGCTAGCATAAGAATTGTTTCTGCAGTTTATGTAGACAATCATAGAATGATTTAAATGTATTACCCCAGATTATGTTGCAATAATTTAATTGAGAGTGTATCAATGAGTAGTAAATTGTTCTGAAACTGTCTATTTGAAGTATATGTTTAATGTGATAAAGAGAACCAATAACGCGAGAAATCTTTGTTTCAACAGATTTTATGTGCTCTTTAAATTTCAGGTTTTTATCAATAAAAATTCCAAGAAAGTCAATTTTCCCGGAAATTTATGTTCTAATTGGGTATTTTAAGATTCAGATTTGTTTGATTTCTTTTGGGTCCAAATAGAAAAGCATTGGTTTTGCCAGTATTCAGTGAAAGTTTGTTTGCTTTTACCCAGTCATCTATTGAATTCAAGTTTGCATTAGTTCTAGTCATAAGTTCATTTAAATTATAATCACTATCAAGAAGACTGGTGTCATCAGCAAACATAATAAATTTTAGATTAGGGGCAAGAATAGGAAGATCATTTATGCAAAGAATAAATAATAGTGGTCCAAGTACCGAGCCCTGCGGAACACCACAATTAAGAGATGATTGTCTAGAATCATTATTGTTTATGGTGACATATTGTTTGCGATCTTTTAAATAACTTTCAAACCAGGACTTAGCTATTCCTCTGATTCCATAATATTCATGGTAGTGAATAGTAGTGTAGTGGAGGTATAATACTGAGTCAAAATTTCAGCAAGATTGTCTCAGAAACAAAAAATTTAGAGTATCTTTGCACAAACTTAATGAACGCCCTGTATATAGTGTATAGTAAGGATTACTTAATAAAAAAAGTTAGCCCCTTTATAGCTAATCTTGTTTTACAGCTATTTGGAGAGGCCTCGACAAATGAAGATGACATCAAGACCATCGCAGAGTCGGACGATGCTATTGAAAGAATCGTTGGAACCGGGAATGGAATGGAGCTTGATTACTTCCCTTGGCTTCGGTTCTTTGGAAATAGTGCATACCAAACAATTAAGCATTTCGTTACTTGTCGAAATGAGCTTTATGACAGGTGGATCCCCAACTCAAAGGTATGAGACCCACCAGCCCCACCCACCCCCTCAAAAAAAGGTCGGAAAATTCGTGTTTTGAGTCATCGCTTTTTACAAAATTTACTCTTTGCTCACAGTTGTTATCACACGCCCTCCCACAAAATCCTGGATCCGCATCAGCATTACAAGAAGTTGAGGGAAACTGATTAAAACAATAGTTGATTTAACTCTCGAAGACTGGTATTGTGTAAAATAGACTATGTTGGTGGGTTATCTCGCAATAAATATCAACCTTTTTACTTTTGATCTTGGAGAGTGGATTTTGTCTGACCTAGATATTTACACGAACTTATATAAGTGATTCTATAACCAATAATTGCTAAGACAACTGCATTTTGGTCAACAATTTGATCCACCAGCATATATGGTATATATAATATGGTATTGTGATATTAGCATATTTAATAAATCATGAATTACTGTAGGATATTGTTTGAACTTTTGTTCATACAGTGTGTCTCAAAAAAATGTAACACTTACACAAAGTTCAATATCTTTCATGATTTTGACTATTCCACTGAAATATACTTTGATACCAAAAGACCAGTCTTTCTCAAATAAATCCACACCGTCAGATTCAAAATCCGTCCATGATTGACTGCACGGGACAGATTTTATGGATGCATGTGAAATCTGATTTGCGCCAACTTCTCAGTGGTCGGATACGTGGTGATCAATCCTTTTTTGGTGTGAATGCTGTGGACAGTGATATCTTGATATGATCAATGATCCAGTTGCTTCTTTCCTGGATAGAATTACAAGATTTCATTGTCAGAGTGTTCAATTTTGTTACCGTATGATGGCAACAGGATGATGCAAAGGCCTGTGGCAGATTGTTTGGTAGAACTCTTTGGAAATCAGATGATACCATTGAATTACAAAATGGATTGGCCCCCAGGGTCATCCCACTTTACACCCTTGATTTTTTGAAGGGCCTCTGAAAGCGCTTTACGGCATCACAAACTGACCTAAATGATCTTTTGCAAAAATAATTGATGGAATCAGTGTGATATTACAATGCATGTGCGCATGGGCAAGGGTACATCAGATTTGCTTTGGAGAACATGTTGAGGGTACCACATGTGTGGATAGACCCAATGATCATATGTAAGACAAATAGGAAAATTACAGAATGACTCAGTTAAAGGTCAAGTTTCTACTAAGAAAAAAGTTAAATGTTAAAGAAACTGTTCCTCTTTTGTCATTTGGTCCATCCAATCACTTGAAGTTGGCGCAAGTCAGATTTTACCATGAGACACTAAAAGCTGTCCTGTGGAGCCAATCAAGGACAGGTTTTGAATCTGATGGTGTCAAATTATTCGAGAAAGATTTGTCTTTGGTATTTAAAGGTATAATTTAGGGGAAAAGTCAAAATTATGAAAGATATTGAACTTTTCGGAAGTGTAACATTTTTTTGAGACACACTGTAGTTTCAGAATTTAAAACATTGCGAGACACATGAAAAAATGCATTAGAAGATGTTTAGTATAGTTTTATGTTTGATCAAATATTTCTATATGATAATGCATGCTGGGTATTGTGCAGGGAACGATGGAGAAAGGAAAGATTCGGGGCATGGTCGACTGGTTGCTAGTATCACAGGAGAACCACCCAACATTCACCGACACCAATCTTCGAATGACGTTGCAAGATCTTCTACACGCAGGTATAATAATTTTGACACTACAAATCAGGTGTGGTGGCCTTAGTCTTTATGACTCATGCCTTGGTCACATTTGGTCCGATTTTCACTGCGGCGCCCAGCCGATTGAGTATTTTGTTCAAAATTGAATACAACATTGAATAAAACACTCAATCGGCCGGGCGCCAAGGCATATGTGACCAAGGCATTAGTGGTAGTGAATCAGACTTAAAACCGGAAGGTCTATGGCTGGAGGCACCCTCAGATCGAGTGTGATCCTATCATGTCACTTCACAGCTCTGACTTTTTATAACAAACACGTTCAAGTTATAAAATAAGGCAGAGCGGGGCTTTTGGGTTGGATGGGGTATCTTTACCTATATTTCAAAGTTTAGTCGCCTGAAAATATTTCTGTCATGCTAAAGAGTTGGCTAGCCTGCCTCATGAATTGCAACGCCCGTGTTTTTGTTTCTCAGAAGACGAGACCAATTTTTGTATTGAGTTTTACTACGAACATGCGTATTATCGCCTTCAAGGAATCGATGAATCATCTAAGTAGTTTGAAACCATTAGACATGTAACAAGAGCACCTGGAGTTTAAGTGAATAAGACGTTTTTATCTTAGCTCAAACACACTTTGCCTTGGTCACATTTGCTCCGATTTTCACTCCGGCGCCCTACCGATTGAGTATTTTGTTTAAAATTGAATACAATATTAAACAAAACACTCAATCGGGCGGGCGCCGGCCGATGGATCGGAGCAAATGTGACCCATGCATTAGGTAGCAACAAAACGAAATAAACTGTAACAAATTTATTTAAAAGAATATACAGTTGTAAGAAAGAAGAGTACATTTTTTTCTATTTAAAGAATTGACACTTGGCAACCAATCAAAACCAGTTTGACACAAAAAAAATTTACTGTCCCATGCAGTGCACTAAAGCTGAATTAATTACACCATAATCACTCATTAAATAGTTGAATAGTAAGCACAAAAGAAATCAAATTTTAAAGTGAATTGCATGCAGTGTACTGAAGCTAAACGAATTACACCCACTCACGACTTCTCAACATACTTGCTATACCTCATAGTCAATTCAACAGAAATCAAATTTTCCTAAAATTGGATCATGAGCCATCAACCTTTCATAAGAGTCAGTGTAATAAGTACCGAGTCTGAGGAGAATTAAAAGCCTCGGGCCAAGGTCGTCGATTATTATTCCTCCTAAAACCTAGTACTCATAGCCATAACAGAACATACAAAACACAGCCTTGACAAATACTGTAAGCCTTAGTTGAATAAAATGTTCATAGTTATTTCTTTATAGGTATCACAACAACAGAGAGTACCATTGAATCAGGGATTCTTATATTAACGAACTTGCCGGATATTCAAGAAAAAGTCCAAATGTCTATTGACAAGGGGCTTGGGAGAGATAAGTAGGTTCAAAAACTAAATAACCGACGAGAGTTATTTCCGCAAATCACATAGTTTGGATACGTCATGTCTACAATATACTTTCTATAACGTTCTTTATTTAAACGTCATCATTATATACAGTTGGTGTATATTACTGTGAAAACAACCAGGGTTAATTATATACCAGCGCAATCATGAATTCCAATCTTTAGGATTTACTATTTTGACTGGTGGCTTAGAGTCATATTGTATCAAATTCCCATAGCATGAAAACGACCTAACTCTCACTCACTTTAATGTTAGGTTCCCTACATTAGATGATAGAAGTGACCTTCCGTACGTTGATGCATTCATCTTGGAGACCATGCGCTACATCTCTAATGTCCCATTTGCCGTGCCACACAAAGCTACGAAGGATACAACACTCGGAGGTTATTTTATTCCGAAGGATACCCAGGTAAAAGAGTTAACGACGTTGATATATTTTACACATTTATAAATGAGTCAACATAAGAAAGGGACACCATGCTCATTTATTTCAAAAAAAATAAACCTTTACACTACACCCTGCCAAACAATGTTACTATATTGTCTGTAGGTAGCAATTCGTCCAATCAAAAAGTAGATAAGTTAGGCATACATAGCTTATTTTGAAAAGTACAACCTATGACATCACCAATCTAACCAATATAGCATATGTTATTCGATTAATAATGATCCTACATTATTTCATAAAAATGCATCATAGGTTCATGAATCTTGTTTTGAATATTTGATGAATTTTTATTCATGAACTTGCAAGAGAATATTTGATGAATTTCAAAGAACAACTGGCTTCATGCATCATGCATATCATTTCGCTGGAGTTATTAGCTGAAGGTAGCGGGGTTTATTTGAAAGGTTTATTAATTATCACTGTTTTTTACCATTTTAAGCATGTTTCACGATCACCTCTATATCAAAGGGTACATACCAAAGTTAAGCGTGGCAGTTGAATGCGCGGGGTACGGTACAACACGGGGGTGATGAAATGTAAACAAACAGATGTTTTCATCGTTTCAGAAAAATTTGGTTTAGTTTCCAGATATTTTTTGTGTAAATGTCTGTAACAACATCCTACAGTCAGTGAACTTGACAGTAAATTTCATAGTTGAACCCATAAGAACTTCGAATGGAGTATACGGTATAACGCGCGGTAACGGTAAGGTAAGGTACAGCGCGTTCCCTATCTTACCGGCGCGTAGTACCGTATACTTCATTGAACATTCGGAGTTTTTGTTGGTTTTACTATGAAATTCACCGTGAAGTTCAATGTCTAGGATATTGTTACACACATTCAACACATTCACTTATAAAAATATCTAGAAATTAGACAAGATCTTTCTGAAACGATGAAAACATCATCATATTTCTGGTTGAAGATAGAAAGATATAATGAGTATCAGAATGTGAAAACATCAGTTTGCTAAAATTTCAGCACTCTCGTGTTGTACCGTAACCCGCGCGTTCAGCTGTCACGCTTAATTTGGTACGTACCCTGTGTATGTTTAGAGATATGATACTCATTCAGAAAAGATAAAGACCTTTTCAATAACACACCGGAATAGCCTGACAACGGTTAAGTCAGATACCGTTGTCACAAATGGCGGACATAACCGTCGCTTCAACTCTTCAATCACTTGGTCCTCGTTTCATGGGACTTGATCGTCGCTAATTCTATACTGTGCATGTATTAAACTCTTGGGATAATGTATCATATGAAATCCAAATTTCGATCAAATTGGGTCGTGAATAGCCCCAATATAGCGTCTTTGACATCGTCAATGACAACGGAATCTGAATTTAGGATAATTTACAAAGACAACGGCGTATGGTAAATTATTTAAAATTCAGATTCCGTTGTCATTGACGATATCGAAGACGCTATATTGTGGTGATTCACGACCCAATTTGATCGAAATTGGGATTTCACATGATACATTATCACAAAAGCTTAATACGTGCACAAAATTAGCGACGATAAAGTCCCATGAAACGAGGACCAAGTGATTGAAGAGTTGAAGCGACGGTTGTTCGCCATTTGTGACAACGGCATCTGACTTTACCGTTGTCATGTTATTTCGGTGTGTTATTGGAAAGGTCTTTATCTTTTCTGAATGAGTATTACATCCCTAAATATACACAGGGTACGTACCAAATTAAGCGTGACAATTGAACGCGCGGGATACGGTACAACACGAGGGTGGTGAAATATTAGCAAACTGATGGTATCTGACTTAACCGTTGTCAGGCTATTCCGGTGTGTTATTGAAAAGGTCTATATCTTTTCTGAATGAGTATTATATCCCTAAATATACACAGGGTACGTACCAATTTAAGCGTGACCGTTAAACGCGCGGGATACGGTACAACACGAGGGTGATGAAATATTAGCAAACTGATGGTATCTGACTTAACCGTTGTCAGGCTATTCCGGTGTGAATAAACCCTGTCATCTTTTGATGATGTCATTGTTTATAGGTAGCAATTTATGTGTCCAAATTAAACATATATCACACTCTATATTCAGATGTGGGTGAATTTGTTTGGTCTTCACCACGATGAGCGTCACTTTGAAGATCCATGGACTTGACCAGAATGGAGCTGTTATTCCAGTCGATGAAAGAAAGATGTAAGATCTATAGGATAATCGGTGCTAAATTGTGATTTTGATATAAAACTGTGGTTATTCAATTCTGTACAATGTAGTTAAAATAGGGCCAAATTACCGCGTAATGCCAGATTGCTAGTGCATTGTCCAAAAACTGAGAAGGGGGGGGGGGGGGGCGGTTCCCTACGTCTGAATTACATGTCCGCCACTGACTTCCCGGCTGACTTATGCATTTTTGCTCTTAACTCAATTTTATCTGTTACAGGCTCATGCCATTTGGAGCAGGGAGACGCGTTTGTATCGGTGAACAGTTAGCACGTGCAAGATTGTTTCTCATCTTTACTTCGATGTTGCAGAAGTTCATCTTTCTTCCACAAGAGGGCGATAAATGCCCATCATGTGACCCAAGGGGATTTCCGGTTGGAATTGTAGTGCGACCAAATAGTTATAAAGTGCGAGCGATTTTGCGCACATGAAACCATAGGTTGACACATCGTGTAAAAGGGACGAGGTCCTATTAATTTATGGTCCTACTCCTCATTGATTTATATAGTGACCTCTTTCCCTTATTATCTTATACACAATCAGGGCCAGTAAGGACCTTTAAAGGGGGAGGCATAATTTCTTTCACACCGGAACACCATGACAACGGTAAACTTCTAACGTCAGATACTGTTGTCACAAATGGCGGACGTAATGATGTCATAATTATAGGAACAATTTTCAGTTGCTTGAAAAGATTTAAGAATAAATTAAAATATTGCAAAACAAAATAATTTGTTATTTTAACATAAAAACAACTACTTATGACCAGTTACATGCAAATCGAATCGAATACGAACTTGTGGCCGCCTATTGTGACATCGGCATGTGACTTTGTCAGGGTGTTCCGGTGTGAAAATGCCATCCATTGTGAATTACAGATCAGGACCTATGTTTATAACTGAATACAGCAATTAATTGATTCAGACTGATTTGCAAACTCAGCTACTAAGTAGTAGTTACTATTTGGTTAAAATGGAATTATTAATATTGTTATTGTCCTTGCTTTTTCCGCATACAATTTTTATGGAGTTTGAAATTATATTCTAAACTATAAGTCTACACTAGCTTTCAAAATATTTGCTTTTACTTAGCTTGCCCAAGTCGGTCTCTTTTACTTATCTTTTATTTCTACTATGACCGCGGTAATAATGCAACATCAGATAACTAAAAAATATTGACACGCTTGTATTTAAACTCGATATTTTGAAAAAATGAATGCAGTGGCAACCGTTAATTTGAATTTTAGACCTATCAGATATTTGTAGAAAAACAGAAATACAGAAATAAATTATTGCTTTCATAGATTCAAAGATATTATGGTTTCATATTTATTATCCATTAATGGCAAAATTGAGTATTAGCGGAACTTTTACATAAATCAATACACATTAAAATAATTGGACATAAAAGTTAAGTAATCATACAATTAATAAACAAATATAACGTCTACTGTTTATTTACTATTTGTAATGCATACAAGCTTCGTTCTAACAAATAGTACTGTACTTATCAGTCCATTAGACACATTTATAAATACTTTATCTATTAGATACTACATCGATTATCTCCACTCAGTAATAGTAACCTCGATGTACATAACTTGGGCGTCCGAAGGGGGGGGGGGGGGGTTGCAGTGGGTGCCAATCCTTTGGAATTAATTTCATGGTGCAGAGGAGTGGAAGATTCGGAGGAAAGAAGAACTATCGGCTCTGCGAAAGAAGCGGCGCGGAGAAGTTAGATTCAAGTGCAAGCTATAATGATGGAGACTAATTTTTATAGATAGACACCCCACCCTAGGGAACATCCTGAGGACGCCCCTGTATAAGTAGTACACGTATATAGTGGAATTATGAAGGCTGTTAGTTTCACAATTCATTCAATTCTACTGATTTTACTGGATAACATGAAAACAGATTTGCTTCAAAGATTTGGAATTTAAAAAATGCTCAAAACGAATTGGAACTTATTAGAGTTTAGCCTTGATACGTTCCATTGATTTGTGTTTACGTAAAATGCATATAAAATCATCCTTCTTCAATTTGAGATTGATGGCCATGGACGGATTCAACATATAAACCTGAAAAGAGCACGATAGACATACCGTCTCTAGTAACGTTAAGAAAATCAAGCGAGGAAATATAGTAAACATCTGAAGACATCAATGAAATGTAGTAGATATCAAAACGTAAGGATATACTGTAGTTAATATGAGACGGCAAAAGTGAAAATACTATTCTGAAACAATGAAGCAAATATTAAACGAGTTCGCTAGCAACACCTCGGGACATGGATGGGGAATGGTTGGTCGGACCACTAACGCATTTGCCAAGACATTATGGATAGTTATCACCGTTCTATCAACCATAGCTGCTATCATTTGGGTAGCAACTATTGTAGGTAGATATATCAAATACGAAACGAAGGACAAGGTGGAGCTAAAAGCAGATGTAGACATTGTATTCCCCTCTGTTACTGTGTGCCCACTACATGGTTATTCCAACGATAAGATGAATGACCCCAAGCTTGTGAGTAGCTTTTTACTGCAGAGCAGACTAATAATGGCGGTGTACCCTCGTATCAAGAACATCACCCAAATGACAAATGAAACTGGTGACGTAATTTTAGAACTAGTGCATCGAATAAGATCACACAGAGGATATTACGAAAATATGGGGAAAAGAGAAACATCAGCCTTGAGTCATGAGATTATCAACCTTGTACCATATTGTCTTTACCAGGAGAGTCGATGCACCCCGGAGCATTTTCAGAAGCTTGTACATCATGAGTACATGAATTGTTATACTTTTAATGGAAAGGATATCAATCTAACCAAACCAGTTATAAGTAGCAGTGGGGCACAAAATGGTCTTTCTCTTACATTGTTTCTCGAGCAGAAAGATGATACCTACGCTCCTTATGACCGAAGTCGGGCCATCACAGCGACAGCAGGGGCAAGAGTTATCATACACGAGAAAGGGACATTGCCTGATCCAGACAATGATGGATTTAACGTTGAGCCAGGGCACTTAGTGAATGTCGCTCTATCTGTAAACAAACGGGAGCTGATGAAACCACCTTGGGGCGAATGCGCGGATCATAATACACTGCAATCGACCGACTTCAAATACTCTAGAAACGCATGCAAAAGTAAATGTTTGGAGAAGATGATCCAACAAGAATGTGGGTGTAAAAAAGATTTGCTCCCAGTTGAATTAGAAACAAGAGATGACGATATTCAAGCGTGTGGAAAGTTTAACAGAGAAGAGTGGTTGAAAGTACCAAATATAACGGAAGCAAACATCACTATTCTAAAGGAGGATGTTACCCGGTTTAAATGCGGAGAGAAGGAATATGCATGGTCTAAAATTTCCGAAGATATACCCGGATGTAAATGTGAATACAACTGTTCCTATCTTACGTATGATATCGAGACGTCACAATCTTTGTGGCCAATGAAAGGCTCGGAGATGGATTTCTTCTGTGGCGGATTAGCGTATGAAGACACTTACGTTGGTTCAACGATTTACGATGAGTTTCATGACAAAATTGGCATGTACTGCCTAAACTACTTTGGACAGTATGCGAATATATCGAAACTCTGGGGAGACAAGCTAAGAGATAACTTCCTACGCGTAAATGTTTATCTCAAAGAACCTGTGACCAAATACACGGTTGAAGAGGTTGATTTCACTGTGATCACAATGGTATCAGAAATAGGTGGCGTTCTTGGCATATTCATTGGTGTGTCAATCATAACAATCCTTGAAGTTTTCGTACTGTGTAATGGTATCGTTTATACTTTATACAGAGCGAAAAAGACATCATCTAACATTGATGTTACAGAAGTTATTGTTACTCAAAGCAAAAACTCAGAGAATCTGTCTGATCCCAAAACTAAATATTATCAATCCAAACTGTCTAAATAATGCAATATGGGCTTAGTTAAAATGTGAGAGATACATGTTTAAATATCACATTTTCATAGTACTGATCAGTAAGACAAACGATGTAAGCCAAAGTCATTTAAACGTTAAAGGTGCGTTGGAGCATGACAGTCTATCCGTATATATGAACATACAATTTCATATTTTATATGTTGTGTCTTATCTTCATGTGTTTCTCTTGTATCAAAATTTTAATATCTTGTTTGCAAAATAATATTTTTTTCATTAGTTATTTTCGATTCTGACTTCAGCACAAAGGAGTTCAAAATCAATAAAATTAATTCCTTTATTAATTTATACATGTTACATGTATATAGAAATAATCCTATATGAGGTTGAGGATATTGGGATTATCCCGAGGCGAATATAATATATCTACCAGAGGGCCGTAGGTCCCGAGGGTAGATATATTGTATTTGCCAAGGGATAATTCAAATATCCTGAGCCGACTATAGGATGATCTGTTTATCCCATACCAATCACATTGTTCAATTGGCCACAGTTCAGAAACTTTGCTACCAACCGTGGAATTATTTAAAAAATATACATGTCCAGTTTTGTATTCTTGTCCGTAGCCGTATTTTCCTGTTCTAATCTTTAATTATTAGAAGGGCATACAGCTAGCTCTTTCCCTTCTTTAAAGCATCAAACAGATCGCGATTGTCTGCGGTTTTCTGCCCGCTCGGAGCGGGATGTATAGGGGTTATGCACTGGGAGGTTTTGGATACAGGGAATATCCCGAGGGATATTCCATGTATCCAAACCGACCGTGCATAACTGGTGTATCTCATACTTGAGTGGGTTTAGGGTAGATATAACCTTTTCCACCTTTTTCAAATGACAAGATATTTATATTTAACATTTTCGTAATATTCTTTTTGTTCAATACAATGAAATTGTAACATTTAAACTTAAAAAATTAAATTTTAAAATTAAAAAATTAAAACTTTTGATATTTAAACTTTTTTAAACTTTTGAAAAATTCCCGGGAGCGGGATGGATATATTATATCTGCCCGCATTTGGCCTGGAGCGGGACATATACAAGTATGGGATTCATATTATATTTTGCCTTATTGTGTATATAAAATATTTTTACATAATCACACTGTTTTTCTATAATGTGGAATCATCATTCATGTGTTCTAATTGTTTAACATAAGTTATACTGTAAAAGTTCATTCATATTTCATCATATGTGCACTCATTGTTATTTGTATGTGCACTCATTATTCACTCTATGTGCACTCATTATTCATCTCATGTGCACTCATTGTTCCTTGTATGTGCACTCATTATTCATCTCATGTGCACTCATTGTTCCTTGTATGTGCACTCATTATTCATTTCATGTGCACTCATTGTTCCTTTTATGTGCACTCATTATTCATCTCATGTGCACTCATTATTCCTTGTATGTACACTCATTATTCATCTCATGTGCACTCATTGCTTATTGCATCTGCACTCATTAATCACCCTGTGCGTTCATATTGTATATGCACTCATACACTCATTATTCATCAGTACACTCATTATTCATGTTTGGTTTAATAATTGTTCACCATTATCAACTTTAAAATCTTTGCGGTACATGATCTGCTATGTCTTTAACTGGAGTATTGTCTGAAAATAAATGAATTATTAAAAGGTATGTAGAATCTAACAATTTTATCTTAAGGATATTTTATTACTCACCATACTCTCTATAAAAGGGACCTGCCTTACTCCAAATAAGGGCATATGCTCTTCAAAAATAAATAAAGGAATGACATTGTACAGGGTGAACCAAAAAAGGTAATCCAAACAAATGTTAATAACTCACTACTTTTATGATATTCTTGACATATTAATTTGTTAAATATTGTATCATATTAACAAGTACATGTACAATCAACTTATAAAATTGTAATTGTATATCTTTAAGCCTGCTAACCTGTAATAAAGATATATAAAACAAGGCATAAGCATGCAAAATGTCATTGTCCATAAAACATGTCACCACTTCTTATGGTGACATTATAAAACAAAGCATTAACATGCCATTTGTTATGATCATCAACACCAAATGCCAAACACCATCCAAAGTTTGAGACAATACAGGGGTTTCACTAGAATTTCTCACAACAGGCTAAATAAATGAAAACAACAGGCAAAATTAATAGAAATCATCAATTAAACATGGAAAAGTTGAAAAGTCCCTAAAACAACAAGCAATTTTGTCACCTGTTGCCTGCTGCTGATGAAACCCCTACTTTAACAATATGTCACCACTACTGGTGGTGACATAATCAAATAATTGAAAATTCACCTTGTTTGCTTTTTCTAAAGATGCTATCATATTCTGTAAGTCTTCTTTGTTTAGTTCAACTGCAATATTCTTCGTCTTTCCCTTTTCTTGTAATGTAAGGTCTACTGACACAAGGGGCTGTTTTACTGATGCTATCTTATCACTGGACATTGCTAACTGAAAATAGAAATTCAGAAGCCCTATAAAACATATAAACTCCATTCATTTACAGTACATTCATAAGACCATGCATTGTGCTAATACGAGATAGGTAAATCTGGGTATCAATATTTCCCATTAAACACAAACAGAAGATCCTAAAACTTCACCAATAAAATGTGAAATTGATTTGTCAATATAAAAATCTCCCTTTGATAAATCTGTGACGATCTTTATTATAAATGTGGTACATGAACAGGCAGAGGTCATTACACAGTGACTTCATCCTGCTTACCCTTGAGTATTATTCCGGGATTGCACCTTTTATACTAAACCGTGAGCAACACCACCAACGAGCTCATGTTGATTTGCTAAACGATATGCGTTACCCTTTAAAAGGAAACCTGTTTAAAGATCAAAAGTTCAAAAATGAATGCTCCATAGAAATAACTAGCGACTATAAAGACAAGTGATTGTACATGTAGGGCTCGTAAATGTACTAGGGCTATTAGTACTAGGGATTGTAAATATAGGGGCCAGTAATATATCTGGGATTGTCAATATAGGGGCCAGCAATATATCTGGGATTGTAAATATAGGGGCCAGCAAAATATCTGGAATTGTAAATATAGGGGCAAGCAATATATCTGGGATTGTAAATATAGGGGCCAGTAATATATCTGGGATTGTAAATATAGGGGCCAGCAATATATCTGGGATTGTAAATATAGGGGCCAGTAATATATCTGGGATTGTAAATATAGGGGCCAGTAATATATCTGGGATTGTAAATATAGGGGCAAGCAATATATCTGGGATTGTAAATATAGGGGCCAGTAATATATCTGGGATTGTAAATATAGGGGCCAGCAATATATCTGGGATTGTAAATATAGGGGCCAGTAATATATCTGGGATTGTAAATATAGGGGCCAGCAATATATCTGGGATTGTAAATATAGGGGCCAGTCTAGTAATATATCTGGGATTGTAAATATAGGGGCCAGTAATATATCTGGGATTGTAAATATAGGGGCCAGTAGTATATCTGGGATTGTAATTATAGGGGCCAGTAATATATCTGTATCATTAAATACATCTTACTTTAAGCTGCCAATCGAAATCAGTGAGGTATGTTTGTGAAACTGCACATGTCGCTTCTACTAAGCTACGTCGTATATCTTCTCGTCGCACCCACAATGAATCTGTGATTTGCTGCATGATACTAGATGGCACTTCTTCACAAGCCTTTGATAACTGTAAAAGAATGAAAAATTATGTTTTAACTTTTCTGATATCCTTTTGGAAGTACAATTGTTACGATTCCTTCAACTGCCATATATAATAAGGGGTCATATACCAAATGGTTTCTTCATAATTCATACATAAAAGGGGTCATCTAGAAGGTTTTTTCATAATTCATTTATAATAGGGGTCATATCAAATGTTTTTTTCATAATCCATATGTAAAACTGGTCATTTCAAAGTTTTTTTCATAATAGATATATAAAAGGGGTCATCTCAAAGTTTTTTCATAATTCATATATAAAAGGGGTCATCTCAAAGGTTTTTTCATAATTCATATGTAAAACTGGTCATCTCAAAGTTTTTTCATAATTGATATATAAAAGGGGTAATCTCAAAGGTTTTTTCATAATTCATATATGAAAGGGGTCATCTAAATTGTTTTTTCATAATTCCACGTATAATTGATTTTGTCCATTGAGTTGCAGGCAAATTATTTTTCCATTAACAATAAATCAAAAACGTGAGCACTCTTTGAAAAAAAAGCTTTATCAAAGATCTAGCAGTAGATTTTCTTTTTTTTATTCAATTTAACTTTTAACATATGTACAAATACAGCCCAAGATCAAAGAATCCAGTATCCAGTTATTTGCTAATGGATCCTCCTGACCATGCAAGAGCCTAACTACATTCAAATACAGTTTAATTGAAAATAATGAGAGAACTGTCTCAGACCTTTTTGATCTGTAATGGCTGAGACTAAAGTGCCCACATTTGTTGCAGACAGACTACAGAAAGTCTGCAGTAATCAGAAACAAATGTGACCACATGGTAAATACCACCCATGTCATCTTTAAACAATTTTCAATTGAAAATACACATAAAAAATAAAGAACTACAAATGAAAGGACCTCCTCGTTACCTCATCTTTTGTCCTAAGGTCATATTTCATGGCGTGCTTGATAAGATTTGAGTAACCATCCTTGACTCTCCACCAATCATCCATTCCCCAGATGGAGCTGTAGTCTGCATAACTCAGAGCCATCTTTCCACAAACGCCATCTATTAGGCCATGTATGAACTAAAATATAAAATGCAATACTATCATCATGTATTGTAGAAATTTAGTTTAAAGAACATCAAATTATTCCTTACAAAACAAATAATTGCATATCTAAAATCACGACAGAAGTTTGAGCATTCCAGATAGAAACATGAGCTCTCTTGAAAGCCTATTATAGAAACTAAATGTACCTAATATCTGAATATATATTCAAAGGAACACAAGTATCTTAAGCCAGACTGCCATCAAAGCATATTTTTATCAATTGCAAATTTTAAGGTCTTGGAATTTCGTTCTTCTCAAATTATTTAATACATCATGATATCTTTTCTATTTGAGCTTTAGAAACTGAGATGACTATTTATCCCATGATTAATGTGTTATCTGTACAATAACAGCTATTGATATTTCTGATATTATTGAAATCCGTGTGATATTTTCCAGAAAATTGTTTATCAAACTCATATGCGTGTGATATCGTTTATCTCACGCATATCCGTGTGATATCACATTTGCATTTCGCGCCACAATATTGTTGGAAATTAGGTCAGATAATTTATTCTCTTTTGAGAAAACAGGTCCGTTAATTTATTCTCTTTAAGTTTCATTGGTGTATTGAATTACGATTGTGTATATAATTTGATTAGAAGGCTGCTAAATAACTATTAAAAATGGTATTTATGACGAACTATATCATGTACAGAAAGTAGTGCATATTAAAATAAAGTGTTTCAAATATTCAATTGATATTCTAATTTCTAGCTTATAATGTCTGCCAATGTCCTGGAAATTGGATCAGAACATCACAAGGTGATTGTAATCATGGGATAAACCCAATATCACATAATTTCTCGTGATATCATTTTATCGCCTCGTAGATATCAAATATCAAAACTCATTCGCTTCGCTCACTCGTGTTGATATTTGATATCAACTCGGCGATAAGAATGATATCACTCAAAATGATGTGATATTCTGTATATAAAGTATACTGACAGCAGGTTGTCCATCTGTCCTGCAATTTGGGTATTTGTCACGCATTTACTGAAGAAATTGAAGTCACGCCAGCTTTTTTTGAGTGACAGAATACATGTATGTCACCCAAATATTTTTGTCCAGAAGAAGTCCAGAATTTCATTTCTACATGGATACTGCGCATGCATCCGGCAATGTGATTGAAGGCGGAGCGTGGATCACGAAATTTACGAATTTTGCAGTGCTTACATTTGCAGTATTATCTTGCAATACTAGCAAGATTGAGGTATGAAATATGTTATGAAATGGTATGATATGAAATCATGATAAAGATGTGTATTATCTATTTGAAAACCATCAACATTTTTGACGAAAAAGATTCCGAACTTGTAGTTTTAAAGGCCCACTACATTTAATCATGGGCTTCTAGTTGAAAGCCCATGATTTAATTTAGAAGAAAAAAAGGAAAAAAATAATCACTGAAACATGTTACTCCCACACTCACTCAAATATGACGCAAAGCTTGATTTGCTTCAATATTGAACCAAGAAAAAAAGCTCACATAGAAAACAGCATTTGAAGTTCAGAGATCATTAGTAGTGCATGCACACCCAATTGAAAAAAGCCTATGGAAAGTCATCTCCAATTATCACCTAACTTACTATTGATAATTAGTTGAAAGTTAGGTGTAAAAATTCACATGCAAATGAGCTAATTATCAACTTAATTAACGCTTAATTTGCAACTTAATTAACGATTAACTATCATCAATATGCAAATGAGCTATTTACATAAATTAGTTGAAAGTTAGTTGTAAGTTTGATGTAAGTTAATCTCTAATTATCACCTAACTTACTATTGATAATTAGTTGAAAGTTAGGTTTAAGTCAGATTTGTGACATCTCAAAAATGACTCGCTTCTTTTTTGCTTCCCTTCACTCGGAGATTTTTGCTTCATCTTGAACTATTTTGTGACGGAATATTCATCTTAATTAGGATCTTTCAGAACAGACAACATTGAACTTGAACTATTGAAATTTCACAGCAAGAGGAGGGAAAACCCCATGATTCAATTGATGACATACGATTTCCTCCTTCGCACACCTCCTTTTGTCGAAAACGTACCCTCCATCTTGGTTTTTAAAGTTTTCAAATTGACCTAGTTTTAAACCAATCAACGATTGACTCGCTAAACCAATCAGCGACGATGTCATCTCAATACAGATTTACATTATAAGCGTATGTCATCTTTGAACCCTGGGGTTTCTCCCCCTCTTTTTTAAAGCTTGGATTACTTGTATAATATAGGTAACCCATGTTAGTACCTAAATTGCATTCTAGGATTAATATTATATGATCTGATTCAAAAAGATTTTTAAATTCATAAACATTTCAGACAGAAGTGTGAATAAGATTTAACATACATTGTATTCATGTTCTACATACCCTTATAATAATGTTGACCAAATTTCATGGTAGTATACGCACCATTCACGTTGTAATTCTCAATTTTATGAGAGAAATATCTCTCACATGTTTTCTTTTTCCACCATCTTGAAATTAAATTTAGGGGGTTTGTATTTCTAAATCATGGGCCTAATTTACGACTAATTATCATTATAATCATCCTATATGTTAACTATCAACCAATAATCTACTTCAGAACAAAAACGTTTTAATTTACCACTTACTATCACCCTCAAACATTTCATATCTTAATTATCAACTAAAAATCATAAATCAGCATTATTGTAAGTTAATTTACGTTGAACTTGCTACTGATAATTAGGCCATAATTATCATTGATTTAATTAACGCAATTAACTTGAATTCCAATTGCCAGCAGAATTGTTGATAATTAGTTGTAAATTAGTTGGTAATAAGTTGGTAATTAGTTTTATTTTTCAATTGGGCACTTTTGACAAAGTGCATGTTTTAAATTGCTCTTCATTTAAAGATGGAGATTCTTCTATAAGAATGTATGCATCAGGTAATACATACAACTTCGCCATCTTTCAATGATATTGATGAAAACTTGATATAAAGCTTGACAGATCAAAAATATTTTTTGATAAATTATTGCATGGGCTTTCAATAGAAGGGTAGGCAACTTCCCATATTTCATTGTCTTAGGTTTTCAAAATTGGAGAAGAAATGCTTCCTGTACACATTCCAAGGAAAATTGCTTTTCATGTGTGATTTTAAGAGATAACCCAAAAATAAAAACGATTATCTGCATACATGTTGATAATTTTCAAGAAAATGGAATTCATCATAATTATGGCAATAACGAAACTGAACATTCCCCTAAAAATTACATTTTTATTGGAAAGTGTTCTTGAAAAATTCCCCACAATGCAACACTCGAAGAGAACATTCTAATACCTATTTTCCTTATTGGTCTTTTTTGTTTATTTTTGATTGGGATTAATCATGTTTCATGTTTTAGTCACATTCAAAATTGATTTTTTCTTCAAGAAAATGCTAAAAACATATTGTAGATTGGGTTAATTTGGCGCTACTTAATTTGGCAATTTTGCCATTTTTTGGCATATTGGCGGCTATTTAATTTGGCAAATATGTAATAAAAAGTTAAACTTAGGCACTGTTTGCGAATTACCATGTAAATGGGCATGTTTGGCTATGTTCATTTTTTTCTTTTGAGGACCACTGGCGATATTCAACAGGTTTGTACATTTTTGTGAGATCATCCTTTACATTTTGCACCTTGATCGATGCTGCTACTATACCGCGCTTTCCTTTCTAGTTTTTCCCTGAGTATTAATGAGTGACTGACCAGTTCTGAGCCAATTTATGAGAGGCATTTTTCATATTTTTGGAAAAACCTAAACCAGAAGTGACCTAAATACACTTGACGAAATACCCTAGATAATTCCTGGCGATTCATTCTAAATTTTGGCGAAGATTTAATTAATTCGCCAAATTAAAGTGGGCGCCAAATTAACCCAATGTACAGTATACTTAATGTAAATTTTTTTGAAACATTACCAAAATAAGGGAAGCATGGGACTGTTCATTTTGAAGTTCTCATGTAATAACACCAGAGCTGTCAAGTGTCCCGCGAATGGCGGGATTATCCCGCGAATTCGATCAAAATTAGGCTAATTCGCGTGTCCCGCAATGTCCCGCGAAGTCCCGCAAATGTGGCTTTCGACCTCCGCGAATTTCCGAAATTGTTGCAATCCCCTATATTGTGATTATCTTATTATTAGACTCCAGATTGAAAATCTGGAGTCTATTGTTTTTGCCAGTATTCTTATTATTCTTCTTATTATTCTGTAGCAGTTTTTTCAGTAACTATAAGGTATCCAGTAAAGACCATTATACAGTTCATTTAGGTTCAGTATCTAGTTGGTGGGAAATTGGGTCAAATTTTTATATAGGTCAAAGGTCAAGAACTAGGTCAAATCTTACATTTTCAACCTTCTGTCTATTATCTTCGTCGTTATTTCTCGAAACGTCTTCATCTTTTTTTCATCCTGTAGCTTAGAAACAGCCCTTTCATAAGTGTGCCATCTGTTTTTTGATTACTCTTACCGATTTTGAAATATGGCGTCCAGAAAGTAGGTCACAATAAAAAGTTATCAGAAATCGACATATGAGTTATGAGATAGGTGTAGAATTTCCCCAGGAATCCAAATCTGCAAACCATATTTCGATCCGACTTCCGGTTCGGAAGTTATGGCGTTTTGAAATTTCGAGAAAAATCGATCTGATGATAACCTTATAGAAAGTCAAGAAAAGTGAAGAAAAATTGAAAAATACCAGTCCAGTCCATTTTCAGGTCCAAGTCAAGGTCCAATCCAGGTCCAAGTCCAGTGTTTGTTCAGGTCCAAGTCAAGTCAAGGTCCAAATCCAGTCCAGGGCCTAGGTCAAAATCTAGGTCAAATTCAAAGGTTTTCCTTATTTTTGCGATTCTGACACTACACTTCAATTATATTCTTCGAAATTGTGTATACATGTAGCCAAGAATGTGCTAATAGTGTTAGTCTTTTGCCGTCAGAAAGTATTTTGACCCACTTTTGAGATATGGTGTCCGAAAAGTAGGTCAAAATAAAAAGTTCTCCAAATTTAACGTATGAGTTATGAATTAGGGGAAGAATTTTGTCAGAAATCCGAATCTGCAAACCAAATTTCGATCCGACTACCGGTTCGGAAGTTATGGCGTGTCCGAAAAGTAGGTCAAAATAAAAAAGTTTCCAAATTTAACGTATGAGTTATGAATTAGGGGTAGAATTTTGTCAGGAATCCGAATCTGCAAACCAAATTTCGATTCGACTTCTAGTTCCGAAGTTATGGCGTGTCCAAAAAGTAGGTCAAAATAAAAAAGTTTCCAAATTTAACGTATGAGTTATGAATGAGGGGTAGAATTTTGTCAGGAATCCGAATCTTTAAATCAAATTTAGATCCGACTTTCGGTTCGGAAGTTATGGCGTTTTGAAATTTCGGAAAATCGATCTGATGGTATCCTGATAGAAAGTCAAGAGTAGAGAAGAAAATATTGAAAAATTCATCCATCCTTCCTATCTGATCCTATCCTATCCTATCCTTCCTATCTATCCTTCCTTCGTATCCTTTCCTTCCTATCCTTCTTATCCTCTCCTATCATATCCTTTCTTCCTATTCTGTTTTATCCTATCCTTCTTTCTTATTCTATCCTATCGTTCCTTCCCATTCTATCCTATCCTACCTTCCTATTTTATCCATCCATCTTATTCTGGATGACTCGGCTTATTTTAGATGACTGGGCTTAAAAAAGTCTAGATCTGGAGTCTGAAATTGAACTTCGTTCAATTTCCAAAGTCTAGTTATATAAGAAGCTAAGTTTTTGCACTTTTGAGGAGTAAAGTTTACCTAATTTTAAGTACCTAGCATGCTGTTGTTTGGTATCAAAATAAAGAGGAAGGGTTCAACTTTCATTTTAATTACGACAATAGGGATGTAGGTCACAAATAGTTCCAACGTTGGCCTTTTTACTATCCGTGTGGCCTTCATCTCAGAACTGAGCAAATGTTAGCAAACAAGAGTTACAATAAATGGACGCTGATATCTAGAAAGGGTTTGTAGAAAAAACCGGGTACCGGGTATTAAATCCGCCATGCTGGGTTCAAACTTGGTAAAAACAAAAATACGAATATACGAGTATAACATAATTAGATTATCAGAAAACGTGTAAGATTTGTTTTGAATTTACAAAAATGTATGTAACATCCTTCAAAATTGAGCTAGAAGCTTCAAATAAAAAGCATATTTTAAGGCTCTTTTCTTCCTCTATCGTCATGACCATATTTTCATTGGTTATGGGGGGGGGGTGCGATCGCACCATTGCACCCTCTCCTGGCTACGCCTATGACATTGTAAGACATAACAATTTAGTGGACAATTCAGTGGACATTTTGTCGACAGTTGGGATAACTTAAATTATGATTAATAATCAAAATCTTACACATTGCATCATGTAAATTAACACACGTCACCTCTCTGCTAAAGCAACGATAGCAATTTACAGATTTAAATCATAATCAAAACAATTCACGTACCAACATACGAACTATTGAAAATAGAGTAAAATTGATTTGCCTTGTTATTCAAATTGTCTTACAATGTCATTGGCGTAGCCAGGAGAGGGTGTGATGGTGCGATCGCACCCCCCCCCTCCCCCTTCATTACCAATGGAAATATGACCATGATGATAAAGGAAGAAAAGAGGCTTAAAATGCTTTTTATTTGAAGCTTCTAGCTCAATTTTGAAGGAAGTTACATACATTTTTGTAAATTCAAAACAAATCTTACACGTTTTCTAATGATCTAATTATGTTGTATATTAGTATCCGTATATTTCGTTTTTTGGGTACCCGTTTTTTTCGACCGGGTACCAAGTTTGAACCAAGCATTGAGGATTTACTACCCGGTACCCGGTTTTTTCTACAAACCCTATCTAGAAAAGTAACCTCATTCCCTATAATTTGATGTAGATTAATCGAACCCCTATACCATGGGCTTTCAATTGAAAGCCCATGCCTACAGTATATGAATATGTACATTTTGATATATAACATTATGGGCTTTCAATTGAAAGCCCATGCCTACAATGAAAAGGTACATTTTGATATATAACATTATGGGGATAAGCGTTTCATATAAAGTTGGTCACGACGCCAGAAGTGCAAAGTATTGTTCCAAATTTTTGAATTTTGTGTTAGATTACGATACTCACACCTGAAGCATGGTTTTTGTTTTTGATAAATTACAATAAAGTTTAATAATATTTCTATGCGTATTTTGTGAAGTTATGTTGACGTTTATTTAAGTTACAATGTAACGGTGCATTATATTTGATTAATCAGTATCTGAAAGTTTGATTCAAGTACTTTTACACGCTTTTACATTAGTCCAAATCACGCAAATCCCTTGAATGTCCCGGGACATCCTGCAAATTTAGGTGGATGTCCCGTGAAATCCCGCAAATTTAGGGCACTTTTTCTAGAAAATCTGTCCCTCTATGAAGTTTTTGCTGGTAAACCTGTTAACTGTCCCGCAATTAGGGTGTTTGTCCCTCGAATGGTCCCGCGAAATCCCGCGAAATTTGATAAAAAAAATTGGCCTATAAGCGCAATCACGCAAATCCCTTAAATGTCCCGCGAAATCCCGCGAATTAAGTAGATGTCCCGCAAAATCCCGCGAATTTTGGGCACTGGGTCTAAAAAATCTGTCCCGCGAGAAAATCTTTGGGGGTTGACAGTACTGTAACACAGAGTTGCATACCCTTCTACTAAATGCCTGTGATTATTGTAAGTTGTGGTACGTTTGAGCTGTTTTTGATGTCAAATGAAAGATAAAGTTCTTACTAATCTATTGGACATATAATGAAATTCAAATGGAAGTCTTTATTTTGCCCAAAAATATTGAAAACCCACAATAGGGGCCTTAATAATAATATGAAGGAAATTTTGTTCACTGTGCCCCCTTGGGTGCATGCATACTGATATTGTAGTGACTTAAGGTGACTGTTAACTTAATCGATTTTCAGAAAAAATTGAAAATTTCACAATCTTGAAATTTTCAAACTCTTCCTGAGAAGTCGTTTTTATTATTTCACATGCTTGTGCACTGCAATCATTACAAAGACATCAAAGAACAACAAAAAACTTTAGTTTGAGAAAAAAAGTGCCGTTTAAAGAATTTGAGAAGATTTTTTTCTAGGAGTAGCCCGTGAAAAACCGCTGATTCAAAATATCTGAACATTTCTCAAAATATACTTCAAACATATATCAAAAACGAAGGAGCAACGAAAATTTGAAAAATTACCCGATAAAAAATTGGGATCAAAATAAGGAAAAAAGTACACTTCTCAAATTGTTTTTTTTCTATTTTTTTTAATTTGTATCAGAGATTTCAAAATTCTAAAGCTCCTTCCATTTTGGGCTATATTAAAGGGATGTTTCAGAGAAATTAGAAAAAAAAATGTTCAGGGACCTTTGCCGTGCTACTCTTTTTGTCAATTTTTCTGTCACATTTTCAGAGGACTCAAATTCCCATTCCAAAATGTTTACTGTTTCTATTTGCATTACCACAGTGAGCCTGGTTATATAAATGATAAGTGAAACTAAAAAATTGAGAGAAAATCCAACCAAAAGACAGTTAATTTTGATGGTCAGATTATATTCAAATGCCATGTGCTTCCTGGTTTCGGCCATCTTGGATTTTTTGATTAAGTTATAAGTTACCTTAAGGGAAGCTTATTTCCCAGAAAAGTATTCAGTTGACGGCAGAATAGCCACCTCCGAACACAGGCCTCCAGAACTCGTACCTCCTTCTATGATGTCTGGAACCCTGCGTTCGGAGGATGGCAGAATAGTGGATCCAAATATAATAATATAGTCAAATTTATGATAAAATTCATGGGCGATAATATAGTGAAATAAAAATATAATATCATAAAATTTGTATTTTTGAACAGACATACGTGCCATACTTGCAATATACTTGATGCAAGGATAACCTGCTAATTAAAAACAGCAATAACATGAATTTATACCTTAGAGACGTCTTCTTCGGGACATTTTAGAAGCAGTTTCAAGTCACTTCCTCCTTCCATGATTTGTACGACAGATGGCGCTCCTGATTCATTGAAAAAACAAAATTGAAAATAAAAGGTAAGAATTTTCAATCAAATGATATTTTACTCACGATTTCTCAAACGCATTCTTTATTTTATCTATTCATCATCTTGTGCACACTGTGTTCGTATTATTTGAGTCATCAAATTTGGATAACTCAGGCTATTTGAACTGACAGAGACAAACTTCCTTCAGAATGAAAATCAGATCAGTTTCAATTCAATGAACTGTGAATGAACATTTCATTGTACACAGGCTTACCAGATGGTTGCATATATATCCAAATACAACCAAATTTCAAAATTTCTGGTGTGAGAACCCCCCAGACCCCCCTGAATGCTCATTTTTCTCTTCGATCAACTCGGGTTTCAGTGGTGGCCATAGGCTAGACTATATCCTATTTAGTCTGAATTATATTCAGACTATAAGGCACCTATGTTAAAGTTTGGTAATTTCTATTATTTGTTTACATAGGAAGTGCTATTCAAAATGGCCGATTTGGTAAAATTAATTTGCACATTTTTACTTCAACTAGCCTTATTTCCACTTGACAATATGCTGTGTTACTTTTTATTGCATTTAATTGTACCTTACTACTTAATTGAAATTTTGTAATGCTTATTTTATTGAAGAAATGGTTCCTCTAATTGATAATTTTGTGCAAAAAATTTCACTGCAATTTCCACAGGAAAGTAGTACATCATAACAGACTGACTTCTAGTCAGTCTGTTGGATACATACTAGGCCATAGGCCAAGGGTAAAGTAATAGACTAGTAAGCCGTATATAGAAGAGACAGGTGAACAACTCTGACTTAGACCACTTTTTAAGATGGAGATTTCAACAATTTTTAGTGTTTTATTTTCAAAAAGCCATGGGGAGTTGATAGAAAATTGATAGTTTGTAGCTCTTACCTAAGATTGGAACTCAGTCAGATGATGTAGAGTGAATAATGCTGTCTAAAAGAGAGAATTTCTGAAAACCTGCAATTGCCTGGCAAGTTCATTAGTAAACAAGTGATCTGATTGGTCACTGCTGACCTCCCTGACCTCCACCAGTGACAATCAGTTTCAGCTTGCCAGGCAATTGCAGATATCCATAGTTGTTGTTTTATATGCAGTATTATATGCAGTTTTTAGATAAAGATTTGAAAAAAACAATGATATAAGTTTGAAAAACACTTTGAAGAAGATTTTGGAGAGATTTGGGAATACAATTTGATACCAGTAAGGAGAACTAGTGCCAAGACTAAAAAAATTTGAAAAATTTTCAATCTTACTTGTGGACCTGTCTCTTCTATACACAGCTTACTATTACTTTTCCCTTGGCCTATGGTGGTGGCGTACTATACTCATAAAATAGCGCTACGCCCTGGTACTGCCCTGTCAACCCTCACGCATTAGGCGTGATTGTCACGCACTTGCTGGAAAAATAGAAATCACGCATCAATTTAGCATGTATGATCAAATATCACGCAAATCACGCATTTTGTTGAAATTTTTAAAAATTGTTTTTTGTGAAATGCCGACACGGTAAAATACCGAACAGCAAAATAAAGCGAACGCATTCCGTTCGTTCGGTCTTTTCACGCGATTGCCGTTTATGTCACACATTTGGCACAAAATATGTGTATATATCACGCATTTGTTTCGAAAATATTCACACCTACCCCCAAGCTGGAAAAATTTTAGGTGTCCAAAATCTGCCAGTGTTCACTGAAGCTGTCCAAAGTTTGAAGGAAGGTGTTCAACATTTGGAAGTCACGCATGTTAGATGGTCCCAAGTTGACAGCCCTGCTGGTACATGTACATCAAAAGGGGCTTCCTGGGTATTAAGAGTTTTGGACCATCCTACAAGCACATAGTATCACAGTTGGCACATTTAAACTGTGTGCTTGCAGGATGGCCCTTAGACTATATCCTATTTTAGCCTGAATTATATTCAGACTGACTTCTAGTCAGTCTGTTGGATACATACTAGGATGGCCCTACACAACTGAAGTCTGCAGGTGGACCAATTCTTAGGATGCATCATTGATCCAAATCTCATTGGAATGAGATTCACTCATCTGAAACAAAACTATACGAATTCCATTTGTAATGACCTTCGATAGCAAGTCGCTACTACAGTCTCAGCTGTAGTGGCTAGCCTTTATGGCTCAAGGGTAGAGCGTCTGACTCGAGAGCGAGAGGTCCTGGGTTCGATTCCCGTACGGGGCGTTGAATTTAGCACATTCTCTTTCGAGTCTAGTATCTGGCTCGGTACACTACAGCTCCCCGAAGAGCGTGCCCATGGGTCGTTACACATTCGTCAGAAACCTTAGATCAAATAGACAATGATCCAAATTCCGGTGCTCTAATTCCATTTGTTCAAACTCCAATGGTCAGAAATCTTAGCCTTTCCCAATGCCCCTAGTAGGACTAGAGATATCTTGAAGTCTAAGAAATCTGAACCCTAATGGTCCAAGACTTTAAAACATTAATGTTGATAAATAGTAAGTTATCGTGATTGATTACATGTATGGGATTTATAGGGAGGACCAATATGATATTTCCGGAAGGACTAAGAGTAACTCTACCCAATGCAGGTTCTTACCCAGGATTTGCCAAAGAGGTTCAGTTTTCAAAAATTTCCAGGGGGGTTCACATTTGACAATTTTGGCCCAAATATGGCTAAAATTACTTGAGAATTGCTCTTAATGGTGAACTGAACTGCATGATTTTGAAACAATTTTTGGCTAGGGGTGGTTTGCAGGGTTCGGGCAAACCCTTCTGGTTACGGGCCTGCAATATATCATTATCACCTGTCATGCATTGAACAAATTAATGTGAAAATTGTCTGTCCTTTATGAGCAACCAGTCTTAGTGATACAAATCGATACCCCAAACATGAAAAACGAGGCTTTTGTACATTTGCCATTTATGCATTTCATTTCATCATTTTAATTTATTGTTTATCTTCAATACTGTATACGTATCAGCATCAGTGATCTCCACAGGATTTTTTCTCAAGTGGGTGCAAAATTCTCATTTTCATAATTCAGACCAAAATTAGTCAAAATATGGCCAGTGTTCATGATTTTTCTCATTTTCAAGTGGGTGCAAGCCTATTTTCAAAAGCTCAGGTGGGTGCTGCACCCACCTTAATGCTGGGAAGATCACTGAGCATATTTATAAGCACATAGTGTTTTACAATGTTATGCAAAGAGATTATTAAAACACATCTTAGATCTAGTATCGTTTTGGTAATCTTAAAAGTTATATGGGGTAACCCCCACTTGATTTTTACGCAAGTCTTGACTTAGAATATTTTATTTCTTGTCTAGTAAATGATGTACAGCCTATAAAAAAGACATCTAGTATTATTGCAGTACTGTCAACCCCTAAAGATTTTCTCGCGGGACAGATTTTTTAGACCCAGTGCCCAAAATTCGTGGGATTTTGCGGGACATCTACTAAATTCGCGGGATTTCGCGGGACATTTAAGGGATTTGCGTGATTGCGCTGATAAGCCAAATTTTTTTTATCAAATTCGCGGGATTTTGCGGGACCATTCGAGGGACAAACACCCTAATTGCGCTATAGTTAACAGGTTTACCACCAAAAACTTGATAGAGGGACAGATTTTTTAGACAAAGTGCCCTAAATTTGCGGGATTTCGCGGGACATTCACCTAAATTTGCAGGATGTCCCGGGACATTCAAGGATTTGCGTGATTGGGACTAATGTAAAAGCGTGTAAAAGTACTTAATCAAACTTCCAGATACTGATTAATCAAATACAATGCACCGTTGCATTGTAACTTCAATAAACGTCAACACAATTTCACAAAATATGTATAGGAATATTATTAAACTTTATTGTAATTTTTCAAAAGCAAAAACCATGCTTCATGTGTGAGTACCGTAATCTAACACGAAATTCAAAAATTCGGAATAATACTTTGCACTTCTGGCGTCGTGAACAACTATGAAACGCTTACCCCCATAATGTTATATATTAAAATGTACCTATTCATGGCATTTTCTTTCAATTGAAAGCCCATGATATAGGGGTTCGATTAATCTACATCAAATTATAGGGAATGGGGTTACTTTTCTAGATAGGGTTTGTAGAAAAAAACGGGTACCGGGTAGTAAATCCTCCATGCTAGGTTCAAACTTGGTACCCGGTCGAAAAAAACGGGTACCCAAAAAACGAAATATACGAATATACAACATAATTAGATCATTAGAAAACGTGTAAGATTTGTTTTGAATTTACAAAAATGTATGTAACTTCCTTCAAAATTGAGCTAGAAGCTTCAAATAAAAAGCATTTTAAGGCTCTTTTCGTCCTCTATCATCATATTTCCATTGGTAATGAAAGGGGGAGGGGGGGATGCGATCGCACCCCCTCCTGGCTACGCCAATGACATTGTAAGACGATTTGAAAAACAAGACAAATCAATCTTACTCTATTTTCAATAGTTTGTTTGTTGGTACGTGAATTGTTTTGATTATGATTTAAATCTGTAAATAGCTATCGTTGCTTTAGCAGGGAGGTGACGTGTTAATTTACATAATTTTGATTATTAATCATAATTTAAGTATCCCAATTTTCGACAAAATGTCCACTGAATTGTAAATTGTTATGTCTTACAATGTCATAGGCGTAGCCAGGAGATGGTGCGATGGTGCGATCGCACCCCCCCCCCATAACCGATGAAAATATGGCCATGACGATAGAGGAAGAAAAGAGCCTTAAATATACTTTTTATTTGAAGCTTCTAGCTCAATTTTGAAGGATGTTACATAAATTTTTGTGAATTCAAAACAAATCTTACACGTTTTTCTCATAATCTAATTATGTTATATATTCGTATTTTTCGTTTTATGGGTACCCGTTTTTTGACCGGGTACCGGGTACCAAGTTTGAACCCAGCATGGAGGATTTACTACCCGGTATTTCTACAATGCACCCTTTCTAGATATCAGCGTCCGTTTATTGTAACTCGCGTTTGCTAACATTTGCTCAGTTCTGAGATGAAGGCCACACGGATAGTAAAAAGCCCAACGTTAGAACTATTTTTGACCTACATCCCTATTTTCGTAATTAAAATGAAAGTTGAACCCTTCCTCTTTATTTTGATACCAAACAACAGCATGCTAGGTACTTAAAATTAGGTAAATCTTACTCCTCAAAAGTGCAAAAACTTAGCTTCTTTTATAAGATAAGATAATCACATATAGGGGATTGCAACAATTTCAGAAATTCGCGGAGGTCAAAAACCACATTTGCGGGACTTCGCGGGACATTGCGGGACACGCGAATTAGCCTAATTTTGATCAAATTCGCGGGATAATCCCGCCATTCGCGGGACACTTGACAGCTCTGTTATTGCTTTGGTAAATATTCAGAGTAAAATCTTAAAAGTGTTTCAGACCTCTTAACATACATGTAATATTTAAGGAATAATTTGTAATGTGTATATTACCAATTCCATTAGTTGTTAGAAATCCTAATCACATATAAATTATATTCTTACTTTCAGACAGTACTAAATAAAGATGACTGACATACCAGGAGTACAGAATCTGCAGCAAAGAAGAAAAACTCCTTTAGAAAACCCCCCATCAGGAGTAGCAGACACAGGAGGTTCAACAACAGACCCTATTACCCAGAAGCCCCTTCCACCCTGGTTCAAGGAACAGCCATTCCAGTATAACGCCAGAGTCATCGTACCTTTCTTACCATGTTTTTGTATTGTCCTGGCACTAGCTGGTGAATTGTAAGTTGGAATAATTTCTTATTACAAAGTCAAAGTCAAAAACACTTGAAAATGAGAAAAATCATGAAAATGGGCATATTTTGACCAATTTCAGTGTGAATAATTGTGAAAATGAGAATTTTGCACCCTCTTGAGAAAAAACCAGTGGAGAACACTGCAATCATTTCCATAGTGGACAGTTGAGAAATATATTTATTATTATTATATCATTGCTAGAAATCGTGTGATTTGATTGGCTAATTCAGTACCATGTGATCAAAAATACCATGGCATATTTCACAGCTCCCTCAATTGGTGGATAGACGTACTGCCCGGCTTATTGCCCACCCAGGAATTCTGACAACTGCACTGGTCGAAAATAAAAATGTACCATGTAATGATACTTGTTCGTAATTATGTTAATTAATGGGTTTATGATATATTAATTGATTAAAATAAATGTTCACAGGAAAAAACAAATATTTTATATTTCTTTGAAACGCGATCGTAGAGATTATAGAGAATGTCTAGCAATGATATAATAAAACAAATATTTCATTCTATGTTCGGGCAATACCTGTTGCACTTTCAATGATCTACAGGCTGCCGGCAATACATGCTGCAATGCAAAAATCATTGAAAGATGAACAGGTATTGCCCTTCATAGAATGTAGTATTTGCTTATTATCCCATACATGTAGTTGAGGCTAAGTCATGATAAGTCATGAAATTATATTATCGCATTTTGAGACTTTGCTATTCATGTATTGTCGTCTTCTTGTGCATGTACATGTATGTGCATGTATGCATCTATAGAGAAGTGGGGGGGGGATATTGTGGGGGGTATTGTGGACCCCACATATATCTTGTCATCAAAATTCCAGAAAAATTGCTTCTCCATTCCATTGCTTATCAAAAGTTTGAGACTTGAAAAAATAAGATACCCTCATCTTTTCACCCCCTACCCTCTTATTTGAGGTACGGGGGGGGGGGGTCAAATGAAAATAAACTTCAATTCATAACTTTGGAACCATATGGGGGATAATGGGATTATACGGACCTTACTATTCGCAAGTCCACACTCCAATGGTGCCTAGAATTTTTAGTTTGGTTGTATCTACAGAAAGAAGTCTTTTTGGCATGTATTTGAAAAAATCCCATAAACTCAGTATACATTTCACGATTTTCATGAATATCGATGATATTGTATACGCTATTATTTGCTTTAATTTGATGGCTGTTTTAATTTGGCGTACTGATAAAAATCATAAAATTAAGTCTCCGTCAATTTTTTGAAAATAAATGACATTCTTGGGGATTTTTGTCTACTGAGTGCCTTTTCTGTGTGTCATTCTCATAATTAAAGAGTTTAAAAAAGCAAATAACGATGTAATTGCTGTTTCAGTATAGTTTCTCCCATTGAACTGAAATCAAATTTTATCCATACACTCAGTTTCGACTGCCAATTATTTAAAATTATTTAGCATGCTCTCTCTTAGTGCAGTGTTCATGTGAGCTCAAAAACGTGCCAACCTCAAAGTGCAAAATGCAAGTCTAGACTCGAGTGTCAAGATCTGATTCAATTCAGTTTCAACTGCCAATTATGTAAATTGTTTGGCACAGTACTCTCTACATACACGTGAGCTCAAAAACATGCAAGATGCAAGACAAGACTTAGTGCCAAGATCTGATTAGGTTTTGGGTATTTTTTCTTTTATAATAAATACTCTTCATTTCTTAAAATCATAGATAAATTTTCATTGTTATTCACGGCGTAATCGCCCAGAAAGGGCATTTCTACTGCCACAGTGAATTTAAATTACAATATAATATAACATTTAGTCAAAGTCATTATTAGAGTAAGAAAAATATATAATTTAGATACTATCTGTTTTTCTACCTGTCTGTACCCCCGTTGGTGCCCTGAATTTGAATAACTGTCATCGATTATTTAATGAAATTCAAAACTGCCTTAAAGATTTTGGAATTGTTTTCATTTGTCAGATCTTTGTCGCCAAAAAGTAAGAAATTTGTCTTATTTTTTAATGTTTTGTATTTAGTAACATCTAAGTTTAGTTCATGTTTAACCACCGCTAGCGCATTTGTTTCTCTCAGAGGGCAGGACAAGAGTTATGTTGTGCTGTGTCTCGAGCTCCACAGTCACAATATGGATCGTTAATGAAAGAGAAATTATGGTCAAAAAGATCAGATTTGAAATATCGATTTACTCTTATCTTATTTAGTACAATTTCTTCTTTTCTATCAAGATTCTGTATGTAGGAGGTTGAAATTGTAGGTTCGGTGTTTTTGGTGAGGTGATCATTTAGTTTTTTTTTAAAAAGTGAGAAGCTGTTCGTTTCCTTGTGGTCTCTAGGAAGACGGTTCCACAAGGTTATCATTTTGCCAGGCAAATTACATTATCGCCAATCTCGTTATGATCACAATTATGTCAGGGCTATCTGTAATATTCTGTTTTTAAAACTACTGTTTTCGATTCACGGAAAGAACCATAATGATAGGATTGCTTAATTTCAATTTATTTTTTTAGTTGCCCAAATAATTCTGAGATCTGTGATGATAGCTTGTGTATATCAATAGACAAAATGATACAAGGTTTTTTCCTTAAAAATACAATTATACAGGGTGGGCCAAAAAAAACCAATACCCAACTTTAAATCAGGATAAAAATAGTTATGTTCAATATGGTACATTGACTTATATACCATTTTAAAGGTAATACATTTCCAAACAATTTGGTATATAACACTATGACATAAAATCAATAGTAAAGGTGTATTATACTTATTTGGGAGGCTGGGTCGCTATTTAAGGTCTCTAGATTTTGGGGAGAAAACAGTAAATCTGTGGAATTATGTAAACTTTTTATTCATGGAATATCATTTTGTTAGGTGAATACAAGCTTGTATATTTGCATCATTTGTGACATAACTTATTGTTTATGAATTTCAGTATTGATTACTATCTATAAGTACTCAAAAGAGGTATGTTAAAAGACATAAAACGTATATGTGGTGGGGGGGGGGGTAGTTTTCAACAAGACAGTGCCTTGTCCCATAGATCAAAGGTGACATTGGCATTCCTTCACGAACAAGTTGTCAATTTGACTGATCCAAATGCTTGGCCACCCAGAAGCCCCGATGCTAATGTGGTGGATTGCCATACATGGAGTCATCTCTATGTATGGTAATGGGTACAGGAAATGGTGTACAATCACAAGCATCCAATAAAAAGTAGTGATTAGCTGAACCGCGGGATCCTAATTGCTGGAATGTATTGCTACCGCTTGAGGCTTATTGTTGACGCAAAGGGGGGGGGGGCATATTAAGCAATTGTTTAAATGAATAAATTGTAAAATGTTATTAAACAACACTGAAATTCATAAACAATAAGTTTAGTCACACATTGATGCAAATAAACATGCATGTATTCACCTAACAAAATGATATTCTATGAATATAAAGTTTACATAATTCCACAGATTTACTGTTTTTTCCCTAAAATCTAGAGACCTTAAATAGCGACCCATCCTCCCAAATAAGTATAATACACCTTTACAATTGATTTTATGTCATAGTGTTATATACCAACTTGTTTGAAAATGTATTACCTTTAAAATGATGTACAAGTCAATGTATCATATTGAACACAAGTATTTTTATCCTGATTTGAAGTTGGGTATTGGTTTTTTTTGGCCCACCCTGTAAATATATATTCTTACTTGAAAATTGCTCACCTTGAAATACAGTAAAACCTGTCTAAGTGGAACACCTTTAATACATCTAAAAAGTGTTTTACTTGGGAGGTGATCCAACTACATAGGTTCATTTAACATGCAGTCACTTGGTCTTGGGACTCTGAAGTGTTCCACTTACAGAGGTGTTCCACTTTTAGAGGTGTTCCACTTCTTGAGGTGTTCCACAAAGTGCAAATTTTAAGTTATGGATGTACCTTTTATAAAGGTCTTAAAGGCAATCAATTCACTTAAATTAGATCAATTTTACTTCAAATATCAAGTATTTACTGAAAATAAGGTCTTTACAAAGACTCAGGAAATAAAGTATGGAATTTATAAAATCAAATATGATTGATCATTTATTTAGATTATTTACTGCATATGAAACTTCTTTAATTAATGAACTTCTCAATTTTGATTTTATACATTTATATATTGATTATGTTTATGTAGTCCGCTAAAATGATTTAAGCATTCTTAATGGAAAATGATCAATTCAGAAAACATCGGAACATTATGAGGCAGCTCCAAAAGTCCATTGCTAAGTGGATGTGTTGGTCAGTAATATTGTTCCCTGTCATTCGTACCTTTGAGTGGAGATTCAAATTCTGTTAGATAAATTATTATTCTGTATTATATTGTACTTCCTTCCTGTTCTGCTTCAATGACTACATAAGCCGGAGGTTTGTTGTCAACATCATTATCAGTTGCTATGGTAACACCACCATTAATTGTCATGGCAACTGCTTCCTCATATGACGGCAACCTAATGCTTGACAGCTCCTGATCAGGAAAGCCTGGAGGATAACAGATCGGAGGATTGTGTATGTGAGGATTGTTAATCTGAGGATTGTATACCGTACATATATTTTCCTGTGTTTCACGATTCCTAGAAGCCTCTACGTAATGAGTTAAAATACACACACATTTTTTTTGTCTCTTTGAATAAACAACGCTTGCTATTAATACAGGCAATAGTAGGATGCCCATGATAATAACCACGATATATGGGCTCCGGAAAATCTTGTCCGCACCTGCTTCTTCGTTATTGTCAATCAGTGTTTTTGCTACATCCATGGTGCTCTTTGTCACTTTGTCCAAGGTAGCATTGAATGATCCTCCAAGTGTCGTCATCATGTGATTTACTTGTTTAGTTCAGTGTATTAATTGTTCTAATTTAATGTTTACTTCCAAATATGGTATTGAATAATCCTTCATATGATGTCATAATATGCGTAACGAGTTCAGTTTATTTTATTATCTTTTAATACTAGTATATTTTGATATAGCCTAATGTCATTTCATTCTTAATGTACCTTTGCTACTATACTATTTCTCGAGTTTTGTGACACACATAAATAATTTATATGCATATATTTTTGTATATTTCAATTATATTTTATATACATCAAAAGTCTCGCTATATATTTTTTACCCTATCTTGCAAATGCGAGTATTTTGAGTTAATAGAAATATTTTTCATAAAATTCCTTAACCTGTTGTAGTATTATACACAGATATGTATTTGATTCATTTTTTAAGTTTTATAGCACTTAAATGATCAGCAATTTGTATCGTGTTATAGTGACCTTGCTCTATGTTTCAACCAATGGGAGTTCTTTTCCATATTTATATGTGTTTGCTTCATTCATGGATATTTCAAATTAAAGCGTGTTAGTCACATGCCTTCTTCATTTAAATGCAGGTCCAACTCATGGTTGGTGTTAAAGGTGCAACAATTAGTGCAGAGGGGCCATTCAACGATCATGGACCAGTGTCAAAATATATTCAAGTCTGGAATTTCATCAAGACTTACACCTATTTTTATTATTAACAAAGAAACCCCCTAGATAAACACTATTTCAGCTGATATTCCTCTTGTAACATGGTGTATCTTAAAAATATAAAAAGTGGATTTCCCCTTTTTGAAGCTTTAAACTGAATTTACCCTTCTTAATGCTGAAATTGATAGTTTATCCATACATTTAAAGAAAAAAGGTATGTCAGAGAAGAATAAGATGTTAAGCCAAATGTTGCCTTTATAGCTCAGAAAAAGTCAAAATTTTCCTATTTTCTCTCTACATTGCCCTGCTTCGTCTCTACAAAAACATCCAACTTTTCCTGCAGTGTATAGCATAGGTTTAGACAAAATACCATGGTTTTATTTGGTTCACAAAATGGGTCAAGATTTTTGGCAATGTCTTTTCACCCCTGCTGAGTGTGTGCTGTATTATGCACTTGTAATGAAATTTTATGTATTTATCAATATTTATCTGAATATATTTTGAGCCAAATGACAAAATGATGATTTTTACAATTCAAAAAATACATTGTAATGAGTTTACTTGTTTAAAGTTGCTTTGTATATGTTATTGTTTGTTTGTATGTTTCGTATTGCTTGTTTATGTGTTTTACTTGTTTGTTTTACTATTTGTTTGCAAGTTCTGGATATTACTTTTACCTTTTACTTGTTTGTAAGTTTTAGATTGCTTTGTTTATGTTTACTTTTTGTTTGCAAGTTCTGGATTACTTTTAGTTGTTTGTATGTTTCAGATTGCTTTGTTTATGCTTACTATTTGTTTGCATGTTCTGGATATTACTTTTACTAGGGTGTCCCAAAAAATCACTTTTTTGGAGTTGAGCTTAGCACAGTTGGGGTTTGGTTCCTTTTGGGGAGTTTATTAAGTGTGTAAAATATTATAGAGACAGATCGATGTTTCAGTTGTTGGAATTAGACCTAAAAATGTAACGTTTTTGGCAAAAATCGCACTTTTTGACCAGATTTACTGAAGAATAATGGAAACCTACCTCACCTTCTGTTCATAAAAATGAAGGCTAAATGAAAGGTTGTGCACCACATTACCACTCTAAGTAAGAATACTGCTGAGATTTGGGTATATACCCTCCAAAAAGACTCTGAAATGAGGCTAAAAATGACATATTTTAAGATTGAAATCAATGGGTAACATTCATACGTATTACAAATGTTTTATTTAGCTATAGATATGCAGATCACATAAGTAAGTTCAGATCAGTTCTTCAGGTCAGTTCTACAGATAAAATTGTCCATATTGTCCATTTGTTGTTTGTTAAGGTTTTTAAAATCAAGAAGCTGGCGGTGATGGTTAACCACCATCTGAACACGATCGCGGCGATCCACACCCTTACCGTAGTTTGCGAACTCGGTAACATCCTTGATTGCCCGTTCTGCACAATCGTTAACTACTTCCATGGAAGTAACGAGCTCCTTAAATCTAATATACTCTGGAAACTGATCCCAGTTGTCGGGATTAAATTCCATCCAGTGTACATCTACTTGAAAGAGGTCAAAAATTAACCATGACCTTTCCCCACCAAAGTTTTCAAGCGTGACGTCCCCTGGTCTTGTTAACAAGTGATCTTTCATTTGTGTTTTCTGTGGAGGAAAGTTCTGGGGACGACCTGCATCTATCATTACTCTGATGATCTCAGATTTCTTCTCACCCTTGATGTTGTTGTCACATAGTGACAGAGGTAACAGTTCCTCAGAGAGGTACCACATATGCCGTTTAATGGATACAAGTACCTTGTTGACGAGTTCAGGATCAGATGCCTAAAAGCCAGATGTTGGTTATTGTTCAGATTGCACATTATGATTTTGAATCTTGATTTTTCATTGTTCAATATTTTACATGACGAAAAAGAAGAATTGTTACCTGAAACTGAAGAGTATTCTCCCAGAACTCTAAATCCACCCGGGGAGCAACTGCAGGAATCATGGCCTGAAGGAAGAACTGATTTATTGATTATTTCTAAGCCCCTGGAGGCGTAGACCCACTTTTCACCAGATTCAAGAATTTCTTTGACCGGCTTGACCTTGATGACATCAGAGTGTGGGAGGGTGAGGAGGCAGACCTCTATCCAGTTGGCTGTCAAACCTGGTTCTCTTACCAAGCGGGCATTGTGCGAAACTTTGCAGAACAACTCAACATATCTGAAGATTGGATCAGAGAGGACTACCAGGAGCTAAATGAGCTCTTGATTGTGTTTTTCAATGGCACAGTAAGGCTCAGTATTCACTTCTCAATGCATTCTACCTGTATTATTCAACCTGTAACATATCACCTATTATTAAGAAGTGTACAATTACTATAATTATTGAGTAATATGCGCAGTACTTGTCATCTTGATTTTAATTTGAGAGATATCTTGGTATGTAGGTCCAAAGACGAGGTTTGGGTGGTAACATTTACAACTACCAGTGGCGTATGAAAAGACCAGGTGCAGTTAGCCATGCGCGGTTTATGTCAAAGGCAATATATCTCATCAAAATATTGATGACTAGGCACCAGCTTCCTCCACACATTGTTACTCCTAGAGAATTGCAACAAGTGGTTAGAATTGCAAGGTTTACTCTCTTCTTATACGGCAAGTTCTTCCTTCAGGCCATGATTCCTGCAGTTGCTCCCCGGGTGGGAGAATACTCTTCAGTTTCAGGTAACAATTCTTCTTCACTATGTGACAACAACATCAAGGGTGAGAAGAAATCTGAGATCATCAGAGTAATGATAGATGCAGGTCGTCCCCAGAACTTTCCTCCACAGAAAACACAAATGAAAGATCACTTGTTAACAAGACCAGGGGACGTCACGCTTGAAAACTTTGGTGGGGAAAGGTCATGGTTAATTTTTGACCTCTTTCAAGTAGATGTACACTGGATGGAATTTAATCCCGACAACTGGGATCAGTTTCCAGAGTATATTAGATTTAAGGAGCTCGTTACTTCCATGGAAGTAGTTAACGATTGTGCAGAACGGGCAATCAAGGATGTTACCGAGTTCGCAAACTACGGTAAGGGTGTGGATCGCCGCGATCGTGTTCAGATGGTGGTTAACCATCACCGCCAGCTTCTTGATTTTAAAAACCTTAACAAACAACAAATGGACAATATGGACAATTTTATCTGAAGAACTGACCTGAAGAACTGATCTGAACTTACTTATGTGATCTGCATATCTATAGCTAAATAAAATATTTGTAATACGTATGAATGTTACCCATTGATTTCAATCTTAAAATATGTCATTTTTAGCCTCATTTCAGAGTCTTTTTGGAGGGTATATACCCAAATCTCAGCAGTATTCTTACTTAGAGTGGTAATGTGGTGCACAACCTTTCATTTAGCCTTCATTTTTATGAACAGAAGGTGAGGTAGGTTTCCATTATTCTTCAGTAAATCTGGTCAAAAAGTGCGATTTTTGCCAAAAACGTTACATTTTTAGGTCTAATTCCAACAACTGAAACATCGATCTGTCTCTATAATATTTTACACACTTAATAAACTCCCCAAAAGGAACCAAACCCCAACTGTGCTAAGCTCAACTCCAAAAAAGTGATTTTTTGGGACACCCTATTTTACTTGTTTGTTTGTATTTTTCAGATTGCTTTTTTATGTTTATTACCAGTTTGTTTGCATGTTCGTGAGTACTTTGTTTACTTTTACTTGTTTTTATGTTTCAGATTGCTTTGTTTATGTTTACTATTTGTTTGCAAGTTCTGGATTACTTTTAGTTGTTTGTATGTTTCAGATTGCTTTGTTTATGCTTACTATTTGTTTGCATGTTCTGGATATTACTTTTACTTGTTTGTTTGTATATTTCAGATTGCTTTGTTTATGCTTACTATTTGTTTGCATGTTCTGGATATTACTTTTACTTGTTTGTTTATATGTTTCAGATTGCTTTGTTTATATGTATTCTTTGTTTGTATGTTTCAGGAGGCTTTGTTTATGTTTATTGTTTGTTTAAATGTTTCAGATTGCTTTGTTTATGTTTATTGTTTGTTTGTATGTTTCAATTGCTTTGTTTATGTTTATTGTTTGTTTGTATGTTTCAGATTACTCACAATGATAGTTGTTGGAGCCCTTGTTTTACATATTCTGGATAATATGGAGGAAAAGTCCAAGTAAGAAATATAAAAAAATATTATTTTGTAGAACATTACGAATTTTGTACAGATGCCAACATTTGTTGGCAATTATTTAAGTTTATTTTGTTGGTTGAATAAAGGAAGATTTTGTAGCCACCTGTTGATTTTTAAGTTTTACTAATTTCATAAAAAGAATTTATTCCCACATTTGGTTATCTTTACATGATACTACTGCCTTGAATTTAAATATCAGCCTATTATCTATCATAATTTTATATATTTCGTGTATGGGTGCAACTGCCAATATCATAACAGCTGCCCATTTACACAGTACATATTTTATATGATTTTCAATAAAAAATTTAACCTGGACAGAAGATGAAATACCCAGAATTCATAGATGTTCATCTTTACATGGAGACAGGTTCATCTATTGATTATGGGTATTCACCCTCTTCACTGACTTCATTTTATTTTTCCAGAGCAATAGCGTTTTTTGTGGTCCTTCTCATGTGCTGTCAAATGACTGTAATGTACTCTGCGGCACCCCTAATATGGTCATCTCTCTTCAATGTGCTGCTCATCGTGCTACTAAATATGTTCACTGTGCTTACTGGAGGCTGGGCACTCATACAATTCCCAGCATTCATCAGACAGGAACCTATGGTTGTCAAGGTAACAAATATTTTGATTATCACTAAAGAATATAGACACAGATGTATTTAATGTTGTAATACAGACAGTTTCTACACATTTAAGGGCCGGGTCAATATTTCAATGTCCGTCTGAAAACTTGATAAATGTAGTTAGGTCTTAACCCCCCTCACCTTACCATCTAACTTAAGTTTGAATTTTGATTCTGTGTGTGGTGTTAAAGAGTCAAATGTACAACCCAAAGCATACAATTGCTACTGCTATAAACAACACAAAATTCTCTTTATACACATCTGTTGTGTATATTAAACGATCACACCATGCCTGTCAAACCAGAAATTGCAAAAGACAAAACTCTTGGAAACTAAAAATCAATGTCCATCACCTAATTAAATAGCTTTTAACCCCCTCCCCTAACATAATTAATTACGTTATTTGATGGACATTGAAATATTGACCCAGCCCCTTACAAGAATCAAATAATTGGGCACCATCACCCCATCCCTTAGGCTTGGTCACACAAATTACTAATTTTTTTATTCACATATTATTTGATTATCTTTACATGATGCTACTGCCTTGAATTTAAATATCAGCCATATTAATGGTTTGACAGGCATGGTGTGATCATTTAATATACTCAACAAATATGTATAAAGAGAATTTTGTGTTGTTTATAGCAGTAGCAATTGTATGCTGTGGGGTTGTACTTGTACAATATCAGCATTTGACTCGTTCATAGTTTTATGTATAACATACCTAGCAAAGCATTTGTATTGAAGTCAATGGAGCTGAAGGTTGGCTATATATTCCTGTATAGCCGCCCAAATTTTTACCATGACAATTTTGTGACGTCATAACATGTAAACAATGTGATTTCGACTGGAATTGTGTAAAATTTTGGTCTTTTTTTCACACATTTCTACATATTATCTTCATGAAATGTTATGTAAATCTGCTTTAGGTACGTAATACAACAATTATGTCCGTATCATTGAATATATGCCTTCGGTCCGTCGTCTTGCAAGCTCGGGCTATATTGACTTCGGATCTCAGGCATATATTCAATGATAGGGACATGTATGGGTGCAACTGCTAAGTTTTGTCTTTTGTAACAAATAATTGTCAGTAGTTGCATTTACGAGTAACATTATAATAATTCTATTGTTTCCCTATTCTCTTCTATTGGTCTACAGGTGGTCGAACTGATGTTATTTGCTGTTTACCCATTTGGTTGCACATTACTGTTGTCCTGGGCAACCGCATCTGTGATTATGGTAGAAGCAGCTCCTTACTGTATTATCATATATGGGTAAGCCTACTTTACTATATTATCATGTATTGGGTAAGCCTACTTTACTGTATTATGATATATGGGTAAGCCTACTTTACTCTATTATCATATATGGGTAAGCCTACTTTACTGTATTATCATATATGGGTAAGCCTACTATACTGTATTATCATATATGGGTAAACCTACTTTACTATATTATCATATATGGGTAAGCCTACTTTACTGTATCGTGTGTCTTTGAAACAGAAAGATGCGATGAGTGATGGAATAACTTTTCTTAGGAATAAGAAATTTTAATTTCTTCTAAATCAGATGCAATCATAAGTAGATTTTTAACCCATACAGATAAAGCAATGAACAGATGATAAATTCATTCATGGTAAGCAGCACAGAAGCCCTCAGGCTCTACTTTTCTTATTACAATTTTTTTTTCACCCAGAAGGTGTGACATATTGTTACAGTCTCTCAAATTTTTTGTGGATGGTGTTCAGTGGTCAGGGTTCAGCGGTTAGTGTCTCTAACAAATGACAGGTGGTTACATTTTCCATGTTAATGCCTTATTTTAATCATGCTAAGGATTGCAGAATCCCTCAAGCTCTTCTTTTTTATTACAGATTTGGTTTCTTTGTTACAGATTTTTTTCTTTTCTTGTTACAAATTTGGTTTCCTTGTTACAGATTTTTTCCTTTTCTTATGAAAGATTTTTTTCTTTTCTTATTACAGATTTTTTCCTTGTCTTGTTACAGATTTTTTTCTTTTCTTATTACAGACTTTCCTTTTCTTGTTACAGATTTTTTTCTTTTCTTGTTACTAATTTTTTCCTTTTGTTCTTACAGATTTGTTCTACTCCAATTATTTATGACACCAACAATATCTTCATTCTGCAAGACAGATTCCCAGAATGCAGAGACAACGCTCATACTTGACCCAATGATAGTTGGGATACTGAGTCTAGTGTACGCTACCATGCCGACAATGGTATATGTGGTGATCACCTTAATATTGGATTTCAGAACCCTCTTTTATGCATCAACAATAGTAAGTAAAAATTTCAATACTTACATATTTAAATGATAACTCTTCTTCCTTCATTCGAAATGCTTCTTTAATAACTAAGCTGAGAATCATTAACAGAAATTTCGTTAAGTTACGAATTTGTACAGTAAATCATTTGTAACATGGATATAATGACATCACAGTTAGAGATGGATACACAATGGACTTTACACATTCTTAACTTTAGGAAGTTTCTGTTAATGAAGGATAGATCCAAGCAAAGCTATTATTGCAGGAGTGACAGAATTTTTTTTATATATATTGTATTTGTTTATATCAAATTATTACAATAAACACAAATACTTTAGCGGCTTTGTAAGTTACATTATAAGCCACTTTCAGGATGATGATTCACAAAACTAGGTCTGCAAATGATCTGATAGTAATGATGCTATAAGCATAATAGGTCACCAGACTGCCTGGAGTCCCTCAACACAGTCATAAGAAATTGCTTATCCACTAGTTGGGCATTTTGGCATGCACTTAAAAAGTGCATATTTGGCTTTCTAAATTAAATTAAATTGCATGTGTTGTACATGTGTATGCAATGTGTATACAATGTGTATGCTATGTGTATGTATTACTTTTATGCTCAATTCACTAACAATTATCTGAGTGGCTGATACTGCCTTCAGCAAAGCCACTACAAGTGTACAATCTTTATGTATTGTATTTGTAAAATAAATTCTATGAATAAAAAAAAACTGAGTGTGTATGATAAGTGCTCACCTGTCTTAAGCCCTAAACACAACAAAAACATGAATGTAATTTCCCATTATTGACCATTAAATAAAAATACAATATTGAAGCCTCACTGTTAGATACCTCCTCATGTCACAAGTCGGTCTGAAAGAATATTGTCATATACCTGACATTTATCAAACAAAATTGAACGTGTATAACTATAAGTACTCTGGTTTTGAGATTTTGGCACTATTCCTTATTTGCCATTATCTGCTACTCTCTTTGTGTTTTCCAGATTCATGGCTTGTTCATTGCTGGCTTAAGTGTGTTCCTATCCTCACTGTTACATTTTTTTATTTTATTTTTTTTTTTATTTATATTTGTTTATTAAAGTCTCACATGTCTCCTGGACATCAAGCCGTTGCCGGCTTAGGAGAGACTATAAAATGTAGTACATTAAAATTCAATTTTTAAAATGGTGTTTAAAATATAATCAGTTTAGCCATATTAAAATATTAATGTTCTTCTGTGTTTCATTATATTAATCAATGTATTGGCTAAAGTCCTATGTAGGTTGGAGTTCATAATGAGAGCATATTGAACTAGATTATTGCACTGATTAAAGTCACTATATAAAATATTCATTTTGTTTATAAGTTCTTGCCTTTGTTGTTCATACATATTGCAAGATAAAAGAATGTGTCTTTCATCTTCAATTGAGCCTGTCCCACATGTACAAAGTCTGTTATCAATGGGAGTTGGTGGTCTACAGTATCTGCCAGTCTCTATATGGATTTTCAGTGTCCCTGATCTAAGCTGAGCTATGTGCCTCCTCTGGTTCCTATTGAGCTGGTTTACAACATAACCCTCAGGTTCAACTGCATGTGTTTTGTGTAGCCTGTAGGTACGTAATTTGTTACCATTCATTGGAGCTTTGCTGTCATCCCAGAGATTATGCATCCATGTGGTGTGATCCGCCGAAATAAGCAGTTGCTTGAAGGCTTGAAGTTTTGTCTTTACATTAGATATATATGGTTCATTGAAGTATTCTGTTCCAGACGATTCAAATAACAAGGTAGTCTGCATTTCCCATGACTTTGATCGTCCTGGAAAAGTACATGATGATGACCATATAAAGACTTTCCTATTGAGACGATCATGGTCCATGTTAGTTAGCCTACAGAACAGACGTGCAATTTCCACACGCTGTTTAGTGTAAATTGATGGCCATGCCATGTCTCCGGTGGTGGCTATGTTTGGTGCACATTTCCCAAGGCATAGAAAATAACGACATGCTCTGTTCTGTATGGCATTTATGCATGAATACTGTCTTGTACCCCATATTCCAGCTCCATATAGGAGAATTGGCTGGACCATAGTTTCAAAAAGTCTTGTGTATACTTTATATGGGAATCCTCCAAAGGATTTAAATTTGGCAATCACCGCTCCAAGAGCTCGGTTGGCAGATTTTGCGAGTATTTTTACTGATTCATTATAGTCCAGATGTTCATTAAAATACAGTCCCAGATATTTATAATCATGTGTGTAATCAAGTGTAATTTCACCACATATAAATTGTTTCTGGCATCGATTTACATTTTTGAGGCGAAAATGCATTATTTTGGTTTTGTCTTTATTAATCTGTACTCTCCACTTTTTGCACCATTCATTTAATATATTAAGTAGTTGTTGTAGATTATCTGGGCTTGGGGCGATCAAAATAATATCATCTGCATATGCTAGAATACCTATGTTAGTCCCTCCAATGTCAATGCCATATCCAGTGGTATTGATTTCTGATATAAGGTCATTGAGATATATCGAAAAAAGCGTGGGCGATAGTTTGCACCCCTGTTTCAGACCACAGGTCACGTCAAACCATTCTGTAGTGCTGCCGTCACTCATCCTTACTGCACACTGAACATCCTTGTACATTGATGTAATTGCAGCATACATACGTCCTTTAACACCCATGTTTGCAAGTTTGAGCCACATGCAGTCTCTATTGATATTGTCAAACGCACGGCGGGCGTCCACTAGAGAAACGAAGGTAGATTGCTTCCGCAGTTTGCGATTGTTAACTATATCATGTAATGTGTGGATATGATCGATGCAGCTTCTCTTTTGACGAAACCCATTTTGACTATCACATAGTTTTTTGTTAAGTTCTAGCCATTTAGTGAGTCTACAGTTTAAAATGTCACAATATACTTTAGCTGGGACAGATATAAGTGATATTCCTCGATTGTTCATCGGTACTCTGCTATCTCCAGCTTTAGGTATTGGCTTAATTACTCCATGGTTCCAAATTGATGGCACACATCCATTTTTAAAACATAGGGAAATTATTGTAAATAGAATTTCAATACATGTAGGGTTTTTTAATACCTCCGCTGGGATATTATCTATTCCAGTTGCTTTACGAATTTTAGCTCTTGTAATGCTGTCTATAACTTCCTGTTTTGTAATATCTGAGTTTAAAATTGGTGTAGTAGTTGAATTCTCATCGAGGTTCATATTGCTCAATTCTGTTTTCACATTAGTCAAGTGAGTTTCATCAAATGTTTGGTTATTAGCATCATTATACATATTGCTGAAGTCAGTTCGCCATTGATGACGCACAGCCTCTGGGTCTGAACTTGTTACATCTCCATTTTCATTGACTAATTCCATTGGTGTAAAATTAGGCCTATCGTCAGCAATTCCTGTATTTTTATATAATTTCCAGAAAGATGTCTGTTCAGTTGAGTTACACATTTCCAAGAGGTGGGCCTGTTCATTTACTTGATGTTGATGTTTCGCTTTTCTAAGGGACTTGTCGAACCTACGCCTTGCTGCACAGAAATCTTGACGTAATGTTTTCTTTTGTCGAGATTTGTCACTTAGCCAGATCCTCTCCCTTTCTTTAGCATAATCCCATTTTTGTTGTAATTCATCTGACCAATATGGTTTGGCACGCTTTTTATGTTTAAATTTGGCATTATTATAATTACGTTTGTGGGGCAGTTTTAAGTCCATTTCAGAATGTACAAAGTTCATAAAATTGGAGTAAGCATCATCGATGCCTGAAATATCTTCATCTAGTGACTGTATTCTATCTAAAGTTGCATGTAGCTGACGCTGTACATCGTCACCCATCATAAAATTGTCTGGTATCACATTAAGCTTAAATTGCATATTTTTGTTTATTGCACTGTTTACAGCATATGGTGCAGAATTAATTGGTGGCAGGTTTATAGTACTATATATTAATGAGTGGTCAGGTACCTTCACTGGAACGGGTATATCATATTTTGAGATTGCGTCTGTCATTGTTAATACACCGAAATCTGCCCAGCTATTTAGTTGCTCATGGGGAACCACGATATAGTCCACAACTGATTTCCCTCTTGGTGCTATGAAGGTGAAATCACTTGGACCAACACGTCCATTTATCATGCAGGTGCTGGTGCTAGTTAGAAAATCGATCAGAGTGTCTCCATACGCATTAGTTGTAAAATCAGAAATATGAGTACGTGGTTGTATATGGTCCACCCCCTCAATGAAATCATTTGATTCCCCACATCTGGAATTGAGGTCACCACATATGGCAAAGTGTCCCAAGTTCTGATAGGCATATATTTGGTCTTGAAGACTTTGGTAAAATAATTCTGCATCACTCTGCCTCGAGGAATCCTTTGGTGGAAGGTAGCAGCTGCATATACATATGGATAGATTTTGATTAGATTTGCATGTGAGTTTAATCCACATTATGTCCTCCACACTTTTATCTAAAATTGCACAATCAAAGGTTTCCAACAATTGACGTTTTATTAGCACACCCACACCTCCAGATCCTCTATGCGCATTTTTATTAATATCTTTACGATTATGTCCATACCATTTATAAACTCGGCTTATTGGTTCAATATTTAATGTTTCATTTCCTTTCAGCCAAGTTTCACTAATACATATCACATCTAAGCCTGTAGCAGATAAAATATCATTTCTAAAACCTGAATTATCATTCACATCCCTGGACCATCCATTAACATTGAATGACCCCACTGTGAACTGCCGGCAACGGCTATTGTCCTAATGTTGGGAATTATGACGCCTACCCCTGGCACGTTGGGGCAGATTTACCTGCTGGATTGGTTGGGCTACGCCACGTTGGTTTCTAACAAGTGGAATGTTCACATTTCTATCAGCCGACATATTCAAACGCTGGGGAGAATTTTGCCTTTGACGAACTTGTCGGACTGCTGATGATACGGAACTAGAACGTCTGCGCCTACGGTTCCCTGGGGATGTAACCCTGTTGTTTATATTGGTATGCTGCATTTGCATGGGGTTTTGACGGTCAAGGACTCGACCATTTATAACTGTCAGTTTGTCGTTGGCACACATATTTACGATTTTACGGAGATTCGCTTCTGCAGTAAGTGTCTCACGGGATTTCACTTCATTTATATATATTTTACGGGTGTTGGCACATTTAGATAGGGCTGCTTTATTTTTCAGTACAAATTCTCGTTCCTCGGTTGAGTGAAATGTCGCTTGTACAACCTTTGAATTAGGGAATCTTCCAACCCTTTTGGCTTGAAGAGCATATATGTCCAGTAGTTTCATATCATCCTTCAGGATTTTATTAACTTTTGCTAACACATCTTCATTTTGCTCATAGGCAATATTTCGAAATATGAGATCCAGGCTAATATTGTGCTGAATGTTTTCAGTCAGCATTTTTACACTTGATTTTACTGCATTTAGATCATCCTGCACCTGATCAATGTTTTTCTGACATACCTCTTCAGCGATATTACGCATACGCTTTTCTTGGTTGTCCAGCCGTGTTACAATGTCGATTTGAGATTTCTGGATGGTCTCGAACATTTCAATTATGCGGTCGAAGTTCGGTAATGTAGCGATAGAGGGTTGTTGGATATCTATGCTGTGCTTCAACGTATCCTTGTGTGCCATAACAATGACATCATCTGTATTCTGTGCCCTGAAAGGTACCCTACCACCCTCGGCTTCCGGGGTAGGTGACTCTCGGGGGACTCCATGCCGAGGGTGTGACCCAGGGCAAGGACTCTCCCGGGAGGCAGCTTCTACACCTACATATAAAGTCCTTTATGTTTTACAGATCCATGGCTTGTTCATTGCTGGCCTAAGCGTGTTCCTATCCTCACTGTTACATAGTCGTTTGTGTTTTCCAGATCCACGGCCTGTTCATTGCTGGCCTAAGTGTGTTCCTATCCTCACTATTACATATAAAGTCCTTTGTGTTTTCCAGATTCATGGCCTGTTCATTGCTGGCCTAAGCGTGGTCCTATCCTCACTGTTACATATAAAGTCCTTTGTGTCTTCCAGATCCGTGGCCTGTTCATTGCTTGCCTAAGCGTGTTCCTATCCTCACTATTACATATAAAGTCCTTTGTGTTTTCCAGATTCATGGTCTGTTCATTGCTGGCCTAAGCGTGGTCCTATCCTCACTGTTACATATAAAGTCCTTTGTGTCTTCCAGATCCATGGCCTGTTCATTGCTTGCCTAAGCGTGTTCCTATCCTCACTATTACATATAAAGTCCTTTGTGTTTTCCAGATTCATGGCCTGTTCATTGCTGGCCTAAGTGTGTTCCTATCCTCACTGTTACATATAAAGTCCTTTGTGTTTTACAGATTCATGGCCTGTTCATTGCTGGCCTAAGCGTGTTCCTATCCTCACTATTACATATAAAGTCGTTTGTGTTTTCCAGATCCACGGCCTGTTCATTGCTGGCCTAAGTGTGTTCCTATCCTCACTGTTACATATAAAGTCCTTTGTGTTTTCCAGATTCATGGCCTGTTCATTGCTGGCCTAAGCGTGTTCCTATCCTCACTTTTACATATAAAGTCCTTTGTGTTTTCCAGATCCACGGCCTGTTCATTGCTGGCCTAAGTGTGTTCCTATCCTCACTGTTACATATAAAGTCCTTTGTGTTTTACAGATTCATGGCTTGTTCATTGCTGGCCTAAGTGTGTTCCTATCCTCACTGTTACATATAAAGTCCTTTGTGTTTTCCAGATTCATGGCCCGTTCATTGCTAGCCTAAGCGTGGTCCTATCCTCACTGTTACATATAAAGTCCTTTGTGTTTTCCAGATTCATGGCCTGTTCATTGCTGGCCTAAGCGTGTTCCTATCCTCACTTTTACATATAAAGTCCTTTGTGTTTTCCAGATTCATGGCCTGTTCATTGCTGGCCTAAGCGTGTTCCTATCCTCACTTTTACATATAAAGTCCTTTGTGTTTTCCAGATTCATGGCCTGTTCATTGCTGGCCTAAGTGTGTTCCTATCCTCACTGTTACATATAAAGTCCTTCCTGGAGGCATCAGGTATTATAATATTTTTCAAACTCATCTATTTCTCATACATGTATATCAGTTTCCAATCCTCAACTAAATCAAATCTTTCTGTATTGCATTTCGACCCAATTTAAAAAAGCAAATTTGTGTATTTTTACCTTTAATGACACCTTAAGCTTTATTAAAGAAGCAAATCTAAGTTGATTGCAATCTTGCTATACAAGATATGTATAGAGCTGAAATAAAGAAAGAGAATGTTCTGCCAACTAATCCTTGTTTGATCCCAAATATTTGTTTGTATATGTTTTAAATGTATAAATGAATAAACACAAAGAGCTTGCGTGTCTCAAACTCACATGTTTTGCATTTTAGTGAAGCAAATAAACTCGATTCACTAGTTTTAGAGAATTGGGAAACAAAGTTATTTAATCAGCACATTTACAAAAGCTTAAAGTCAATATGTTGGAATGCCACAAAATGTGAATTACATTTAAATCCCATTTAAAAAAACAAATCTGTATTTCAGGTATTGAAGAAAAATACATTAAATACATACGTTGGTGTGCTGCCGTGGTTTGTCTCAGTTTGTTAGGACCTGTGCTTCTATACCAGGGGACCCCTTCAGAAGTGCTACACCTAATGCCTCTAGCCGCAGCCTTACATACTATATATGGTTACGTTGCTGGCAGAAAAAATAATGATGTAAGAATTAGAGAATATACTCGTTATTGACTTTATTAAAGAATTTAAGCCCACTGGCCTGAGGGGTCAAGGAATTGTGGAGAATTTGTTTTATTGTGTTAATCTTTCAATGAGGGCGTGAGCATATAAGATGCAAGTGCATTATATCACAACATGCAAATGCACAATATGCAAATGCAAGAAATGATGTAAAGAGTGAACATTTTATTGTTTGAACTAGCACTTCGTATTTTAGTTTGAAAGATGCACTAGGTCTCAAAGATAATATTTTGTAATTGCAGATTCCACTGGTTGTTATGGTGGTTGTCATGACAATATTTTACATTTACTTGTTTTCCATATTGCCATGGCAACTCAAGTATCCTTTCAAAATAATTACATATAAAGTGGAGATATTTCTATTTTTTACCAAAAGGCTGTTTGCAAAAGATAAAACTTATTTTAAAAAATGCTGCATTTTTGTGTCACATTGTACCAGTATTGTCTATGTCAATAATCTGCAAAAGGCCACAAAGTTGTAATTTTAAAAAGTTAGTTCCTTGACAATGTGAGTCAGTATTTGAATGACAACGTGGGAGGTGTTCAATACATACATATGGTAATGTGTATAAGTGTTCTACTTTGTGTATTAGCTGTCATCGTTGCCGTAGTTGCGGAGCCAGAGTTGTTTGGAATCGTCATCACCTTTCAGTCATTTTGTAAGTTTTGAGTTTGCACAAAATAAAAGTTGAGATTATTAAAGAGAGGACTGTTAATTGATGTTACATAAGCATGAAATAGTTCAGATTTAGAAATATTTTGTTAACATTATTGCAGTATTATAAAAGTCATTTTCAAAATATTAACTAATGCTTATTTCAGGAGTGGAAGACACCACTGGTACTTTTTGCCAGTATATTTCCAATTTATGATTAAAAGGCTGTAAAGTAACAATTTCCTATAACCGTCTTTTTATATTTACAGCAATGGTTATGTGTGAGAAGTTCTTATTAGCTGCAGGGGTGTATTCCCCAACACTTCTAACAATAATACTGGTGTTTGCAGCATACTTCCTTATAAGGTATGATTCCAAATGGGGTTTCGTATGCTCCCGCTTTTCATAGTTTACCCCTTTAGTAAAATTAGCTTTTGACGTGTGAGTGGGAGGATGAGGCTTTAATTACCACGAAGGTTGAGTGACTTTTTCACATCAGCCCTCAAAGGCAGAATCACATCTATAGTATGTATTTTATGGTTCATCCAAAGGGGTTCGATACATGTACATGAATCAATTCCATGTCATAGTGTTAAACATTTTACATGAGCTCATTGTTGACAATTTTATTTGCAGACTATTTCACGCCAATAAGATTTACGAGAAAGATGCACTGATGTCTCTCTCCCTCCATCTTACAAAGGTTCCTGACATCATCGATGCCGTCGTTGACAATAAAGATGTCTCCACTGCATCGTTTACCTATCGTTTATTTTCCACATTGATCTTAGCTGCAATTGTGAGTCGTGTGGTTGTCTTTGAAAACAGAGATGTTATACCAAACATACAGGTAAAGCATACACGTATGTTATGTGCAGTATGGTTCACTGACTTCCCGAAGCAATGGAATAAAATTGCTCAAATTCGGGATTCAAAAATAGCCTTGGTCCCAGTTGTAGGCCCATTCTGTCATAGCTATGATTGTTACCACTTTTGGTCATCAGTACAAGCACTTAAAAAGATGGATAAAACTGGAAACCTTACTCACTACAATAGTATTTCAGACTTGTATTTGTATGCTTTGCACTCTAATACCTCGATACATCATATAGGTTTTAATCCATTGCTTGTTTATCGGATCTATCATTTACATCCTGTATTTGGATTATTTTAAATGATGTGAAGATACTATCAGTGACAATTTGATTGTTTTTGTACTTTTAGGCATTGATGTACTTTGTTGCGCTAGGGGTGTCCATTATGTTTAACACATTCTCTATCCTTCCTGAGATTTGGTGGTTCGTCATGCGTGACTTTCCTAGCCTCATTGATGTTATAGGTAAGGTACATGTATAGAAATTGTGACATATCTTTGCTATAGGTACCATAAGGTGGAACCTGTGACACCCATAGCCAAAAGTTCTTTCAAATCATACAGTTTCTCATTGTTTTGAGCACCTGTCAAGTGATATGTGGCAAAAATTGTCAAATTTGATCCCCCTGGATTTTTGAAAAGCCTGAGCTCCCCCTCTTGGTGAAAAATTGCTACGGGTCTGCAGTAGTGGTACTAAATGTCATATCAATTTTTTTGTTTTATTTCCAGCCCTTGGCTTCACCATCTGGGGCTTGCTATTTCTTAAGCTTTCCTACTGCCATGTGATACCAGGAAATGACACTAAACAACTAAGCCCGATGTTGCTATGCTATGGGGTCCTCATGATGCTCATTCATCCTCCTTTGGAATACACATGGTAAGTCAAGACCCCTTATATTAAATTCGTTATTGTACATGCTGGTAAGCTTTGACAAAAATTTGCCTAATATGGTATTGCTAAATAGTTGTCAACTAACAAGGATTGATCAAATTAGGCCAATAAGTCACCAAATACAGGTATACTCTATCAGTTTCTCAAATGGTACGAGACGATATTTAATCAAAATTTGCTTCATTTATTTTTCAGGGAAGCAACCCAAAAATGGCTGATTTTATTGAGCATCACAATCAGTCTCCCAACCCTGCCAATTATACGCACGATACGCCATCCATTGCCCTTATTTGGTCTCACAGCAGTCGCTGGGTTCCCTGTTGGATTCTTTGTCACTGATATTGTAAGCATGAATTGCGAAAAATTGTTTGCACTTGTATTTTTTAACAATTTGTACTATTTTTGTATTATTAAGTTTTATTTCGAGGATATTTTGATTCAATTATAGAGCTTATTTGCATTTTAATTTCTGTGTAAAACACTGTCAAATGTAGAGCGTATTGAAAATCATACTACATGCACTTGTATGCAAGACTTACCCTTGCAAATGATAAGATAAGAAAGGTCATTTCAAGACTTTACATATCTGAATTTCTATTATTAAAAAAGTAAAATGAAAATAACCCTCGAAAAATAAATACTTATATATATATATCCTAGACTCATAAAATGTTTACTCAATATTAAATGAATATATTTTGAATAATTTGATTTTAGATTTATTCTCTGCTAAAAGATGGCAGTGGTGTTGGTGTGTTGGCAAACATGTTCATAGGATTAAATCTCACCACAGTGTTTTTCCTGACAGCATCTCTGTATCAGATAGACCACATTACAACAGTCCTTCGCAAACGCTTGTATTTTATGTGAGTATGAGGGGGATTTACATGTACATGTGTTTGTCATTGCAGGTCAACGTGTGTCTATTTATTTGTCTTTGCAGGTCAATGTGTGTCTATTTATTTGTCATTGCAGGTCAATGTGTGTCTATTTATTTGTCATTGCAGGTCAATGTGTGTCTATTTATTTGTCATTGCAGGTCAATGTGTGCCCATTTATTTGTCAAAACCTGATTTCAATCTTAAGAGGGGATGAACTTTTTGTTGTTTTATGATTTCATCTGTTTCACAAGTTTATTTTGGAGGTTGCCAGATACCTTTAAAAATCAAATGATTTCTTGAAGAAAATCAGAACTGTTTGACTTGAAGAAATGATGTGAGCAAAAATAATATGTAAAATTCTATTTTCAAAACTTTAAAGACAAGTTTAAAGTTTTGAAAATACAATTTTACGTATTGTCTTTATCTCATCTAATGTCTTCACATTGCATGACATGTGCTAGATCATAACCAGAACATTGTATTTGGTTTCTTTCAATTTTTAGATTGACCACTCTCGGCATATGCAGTGTAGTTCTCTTCATCCATGATGCGACGTTCCTAGATTTGAGGACGGAGCATGGTAGCCTCAAAATGGAGTTCATCGATATTCCTGCCAGTAAAATGGCGTTGTTAAACACATTGGTGGCAGCTGCGGGATTGAAATTGTTTTCGATTAAAAATAAGGTAAATTAGTCACCATTACATTTACAAGTGTCTAACAGTTATTACGTAGAAGTACAAGGGTAAAACACATGTGATTCGATTGTAATTTAATATAAAATTTATTTTTATTCCTAATATAAGCAGTGTTGAATTGTATTTTAAGCCTTCTAATCTTCCCAAAACAGCGGGTGGTGTACCTTATATAGACAGGAAGTTACCATTGCTAGGCAACGCTTGTGCAGTAATAGCGTATTTGCTGGCATGCCAGGCATGTCCCATACAACAGTGGGAATTCTGGGTAAGTTACCTGGCAACATAAAATGTTTTGACAAAATTAGAAATATACCAGAACTCAATAAGAAAGTTGATGGTGCTACCATTTACAAAGACCAGAGTTGAGGTTTGACACATAAATACATAAGGGTTATGTACTGGGAGGTTTAAAATACAGGGTTTATCCCAAGGGAAATACCCTATAACTGAAACCTCCCAGTACATAACCCTTATCAGTTTTAGTCTTTGATAAGATATAAGCATGTCGTCTTTACTTCAAAAAGAATTAAAAATTCAAATATAATTTAATTTAAAATTTATTTAATTTAAATAATATAATATAATTAAATGATAATTCTTATATACTTTTTTCCATCATGTTTTTCTAGTATTGTGGATGTACCCTCTTGTTGCTCCTTCTACAGAAAGACCACTATTTATTACACATCCTGTCACCTAGCAACCAGGCAGCACCAGCTGTTTCCATGACAACACTAATGCTCCTTTTCACAACATTGATTTCAAATCAATTATGGACTACAGAAAGTGGGTATACAATGTTTAGAGGCATTGTGGAGATAATAATCGAAATAATTGCTTTACCTAATTTATTAACGTTTCTCTATCTCTTTTGGAAAGATAGCACAAACACTTTAGATGGGCTCGAGCAAATAGCTGTGTTTACGATGCCGTTAAATGGGTTGCTATTCCTGTTTGGGACATCTTATAATAGCTGGGTGTTAGCTGGAATCAGTCTTGTTTGTGGAATATGGACAACAATGATAAGGATACCACATTTACGCAATACCATCTAAGTCTGTTAATCAAGACTTGAGAATTTGAAGTAATCCGAAATAGCTAACATCTTTAAACATTTTGGAGCTAGCAGGAATTAGTCTTGTTTGTGGAATATGGACAACTATGATAAGGATACCATATTTACGTAATACAGTCTAAAACTAATAGTCCAGAGAAGTTGCAGATCCAAATGGGCAATAGCATCACGAGTTTGACTACCACACTTATGCAATACCAATCTAAGTCTGTTAATCAAGACTAGAGAATTTGAAGTAATCCGAAATAGGCAACATCTTCACGAGTTTCTAGCATCTTTAAACATTTTGGAGCTAGCAGGAATTAGTCTTGTTTGTGGAATATGGACAACTATGATAAGGATACCATATTTACGTAATACAGTCTAAAACTAATAGTCCAGAGAAGTTGCAGATCCAAAATAGGCAATAGCATCATGAGGTTGACTATCTGAGAAAACTAATTCCTTATGTGAATAAAAACGCATGGAAAGGAATCCATTTGTTGGTGCATATACTCTCACCCAGTTAGTACATAGCGTTTCGATTTCAATAGATGAATGTACATGTAATGTTGCCTGAATTCGTTTCTACAACATCGAATGTGTGGCTCATCAATTTTTGTAAAAAAACTTATACATATGTATTAATATTAAGCATATTTTATTCGTCTATGTTTTACAATATCATACATTAAATTGATTTACAGTGAATTATAAAACAAACTGTCTTGGAAGCAAGCTGTTACAAGTACATGCATATACAGACGTTGAATTGATGAAGAATTAATTGGATTTGTGATTAACCCTTAAATGGTTAGGCAATAGAGAATTACAACAATGGTAAGGGGGCACATCTCCCCCCCCTTATGATCTCAGAAACGATCAATCATAGGAGGGTTGTTTATTCGAATCCTAGTATTTTAAGCTCACTTTTGACTATATTGAGCCATTATTGATGAAGAAATCCATATTCTCGGTACTTGGAGGTTCATCATTATCAAAATAATTCATTACGGGGGGGGGGGGGGGGGGGGGTTAGGTAGACCTGTCCTCCTCCTAATCGTTTAAGGGTTAATTCTTCATGTGCTATAAATTATATTTATATATTTTGATTTATGATGCCATCGATTTAATTATATGACTTCATGGTTATATTTATCATTTTGTACGTTTCTTTTTTTAAGAAAATAAATGCAGTAAAATTGTATAGTCCTCTTCTGTCCCTTACCGCTTTCACAATTGGGAGTACAGCACATGTAAATTGGGTTAACTTTTCATTATTTGAAAGACCATTGACTCATCCCTATCGATCTTGGGCAACTGTTCAAAGATGGTAATGTTTTGTGTTTTAAAGTGATTTTGGCCATTTTTGGATTAAAATTGTCAGGGGAGGAGGGACGGAAATAAGATAATCCTACTTTCCTATCAATGTGACTTTCCCGGGAATTTAAAATGAATAGAATGTAAATGTGGTGTGTCCCAGGGGTATGTTATGGCACATGTACCAATAAATCCCATAAGGGGATCAATCATTTTGAACTAAAACACTTTGGGGAGTGCCTACTTTGCACTAAACCCCCAGTTGTATAAACAGACAACTCCCATTAGGCAATTGAAACAATAAAGTACATTATATTTATTTAATGTCTATATAAGTCAAGTAATGTTGAACTGAAACACAATAAAGTACATTATATTACATTTAATGTCTATATAAGTCAAGTAATGTTGAACTGAAACACAATAAATACATTATATTACATTTAATGTCTATATAAGTCAAGTAATGTTGAACTGAAACAGCTGACCTAGTATACAGGGTGTCCCGAAAGTATGCCCACCCCCTAGGCAGCCATATACCAGTGTCGTCATAGTATGTGTCATTTTATTTTGGCAAAACACTAACTTTTAAAGTTACTGTAACTTTTTCCCATTTGGCAAATCAATGTAAATTTGGATAAGCTTTAAAATGATACATGACACATACAATGAGGACACTGGAATATGTCTGCCTAGAGGGGAGGGGGCATACTTTCGGGACACTCTGTATAATGATTATCTTCCTGAAGAGAGTATGAAATATCATGACACATGCTCAGTATTTATATATCAATAAAATGTCTTCAATCAATTAATCTTATTATACGTACTAAATCATATTTGTAGTTAGTAATGTAACATTTAACAGGAATTAAACGTTAATAAAAATAATGTTCACGGCTTCAGTCCACAATAGAAAACATAAAATTTGTGTAGATGACACAACTTCTAAGTTTATTTCATATTCCTTTAAATTGGTATAAGCTACATTTTGCATAATCTTTATTTCATCTCATAGCCACTAAAACCTGTAAATATGTTACATTGATTTTAATAATAAAAAAAAAAAAAATATATATATATACTATCTGTATCTCAAAATTGTTCTTTTAACTAGCTAAAATAGTTCCTCCTTTTTAAACAGCTGTTGTCTGACCAACCATCAACTAGATTTAAACATATTCCTGTGAAAACCGTGCGTCATTCTTAATAAAGCTAAAAGCTCATCTTCAATGTGGAACTAAATGTCCATGATTGCAAATTTTTTGCTAAAAAGGCTATGTCATTCGTTATGAAGCTAAGAGCAACTATTCAAAATCACATCTTGTCCTAAGAAACTTGTATGATATTTTTAAAAGCTAAAAGCTAAACTATTTAAAATCACATCTTCATGATGATAACATTGTCCTAAGAAGCTTGTATGATATTTTTAAAAAGCTAAAAGTTATTCTGTTATTTAAAAGTCATACATCAGTATATATACAGTTCTTGGAGTTCTTGGAATAAGGGTTGATCTCAATTTGAACAGGTTGATCTGATTGGATAGAGATCTTTGGGGACAGTTTAATTCATGGAACACTACCCTCGCCTCTCCTGTAACCACGTGTCTGCATTGGCAACCAAAGGAATGTGTTCAGTGATCACTTAAATGGCTGCAATGAGGGGTGGTGTGAATATAAACTATCGCTGTGGTCAGAAATAAATGTTTCTCCAGGAACTGTCGATACACATCAGATCAAAGTGAATTACAACATCTAATAATATTTACATGAATAACAAACAATGCATATTCAAGCATTTAAAAATACATATTTAGTTGCACTTAACTACACCCATCATAAAATATTCTTTGTCTTTGGGTGGGATGATCTCGCCAAGGAGAGAATTTTCACAGATGTACATGTGTACCTTGGAACAATATTTGTCTTCCAATAAACAAAGTGAACAAAATATGAAATGTCAGCCTCGTTTGATTTGTGGCAATTAATAAACTCGAGCGAAAGAGTAAATCTGAACAACATGCTAGCTAAATCTCGTTTTTTGTCAGATTTTAAGAGATTTGCATATTAAACCTCAAATGAGTATGAGTGGTGTATGTATGTATGTATGTAGGTATGAATGTATGAAAGTTTAATATACCAAAACATAATTTTTTTTCCCTTAATTGTTTTTACCATAGACACATGTATCTTATTAGGTAGGCTAAAAAACAAACGCATCACAGTTTATGAACCTCATGTTAAACACCGACTAAAAAAATTGTGATTTGCTGTATTAAATGTGAATGAAATGATGAACAAATATATATAAAAAAAAAAAAAAAAATTAAACCTCTAATAACTTACATTACTTTCTTTTAAATGGCATATTTGAATTCAGTGAAATGTTTTCTCCTATAATAGCTTTGATTTACACAGTTATGTAATATGAATAATTTTCTATGACAATTTAAAAATATTTGGGCCAAATCTCCATAGATGCAATGCTAAAATTCTTTAAAACCTTGCATTATTTGTATGTCAACCAACATTCGCATGTTTAATCACAACATGTCCATAAACAGGGTCATCATGTGGTATACCATTCAAGTTTTATATAGATTCAACCAACACTCTTTGATAAACCATGAAATTAAGCCACTTTTCCAAGATTTTAGCATGTACATGTAAGTGAATGGAACTCTAGCCCAAATTAAAAGCTGAATAAAAGATGGCAGCATTAGATTTCATTGCTTTTTCTGCTATTTTGAGTCTACCCTATTTAATATTCAGTGCTGTTTTACAAACATTAAAATCTTTATGACAAAGAGCTATAATGGTCAGAGCATTGAATTCAGATCTGCATGCATTGATTTGTGAACTGGGAATTTCAAAGAATTAATGAAACCAACACTTGTATTTGGCTCCACTAAAATAGTGTACATTTAAATATGACCCAGTCCAAATATTTTTGACTTCCCCAAAATATTAAATTTAATATAAAACAGAAATAGTGCATTTCTGTTACAGTAATATGATTGTTTGCATTTGAAAGCAGTTATTACATGTATTAAAATACATGTTTTGCTTTGTTTGTATTTTACAATGAGAATTTTTATTCATGGAATAAAAGTTCAAAGTGAAATTCTTCTTATCATCATCCTCTCATTTCTTTAAATGAGTACATGTAGTAGATATTGTTTTTTCTGGATAACCTATCACTTTTTGCCATTTATACCAAAACATGCATTTAATTAGGCTATCTCATCACATTCTGATGGTCAAATATGCTCACAGATTAGCTAATATGCAGAATTTATACCACCATGCTCCCAATTCAGTTGCACAGTTAACATTTCTCTTGTTCATCATGATTTTGGTCTGTAAAATAAAACAATATCCCAGCAGCCACAAGAAGGCATAAACTTTTAATTTCATCAATTCATCAATTTCATAACAAATAGTGATTTACAGTTTCGATTGGCATCGTGCACGAGGATGTAATACAAAATGCCGTATGATATATTAAAAGGGATCACATTTTTGCTGATATTGCATTTGAAAGTGGATTTTAAAAGATGAGTTTAGTTATTTTTGTTACTATTTCTTAGAGAAAGGTTTTATTCATAGAATAAGAGATTAAACTCTTCTAATCATCATTTTCATTTCTTTAAATGAGTAGTTACCACCATTATGTGAACGACCTATCCTTTGTGGCCAATTAGCCCAATACATGCATTTAAGTCTCACATCACATTGTGATGAAGACATGTAAGGTCCATATAGGTGAGCATATGTGTAGTCTTTATACCACCATGCTCCCAAATATGTAGTTGCAGAGTTATCACTCCACTTATCATGGTCTTTGTCCTTCGTACTAAACTTCATGTTGTTGCTGTATGTCATGCTATCGCCCGCTGTTCCAGAATATCCAGACACAGTGATCCTATATTGCTCACTCTCTCCTGCCAGGTCAAACGTACTATATTCTGCATATTTTGTGACACTTCCTTTGTCTGGCCAAGTAGTGAGCTCAATACGGAGTTTATAACTTCCCAGCTTTAAAACTGACAATATATTATTAAACCCTAAGAAGTACTCCCCGTCGATGTTCCCAAATCCTCTCTTGTAATCTTCCCAGTTCCTGTAAAAGTCTACTGAGCCATCAAACCTCTGAGCAAAAACAAGCCAACCATTGATGCATTGCGTTGAGAAGATTCTATCTGTAGTTCTGATATTTACTCTACCATCCTGTTGATTTTCACAGTCTGGTACCCCTACAGTAGCTTAAAACAAAAGAGAACATAGTATGCATAGTCTGTCAGGTGACCTTTGTTTTCGTGTGCGCGCTACGGTTTGATTCGTCTTTGCAATTCAGCTACCATACCCTGGCAATCCAAAGTTGGGTAAATACCTTCCCTACATGTGCCCGCGGGTTCATGTGGAGGTAATTTCCCGGGTAATTTGGTCAAGGATTTGAAGAAATTTGATATCGAAAAATGGGGTGAGGGTAGACAAAATACAGTCCAGGACCTAAAATACTGAATAAGTAATAATATATATAATTTTGCAAAATAAGGCTGAAAAAACTATCCTAGAACATACCCTTGGCTATAATCTGTGTTTCCATATATTATTGCGCAATAACCTCTAGATTTCTTATTTTTAGGTTTAATTGGTTGCTTTGAAGCAGTGTAAAAGCCTGTTTTTGATAGATTGTTTGAATTCTTTGAAAATTTGCAGCCCCTCACAGATGGGGACACAAACTCTGCTGAAAGGAAGGACTCTGTATAAAAGAGTAATGTACACGTTCCAACAAAAAGGTTTGTTTTGCTCTTCAGGGAATAAGTCTGAAGAAAGATGGTGCAGTATGAAACTCACAATCCTTGATTTCCAAACCTCTGGTAGGTCTAAATTTCAAATTAATCTAAAATTCGTGGTGTAGCTGGTTTTCAGGTTTTGATACGCAACGAATGAAGGATCCCGTGGAAATACTAGTAGGTGATGGGCTAGCCCTTAAATTGCGGTATGGAGGTAGAATTTTGGAGACCATGCTAGTTACATCTTAATTTGTAATTCTCACCAGAATTTGGCAATAATTAAGCAAAATTTTACAGCGTTTAGGAAAAATTCAATATTTATACCCCCCACACGACAAAAGTAGGGGGTACATAGAAAATAATTAATAACTTTACAAAAACATTATAAATAACCACAATTTTTTCAGAATATATGCACATATATGTCATTGATAAGTTGTAAAAATTTGGTGACTATAGGTATGATGGTTGCTATGGAAACATAATTTGTTTGTCAAAATTTGCTAATTTCTGTCTGTTTTGGGGGGCTCGTTAATGAAAAAATCGTATGTTAGCAAGTTATGCTGCAAAAATAGTATTGTTTTAAGGTCTGGAAAATTGCATATATATGTCCTGCATGCATTAAAATTGGAATGATGATTGAATCTCAATCAGAAATATTTTTAAATTTTTTTTCTATGACCCACCCCTTCTAAATAATCCAAAGTGGGCGTGGCATTTAACTGAATGATCAAGCCTACTTAACAGTAGATAATTTAATTGTATAGCCAGTATTATCACAATTTCAACAGAATGTAGGATTCTGGTATCAGTTACCAGTTTATATGATTTCATTTATCCCCCTCAATATTTATTACCCCTCCTTCGTCACCACCACCCCTCCCGCGTGACAAAAGTAGGGGATACCTTGAAAATGATTAATAACTTTACAACAATGCAGCGAATAACCACCAGTTTTTCAGACAGAATAAATGTATATGTCATCAGTTATTGGAAAAATTCTTGGTAATTATAGGTATGATAGTTTCTAAACAGGATTCGATCGTCAAAATTTGTGAATTTGCGAAGATATTGGGAGGGGCGCTGGTTTACAAAGAATACTAGCGAATTCTGCTGCAAAATTAGCATTGTTTTAAGGTTTAGAAAACTGCATATGTATGTCCTGCATGCATTAAAACTGAGATGATGATTCGGTTTCAATTAGATTTTTTAGATTTCACTATGACCCACTTCTTCTTTATAATCCAAAGTGAGCGTGACATTTAACTGTATGATCAAACCTACTTAATAGTTCAATATTTCTACAGAATGTAGGCATCAGTTAACTTTTTATCATTTTGTTCATCCCCAAATATTTATGCCACTCCCCTCGTATTAACATACTAAAAATTACACATGTATATGTCATTAGTAACTGGAAAAAGATTATGGTGATTATAGGTTTGATGGTTGCTATGGAAAACGGATTCGATTGTCAAGCAAAGGACCGCATGTTGTTTGTATAATGAATCGGGGGATTTTGCATTTTGCTGGTGTTTTTTATCTTAAAAACATTAATACACTTTAAAACATTTTATTGACTATAAGACTGCACCATATAATCCCCAAACATGAATCATTAATACACACCTCATTGGGTTGTGATATAAACCAAAACAATAGTCAATAAAATGTTTGAAAGTGTATTTAGAGAAATGCATGAAAAAACTCCCCCGATTCATTCTACAAACAAGTCGCGGTCCTTTTGTGAATTCATGTAGACTTGTAGATTTTCTTGAGAGCAACAAAAGAAAACAATCTACCTGTATACTTTGCTACTCTTGTTCCCATGACTCATACATCTCTTCATCACTTTTGATCATCAGAACCATACAATATAATATATCTTCTGACATTGCTTAGCGTAGATACACTTTTTCCTGGTGTTAAATCTTAGATAGATGATGCGGGGATGTACCATGGAAGGAGGTCAAGGGGTAGGTACAATGGTACTGGTACAATGCTGTCCAAATCAAAACCTCAACAATACAACCAACAATCAACAGGCACGCAAAGTTCCTAGGATCCACTTGGTATAAAACGATTCAGTCCCAAACATGTTGTTTATAATGATCATTGATGAAGATAACAGTCACGTCCATCTGACAGCTTCACAGGCAACAGTACTGTAAAATTACATACTGTTGTATATATCCAACAGTATCATATGGTACCATTTGGGCTATGGTACTGTATGGTACAGTAATATATGGTACCATAAACTAAAATAGTATTGTACGGTACCATGGACACTGTACAGCACCATAATACGAATGGTTCTGTACGGTACAATTAATGTACCATGAGTGCAGATTGGTGGTGTTTATCAAGCCATTTGATATCACAGAATCAAGACTCCTATGCATATCATCAGAACTTCCACCACTTACTCAAGTCAAAAAATCCACTCAGTGTTAAGAGCTGTTGCTTATCAAGAATTTGTTAAATGCCTGTATTAGGATCAATGCTAAATCATTTGTTGCACACAAATTAAGATGAAGAAATTCCATTCAGTTTATAATAAAAACTCATGGACAGCCATAAAATCATGGAAAGCCCATTAGGACAGATTCTATGATGCTTAGCAAAAAGCAAATTGCAGTTATCTAGGGAGAAGGGCGTGTCACAACTTACAAAACAGTGAAAGTGTGGCCAAATGTCCTTTTACCAAGTTGCCAAATTCCCAAACACATTTCGTCAACTGGCTGATGTTCCATTCTCTGGTGTTTCAAAGTACAGTGATATATCAATCACATTTTGATATGTAACTAAGTATTGGACAGTCTCTCCAAACTTTCCATTCTTCATGTCATTCTTGAATGTTAAGTACTTTGTGATAACTCATTGTTTTCAATATTAACTAAGGCTTTAGTTGAAGTAGCAGTAGTATAAGTGATTGAATGATTTGAAATGCAATACAGTATATATTCTGCTCGTAAAATTCTGTGTTGGAACGAGATGAAGTCGAGTGCCAATACATAATATCGAGAGCAGATAAGTAAGCTGAATACCTTCCAGATTCATGGGATTTTAAAATCAACAAGGATTCCAATTCCTCATTCATGACTTTATGAATTCTGAAGGCCTTGTTGAAATGTTTTCCACTACTATCAATTGAACTGCATATATCAAAGATTCTTTAAGTATGTCCTCGAACCCTTAATCTCATATATTTTCTCGCATTACAAAAGGGTATAGAATGTCCCCAATCTATTGAAAGCATTGCAGTGAAACATTAAAGGATCAGGCAGAATTATAAATCTTCTTTTCTGCCTCTAAATCAAAGTTTGTTAATGTCACCTATTATTATTTGTGAATGACACCCTATCATTATTTCAGTTTTAATGTATGTAGGAGACAGTTCCTTCTGTTACCTTAAAACAATGGAATTTTGCTGCATAATTTACTAGGATATGATTCTTAATGCACTAGCCCCCCCCCCCACCCAATCTACACAAATTCACAACAATCAAATCCTGTTTCTATAGAACCATCAAGAATTATTTCAAATTACAGATGAAATATACATTTATTCTGTCTGAAAAATTGGTGGTTATTTGCTGGATTGTTAAGTTATTAATCATTTTCAATGTATCCCCTACTTTTGTCATGCGGGAGGGGTGGTTGAGGAGGGAGAGGGGTTATAAATATTGAGGGGAGATAAAAAAAATCATAGAAAGTGTTAACTGATCCCAGAATCATACCTTCTGTTGAAATTGTGATAATACTGGCTATACAATTAAAGTTATCTACTGTTAAGTAGGCATGATCATTCAGTTAAATGGCACGCCCACTTTGGATTATTTAGAGCGGGTGGGTCATAGAAAAAATTTCTAAAAATATTTCTGATTGAGATTCAATCATCATTCCAATTTTAATGCATGCTAGACATATATATACAATTTTCTAAACCTTAAAACAATGCTATTTTTGCAGCATAAATTACTAACATAGGATTTTTTCGTTAACTAGCCCCCCCAAAATAGACATAAATTAGCAAATTTTGACAATCAAATTCTGTTTTCATAGCAACCATCATACCTATGGTCACAAATTTTTTACCACTTATCAATGACATATATGTGCATATATTCTGAAAAAATTGTGGTTATTCATAATGTTTTTGTTAAGTTATTAATTATTTTCTATGTACCCCCTACTTCTGTCATGCGGGGGGTATAAATATTGATTTTTTCCTAAACGCTGTAAAATTTTGCTTAATTATTGCCAAATTGTGGTGAGAGTTACAAATTAGGATGTAACTAACATGGTCTCCAAAATTCTACCTCCATACCGCTTTTTAAGGGCTAGCCCATAACCTATAGGTCTAAAATGAATAAAACGTTAAAATAAATCCCTGATATCCGCAAGTGTAATAACATGCGTTAACTACTGTACTTGTGTTTATAATATTTTCAAGCGCTCACCTAGTATTTTCTGTATGTCATCTCTTAACTCTGCGTTATCACACTTCACGTCGGGCTTATGTAACAAAGCAGAAATGTCATTTTTCAAAGTTGAAATATCCTCTTTCAGTGACAACACATCATTGGTTAGTGAAGAAATGTCATTTTCCATGGAGGAAACATCATCTTTCAGTAACGAGACATTATTAGTTAGTGTAGAAATGTCATCTTTCAAGGTTACAACATCATTTGTCAGGTTAGATGAATCCTCTTTAATATTATCTCTCATTTTCCACAAATCTTGCTTCTGGCAAACGTTCTTATCAACGGTTCCGGATCCGGTCTGAGCATTGTATTCTGGAAGATAATATTTTTGATCAATAATACTACATCCAAGTAGGTGACAAAATTGTGTGTGGGGTACTAATATACAGGGCGTCAAATGTATTAACTTTTTTTATTTTGAAAGTTATCATACTTTCCCATATTATATCATCTTAAAGCTTATGTAAAATGATGATCACCCTTAGAAAATCAAAAATGAACTCTTCTTAATGAAATTGCTACAATGTTTCTTGTAAGGTTGTTCACACCATGCAGACAAATCGCCTAAAATTACATTCGTATGATGTGAGACTCGACATTCACCAGGAAAGTAGAAATATTTTGTCACCCATGATGCAAATCAATGGATGTTTGCCAAATATTATATATACCACCGTCACTGCTACCCACCTAGTTACACAGACGTATCGTCAGTGTATCATGACGGAACTACTTCCGGGACTAGGTTTCGGTAAGATTTTTTATTTCCCGATTTACATCTACTTATAAGTCACGTTGTGGATCATAATTTGGCTCGAAGTTAAGGAAGATAGTCTAGTTTGAGAATGTGTCGATGGTTTAAGGTTTTATATATTAACGAAGACACAATTCACGTATTTAGTCCCTCGCTTTTGTTACACTGACGAACGACCAATATTAGTGTAATATTGGCAATATTAATGCCGATCGTCAGTGTAACAAAAGCGAGGGACTAAATATGTGAAATGCGTCTTCATTAACATACCAAACCTAAAACCATCGACACATTCTCAAACTAGACTATCTCCCATAACTTCGAGCCAAATTATAATCCACATCGTGATTTATAAGTAGATGTAAATCGAGAAATAAAAATATCTTACCGAATTCAAATCCCGGAAGTAGTTCCGCCATGATACACTGACGATACGTCTGTGTAACTAGGTGGATAGCAGTGACCGTATTACTTCCTGGTTATTTTTGTCGAGTTATCTTCAAAATGATGAGCTTGCTGTTTTTCTAAATTCTCCAATTCTGTGATTTAATTTTTTTGATTCCTAGTGCCCAATGAGAGCATGCAATAGATAGATGAAAACCATGTTGAAGTAGGAGAAAACATATGGGGAATAACATTATAAATAAATGAATATAAAAATAAATAAGTAAATTAATAATAATGGTAATAATTATACCTGGAAAATAATGAAATTGCGAAAACAACAGACTCTACAACTAAAGAAACGATGGATTTTTTGAAATTGAAATTCAATATTAAAATAGAATGTATTACCTTGAAAAACACCTCCTCTGGCCAGTCCAATGACAAGACACTGAGCAATCAGGATAACGATTACTGCACCGGCTATAATGATCTTCCACTTGTTTTTCGCGAGAAAGGATTTCTCCTCTGGCTTTTTAGGTAGGTTCTCATAAGTAGGATTTTTCATTTCTTCTTCGTTCCTCTCACCCAAAGTAGCATATTCCGCCATATTGACATCAACAGATTCAGTCTTGTTAGCCTTTCGCTGAGGTTGGCGTTCTTTCAAATTTATGTAAGTGATGTCATCCGTATTAGGGATTGGTGGAAGAGACGTGTTTGGTGTTTTAGACATTGTTCGCTGATACGAGCTATTAAGAAATATTTCATAATCAGTTTAAATATGGAGGCTAAACGGGAATTGTAAAATATATTAAAAAACACAGTATGCAAAAACCTCGAGTGAGTATGAGTGTAACGGAATGGCATGATGAAAACACGCCTCCGATAACAATATCTGACGCGCAAAGAAATAAGTATTCAACACGCCATCCTATATATTTTAGAAACTTGTGTCACGATCCAGAAACGATAAGAAAGATCATGGATCATTTCATTCAAACTGAGGTTATTCCAACACCCGTCGAGGAGCAAAAAGGAAACTCTTGACATCAAGGAAAAATCGTTTATCAAAAACTGAAAATTATTATTTGTTCATATTTGAATAAGATTTTTGGGTTACACTCATGATATTTTGCAGTTAATGTAACTTTGGATGGTTTTTACAACAGTTGAACGCAAATGATATTGAACAAACAAAATCAATTCTCGGAGAACAGGAACTGAGAAATAGATTTGTACCATACTTAAAACAAATACATTTCGGATGAGAATTAAATTAATGCAAAGTAGTGAATAAATTAATAAATGTAATTGTAATCTCAATAAGAATTAAAGAAATATCTCACCGGTTTTAATCCAAATGTTTTGTAGTGTGTCCCTTGGGAATTGCGCAGTGTTCAGTACCTTTTGTAATCAAATAACCTTTTCAGCAAGCCACAATAGACCAACTTATATGCACTGGGTGAACAAAGAAATGGAACTCACCTAAATAGTTAGATTTTTCGGAAATCGACTTTCCTTTAAAATCATATGAACAGACTGGAACCTGAAATTCAGTATAGAGCTGATCCCCAGACGTTTCGATTACTAGCCAAAGTTTAAGAAAGTGCATTGCTTTTACTTATTCATGAGATTATGTTCTGTTGTGTCACACTGATCGATATTATTACTTTTAAGTTGTTCACCCCAGTCTCTTCTAATTGATATCTAAGTAGTGGGGCGTGTAATTCTGAAAATTCAAAGTTTAAAACATATATTGATAGACGTATGGCACCTTTAAATGTAATTATGTAACTGAAAATTACTTGTTACCGAAGTAAATTTAATCGAAGCCTTTTGTATAGTCATGTTAGCGTAGTAGTGAAAAATAGAGAAGTTTATGCCTTTTTATATTAAATTCTGTGGAAAATGGTTGTATCTCATCTCTCATTGCTATTTTCATAATGATATTATGAAAGGGGATACGGGTAAATGTTGTGAAATCATGAAATCATCAATCATGAAATGTAATCATATAAAATCATATAGCTTGTCGCTCATTCATTGGTTTCTAGTACAAATCTAAGATGCGAATGCATCTAGCTAATATTGATTTTAGAAAGTTTCGGGTTTTAATTTTTAATTAAGAAATGAAAAAATCAATATATCCTAATTAAATTTTAAAGCTTGTCAATTTACTGGATCACCCTGTATGCGTTGATTAGAGAATAGAAGTATATCATGTAAATTTGAAAGGTTGAATTGGATGTTTTCAATCGGAGTATTGGGTGAAGGACGTGTATAGATGCTTGCTCTGCCAATCAAATTGCGAATTTTAACTTCCTTGTTGAAAAGAAATTCTTAAGGCTGTACATGAACAGTTTGATTTGGTCGCTTTTGCTTATTCATTTTAAACTGCATTCAGTGATCACACAAATGGTTTGTTTGCTTTGATTGAATAAAAAATCTATCTTAAAGCATCAACATTTTCAATAGAGTCAGATCAATTTGACATAAAAATGAAATAAAATAACTTTAGCAAAATAAAAGTTGTACTGTATGAGAAATCTATCTGATCACATTTCATTTTAATATTAGAGACAGGAGAAGCAAGTAAGATGAAAGACCAAATATCCCTGAAAATGGTCCGGTTAACCGAATTTTAGCAGCTGCTATATTTAGATTGTTAGATTGTGACTTTTATTGGACAATTAAAAAAAATGTTTCAGTTGATATGTAGTATATAAGGTCGTCCAAAACGTCTTTCAATGCGTTGGCTTCTTTCATCAAAATCTTTTAATTCAACTTTATATCTCATATTTCTCACTACCCATACGTTGCCTAGGTTATTACCGTTGCTTAGGTTATTACCGTTGCCTAGGTTATTACCGCTGCTTACCTTAATCCCCTAGCTTGAAAAAATCGGTGAAACCCAGAAAAAATCAACGTATATCTACTTTTTAGAAAGATTGTTTCCCCGAAAATGACTCGGGATTTCATGAAAATATTGAATTTTCATGAATACATGAATCTTTGGGACATTTTACAGGGTATTTGATAGTCGGCCAATATCGCATTTTCTCTCGGAATAAAGTTCATATTACATCCCTCACATTTAATAACCTCTATGACTTTAGTTGAACAGTATCTTATTTGAATATTTGATTCTGGACTTGACATAATTTTTTCATTGAAATTTCATGAGAGTAAATACAAGTATACATACATTAATCACCACTCAAGAGTTATTCTCATTGTGGCTATTCATATTCAAAAGTTATTTATATTTAAGTCACATAAAGGTAAACTTCAATCTCATGAATGACCAACATAAAGCAACTTTGTCAATTTATATTTTATTTGTTCTGTTTGTACATATATATAACATGTGATACATTTCATTCATCAATATATTCTTTACTGTACACAATAATACATAGAAAATACAGAAGCAAGCTCTATCAATATTTTACAAATGGTCACTCTCTTCTTGTATTTCCGAAAATCAATACTTTATTAATTATTTCTCTGACATACCAGTATTTGTTAAACAAATGTCTGGTGAGTGAACAAATCTTTAAATGTTAACAAATCTATGATAGTAAATAAATCTTTGTAAGCAAACAAACTGTAGTCTGTGAACAAATTGCTGATAGTAAACAAATCTGTCATAGTAAACAAATCCTTCATAGTAAACAAATAAATCCTTCATAGTAAGCAAATCCTTCATAGTAAACAAATCCTTCATAGTAAACAAATCAATATAAAGTAAACAATTACTGGTTGAGTGATCAAATGTATATTTGCCATTCATTCTGGCAAGATTTCATTTCCATTTGTTCATAAAATAACAAAATGTCTGACTTATGTCAACAATCGCAATTGTTTCCAAAGTCTGCAACAATCAATAATAACATTAGTAATTCCTAGATTTGGCAATATCAAGTTTTCGTTCACAATTACATAAAAAGTCACTCCCTAAAAAAGTTGTCGACAAACCTAACAATTTAGTAACGTAGCATTGTTTCTAAAATATTAGTTTATCAACGACATTTTTATGTTTTGAGGCATGGTACAGCTTATTTTTGATAATCAAAACTTATTTTTGATAATCAATGCTTATTTTTGATTATCAAAAATAACATGCCAACAGTAACATTTTTGATAGGTGTATCTTTCAAATTGCATGAGAATTAAGGCATACATCCTGCAATTTAGTGAGTAAGATTGGCATTTAAATTACAGCAAAGTTACGGCAATAGCACTGAACAATGAACATGTTCAAGAATACATTACAATACATGATACATCAATATGTTGCAATTTAATGTATCATTTACATTTCACAAACAAGAATTTTAACTAAGGAAAATAATTCTATGAAGTGAAGTGAAACCTGTTATATGAATACTTCTATAAGAGTAGCTCCTCTTTAAAGGCCCACTTTGCGTATTTTCAATTTTTGGTCAAAGTAAAGACTTACATTTGAATTTCATGGTATGTCCAATGTATTAATAAGAACCCTATCTTTCATTTGACACCATCAACAGCTCAAACGGACCACATCTAAGCTTACAATAAATTATCAAAAAATATTTTCGATCTGTCAAGCTTTATAATTATCTATCAATTCTTGATCAATGTCATTGAAAGATGGCACAGTTGTTTATCTTACATGATACATTTATTTTTATAGAAGTGTCGCCATCTTTAAAATTTAAAGTAATTTAAAACATGCACTTTGTTTAGCATGAGCATGCACTACTAGTGATCTCTGAACTTTAAATGTTTTTTTCTATGCGAGTTATTTTTTCTTGGTTCAATATTAAGCAAATCAAACTTTGTGTCATATTTGAGCGAGTGTGTGAGTAACATGTTTCAATGAATTTTTTCTTCTAAATTAAGTATAGTGGGCCTTTAAGTGGAACAGTAGTAAAGTTGAATAGTGAACAGTAAAGGAATTAAGCATTGAATAAATAAGCTTTCAAAGCTTTTAAGGCTGGCCAAGAAAATTATCCAATGTGTCGAAAGTTTGACCTGCCTAAATCTGACTGAGTAGCAGGGTTCAGTTCACAAAGTAAGCCTCTGAATTAATAAAAATGGCAGGAGCTTCTTTAAGGGCAGGCAGCTGACTTTATTTGCTTGTTTTTCACAAAATTACCAAATATTTTGAGAAATTTGGTTATTTTCCATTTTTTATGTGAAGAATTTCAATTTTGCCTGTTGTTTTTATTACCTGTGCCTGATGCTGAAAATTCCAGGTTGAAACCCCTTCAAACAAAATAAATCATCTATCGTGTAATTGACTCATGCTTATGAATATGGAGGAGTCATCTCAAGATGGAGTTAACTGAAGAACTAGAGGATTCCACTTGAAGAAATATCAGAGGGGCCACCTCAAAATAAAATTTGGGACTGTGTGTTAAGCTGTCATATACTTCTACATCAGAACTACAAGCTAGGGGAAACCAAACATTCATAAACTAAATGTTACCAATACAGAGTATCAGCAAACTTAAATAGTAAATACTGCACATTCAATCACATTTACTCCGGATGAGTAAGAAATTAATCTATCCGTGAAAAACTAAACTTCAAAATCCGGCCTCCAATATACAGCCTACAGGTATGAGAAATTGTACAACTTGTTTACCCCAAGAACACCCATATTTCCGAGAAGCACTTTTAAATCCGAAGAACACTCATATTTGGTGTTCTCTATACAACTTTTCAGGTACCTGATTCACATGGATTGGTTTCTCTGTATTCAAATGGACACTCAGACACTAAGGTACAATTTGGACATAAATTAGAGAGTATTATATTTGTTCTTCTTTCAAAAAATGAAATGCCGAATTTAAATTTGTGTGGTCTGAGTTGGCTTATCTATTAATAAACTCATTAAAAAAGATGGTTTTTACATTTGATCAATAACAAGACTTTCAACGGGCCCATATTCCATCTTGGAGCACCAATATTCTCCCCAAGAACATTTATAATCCCTCCCCCTTAGAACACTAACATTTTCCCCGAGACTTAAATGGCACTCATGTACTTCTCAAGGAACACTCATACTTTCAAAAAAATATCTACACTTCCCAAGAACACCTATGAGTCAAAAGGAACATTTGTGTGTCATAAGGAACACTCATGTGTCATAAGGAACACTCATGTGTCATAAGAAACACTCATGTGTCATAAGGAACACTCATGTGTCATAAGGAACACCTATGTACCATAAGGAACACCTATGTGCCATAAGAAAACCTGTACTACACTGGAAGCATCCAGATTTCCCAAAGAACAGCCACATTAGACCAACATATTATACGACATGAGAATTTTTCAGTAAGTCAGTGTACATGCACCCAAATTCAGTTATGTACAAAAAGTGACCATATCTTAAATGATTTTTAGATGTGTATGACACATACTATAAATAAGGGATCATTCAGATATGCAGAGCTTCTTAGCCAGTATTATATATATTCTTCATCCATCCATGTTCTATCTTGAACACTGAGTTGAGAAATCATCCTTTTGTTATTAAACTTATATCATCCCCCAAAAGAAATTTGGGTTGATCTTCACCAATTCTCGGTCAAATAATGATCCATTTGGCGATTAATCCTTTGTTGATGGTAATTCCATTGAATTTTCTCCAATAGATTTGTATTTATTTGCACATCTTAAACTTTGAGTCATTTAAGCATCCCTTGGGAATCCGTGAATCAACCCTAATGTAGTTGTACAGAATCGACTTTCTGCCAAAGTATCATGTAATTTACTTCCATACCTCAAATCCTAAATGGACCAATCACTCGAAATAAATTTCGTCTAGTAATATCTATTTATGGAGATAAATCAAATCTCCGGGACCAGCATGCATTGCACTCGATGCTGATCAGTTTTGTCTCCAATCAGTCGCTCAGTTATATAAATTAAGCAACTTTTATAACAATTGGGATATATTTATTTTTTTCAGGTTTAGCAACACCCTCCAGATTTTGGTTGTTCTACTTGGTCGTCATCCACGACCATAACACTACGCCTCGTAGAGTTGCCGCCTCGAGTTGGGCCTGTGGGTTTGGTTAAATCATCACCAGATTTGTCCATCATTGCTGAAAGGATTAAAAGGCAATTTTGAGGTTACACTGTAAAGCAAAATGTCTATAGTATGATTGCCCTATCTTTTCAAGGCATTCTCCATTTTAATATTAACCTCTTGACTACCCAGGATGACTAGATTTCTCGTCACCTCAGAAATGACCTTGAAACCCAGAGGGCCGAGAAAGTCTGTCTTAAAATTTTTCACAAAAACTGCTCTTATTTGAACAATTTTCTTCCAATTTACACAAAAATTGTTTTAAAACGTGTAGAAATGATCTCTGCCATCTAATTTTACTAAGTTGAGCATCTTAAGTTGTATAGGTATATAGTAAATTGTCAAAAGGTGGCAAAAATGAAAAAATTCTCTGGTTTCAACCGATTTTAGAGCCTTGGATTCAAGAGGTTAAAATCATCTGTGCCCTTAATTACTTTCAACTTAAATATGCTGACTTTTTTCATACAAAAGAGGATATAATACTACAATGGGACCTTTCATTATTTCATTTCAAACAATGTGCGAAAATTATTTTCTGTACATCAATGAGATGTGCATGAGAATTTGCACTTTTGATACATAAAAAAAGCAAAATATTTTAATTTTTTCTTACTGAACTAAAAATTTGTATTTTTGCTGTATGTTCAACTTTACAAATGTAATAATCAGTCTCGTTCAAGCCAATGTGACCCCATATGCCTCTCCACCATTGGGTTGAAGTAAACAATGAGATATCCAGAGAGTTGTTGCAAGACTAAAATATTGCTTTATTGATACTCACATTTGCTTATATCTAAGAAAAGTTCTTCTATTCCTTTGTTGAGCTTAGCTGATGTGTGAAAATGTTTGGCTCCAACTGAGGCTGCATATCTGAAACATATATGTAAAACCCATAAACATGAGAGAAAAGGGTATCCTTTCTCCAAAGAGGATATTACTATACAGAATGTTCTACCCTGGACAAAACAAGGAGATGAACATTTTGGTAAATATTTCCCAAATTGGTCAATGCTTGATCAAAGAAGGGATCTTGGTTTCTAATTCTCCTTGCATTTTTCAATCCCTTCATAACATTCATACTGGATTTTGTAAGATTCAAATAATATACTACATATAATCTATAAATACATTTTCTAAATATTATCAAACATAAAGGAGTATTCCACCCAAGTATTTTCTGTTTTTAATCAATTTCAATTCTTTAATAATCATCAAAAATACAATGCATTCAATACACAGTGCTTACAGGCAAGTCATCAGTACAAGTTTGAACAAGGCAATAATAAGCAAATATTTCATTCTATGGAGGGCAATACCTGTTCATCTTTCAATGATTTTTGCAGCATGTATTGCCCGCAGCCCGAAGGGCGAGGGAAATACATGCTGCAAAAATCATTGAAAGTGCAACAGGTATTGCCCGAACATAGAATGAAATATTTGTTTTATTATATCATTGCTAGACATTCACTTTGTATGTGCCTATTGAGTCCATGACGAATACTTTGCAGACTGTAACTCTTGTAATATTCCCCATCCTTCGTTCGCAGTTCAAGAAAAAAATCCTCTAAAATTCCATCCAGAACGATTTTATCGATAGATTTAACGTCTATTTCGATATCTTTTTCGTCCACATAACACTTGAAACTGTTCAAAGACGTTTCCGTTGATTTAATGGTGTTTTTAGAATGCACATCCCTCAAGATGTCGTTCTTTTCATCGGAATTCAGACTTTTAAATTTTTTTCCGTCTGCCATTTTAATGCACGTCACAACCGTACTGGACGAAACGGGACGATTCAGAATTCCCGGGCGGGCAATACGCCGGGCAATACGTCTTTTATAATTCAAAAATTAAGGGAGGTGTGAAATACGCTTTGGTATTTTTGATCACATGGTACTGAATTAGCCAATCAAATGACACAAATTCTAGCAATGATATAATAACATGCAAAATGTCACCACCTGCCATCTGTTAAAGATCCCGAACTCTGAACACCAAACACAGCGCCCTAACCATCGAACACCATCCATAAAAAAATGGAGACTAAAAAAAAAAAATGTCACCATCATGAAAAAATGCTTTAAGTACTCACGATTCCGCCTCTTGAACAGTGACGTGTCTATCTTTTTCTAAATCTATTTTGTTTCCAGCTATGCATAAACATATATCATTTCCCAACATTTTCTTTAGTTCTTTAACCCAGTTTTTAACCTGGAAAAAAAAAGGTTCACCAAAATGTACACTTTTCACGCATAGGCTTAATTTTAAAATGATCTTAAATAGTTGATTTTATTTTATTCCGTTCAACTCTATTTGAGCTATATTTTCTTCAGATTTCTGGGTTAGATCATGGGGTTTCAAGATCATACAAATTGTTTACATATTTATAATCATTAAATTATTATAAAACAAACATTTCAAAATATTTCATCTTATGACTTCAATAAAAAATGTTGCGTAAATAACAAAATTACGTATTCTTAGTTTTGACAAAAATATATTACACGCACCCTATGAAATGAGTCTTCGTCTGTGATGTCATAAACTAAAATTGCACCATTACTGTCTCTGTAATAAATAGGACCTAATGCGTGGAATCTTTCTTGGCCAGCTGTATCCTAAAAAGTAGAAAACAAACAAATAAATCATTACATTTCATATTTCATTACATTTCATAAATCATTACATTTCACATTAAATTACATAGTGGGTGTAATGTTACAACTACAGTAAAATTTTAAATGTTAGGAACTACTTTGAATTTAAAAAATAAGCAATCAAATGATTATATTGCAACAGTATATAATAAAATAGAAACATATGTACTTGTCCTAACTTTTGTATATTTCAGATAGTTATGTATAATGTGCAGTAGAGCTGTGGCCTTTTGTAATTTAGGGAGTTTCAGCCATGTTAATTTTTCAGAAAATAACATGGCAGAGAAGCATCAAAATATAAGAGGGCACAGACATGATAGCTAAACTACAAAACAAACTAAAATATACAAAAGTTAGGACATGTATAAATGTTTCTATTTTTACATATACTGCTTCAATATCGTCCTTTGATTGCTTATTTTTTAAATTCAAAGTAGTTACTAACATTTAAAATTTAACTGTAGTTACTACTAGTTCAAGTAAAGTTCAACTGTTTGAACCATAGAACTAATTCGAGATGTTTAATGCAGAGTGCTATATAGTGGCTGAATAAATATGAAGCAAATGCATACCTGTAACATTTCAAATCTCCCTTAAGATGATTTCTTTTGTTTGTACAGTAAAACCTGTCTTAATGAACACCTCTCTCTAGTGAACACTGTGTTTAGTGAACAGCACTTCAAAACACATTTTATACATTAACGCCTGTATAAAATACCATCTCGGGAGAAAACACCTACCTACAGCGAACACTTTTTGTGGCTCGATAGGTGTTCATTTCATACAGGTTTTACTATTTGTTTTTTAAATTTCCTCAAGATATTATTTTCATGGTTCTCTCAATGTTGACAAAATAAATATAATCTATAAAAAAAACTGTCAACTTACCCATATTGCTAAATTTACTCTTTTACCATTGATGTTCAGTTTTTTGTTCAGGAACGATGCCTGAAAAGCAGAAAAAAAAATGTTTTCACTCGAGGGATTCATTAGGCAGGTCATTTAATCCATAACAAATAAATAGTACCATGGGAGCTGGACTCACATGGTGTTGCTCAAAAGTGAATGATGGCTAAAATGGCAGAAAATGAAAAAAAAAAGATATAATTTTTTGCTGATTTTTGTAACAAAATTATTTCATACAACTACTCTTTACAGTGACAAGGGTTTTTTACAATGCAGGACACCTGAAATTATTTGTAAAGCTAGGAAATGGACCAAAGGTGAATTTCAAGTGACAAAAATGGCAACCATTTTGAAAACAAGAACACAAATGTGTACAAAATGTCCCTACCAAGTGGTGATACCGTGAAATGGTTATCCTGAAAATGAGTAGACAAGACTTTACCAACACAATTTGAGGATGGAAAATCCAAAGTGGCCACCTTAAAATTTACCTAGAATGCCAAAAATTTAGCCAGTTCTAGATTTTCATACTAAGAGCCACCCCTGAAAATATGAAATTGATCCGTCACACAGTTAACCAGAAAACATGTAAACAAGACTTTACAAACAAGATTTCAGGATGGAAAATCCAAAATGGCTGCCTTGACATTTACCCAGAATGTCAAAAAACTAATCTGTTTGTAGATTTTCATACTAAGAATCATCCCTGAAAATATGAAATTGATCTACCAAACGGTTCACCTGAAAACGGGTAGACAAGACTTTACTGACAAGATTTTAGGACAGAAAATCCAAAATGGCTGCCTTAACATTTACGCAGAATGCAAAAAAACTAATCAGATGTAGATCTTCATACGAAGAATCATCCCTGAAAATTTGAAATTGATCTATCAAACCGTTCACCTAAAAACGCGTAAACAAGACTTTACAGGCAAGATTTTAAGACGGAAAATCCAAAATGGCTGCCTTAACATTTACCCTGAATGCATAAAAACTAATCAATTGTAGATTTTCATACTAAGAATCATTCCTGAAAATTTGAAATTGATCTACCAAACAGTTCACCTGAAAACGAGTAGACAAGACTTTACAGACAAGATTTTAGGACGGAAAATCCAAAATGGCTGCCTTGACATTTACCCAGAATGCCAAAAAACTAATGAGATCTAGATTTTTATACTAAGAATCATTCCTGAAAATTTGAAATTGATCCACCAAACGGTTCACCTGAAAACGCGCAGACAAGACTTCACAGACAAGATTTTAGGACCGAAAAATCCAAAATGGCCGACAATTAAAAAGTCCTTATGAGTTTTTGCTGATTTCTTTTTACAAAATTATCACATATAACTACTGTTAACAATAAAGTAGGCTTTAAAAACAAAGTACATCTGAAATTATTTATAAAGCTACTAAATAGTTAAAGTATGAAAACTCAAAAACACCATTCAATATGATACAAAGTATTATCACGCGCTAACTTTTCTTAAGACATTCAAAATGGCTGACATGATTGAGCTAGCAGGTCCAAAACCTAATCAGATCTAGAATGAAGTGAGCTGAACAAGATGTTAAAGTTTTAAAAGCAACTGTGAAGCAGTTTTTCTTAAAGTTTGCAGACAAGGATTTTAGCATTTGACTTCAAAATGGCCGACAGGAAGTAGGTTTCGAGTTAAATTTTTTTCATCCACATCTATAGGCACTCATAAGTTATCCCTGAAAATTTGAAGGTGATATCTGTAGCGGTTTTGGAGAAAACTCCCGGACGTACGGACGGACGGACAGACGGACGGACGGACAGACGGACAAACGGACGGACTGACAGTCGGACGCGCCTAGGCCGACAATATGGCCCCACACAATGTGGTGGGGACATAATAGGTGAACTTAAGAACCAGGAGTCATAGGGGAGTTATCTGTGCGAAATTTCGGTTTAGTCAGGGGGGAGGGTGCGTCGTGCGATTGTGGCATAAAAAAGCCCTTTATTTCATATACATGTAACTCCTTAAAGGCAAAGAAACGTTGCCATGAATTTTACAATTTTTCAGGTGTGAAGAATAAGCGTCACATTCAGCTTAAATCAAATAATATAATCCTGCACTGTATTAAGAGTGTAAGATGTTGGAAGCAATCTATCTGTAGGCCTATACAATCATGTACATTTACATGTAATGTATCTCTATCACTTCATTCCCTTGATGTAACTTTGTAGGACAACTACAATTAATGATGTTGGACCCTTAGCTAATCCCAAGTTTGATTCTCCATTAATGAAAAAGGTAGACCCAAAAACTCCTTGTATGCCCACCATTGTTTAGGCTTATTTCTAAATTTCCAAATCCAAAAGCAGGATGAAACAAGAGATCATTTAAAAAAAATGAAGGCGATGTTTGCAGTGTTGTAATGAATTGTATTGATAAATAGGGATGCTTTCTTTTAACGCGGTTGTAATTTACTGAACGGCAAAAGTAGAAAAAAATCTGAACATTTTGAACTGATTAAGATCTTTAAATTGTGAAGGTCTGAGTACCTGGACCTCTTAGAAAACATCCAAACATATCAAAAAGTGAAGATGGGTCAATTTGATTCTCATTCTCCGAAGATATTTATAAAATAGTTAAATGTTCAGAGTTTTTTTTAATGCTGTAAATTGTTCACAATTATAAATCGAGAAGTCGCTCGATTTCTTTCGTATTTAGGAAATCATGTTGCCGAAAATCAGTGCACCCTTTTCACGGAGTTGTAATAAAATGAGCGTGTGTTACCGTGTGTCTACTTAGCAGTTTGTTCTATGTCATCCCTCCTGCAAGGTTACATTGTGGAACTCAGCCAAACACGACACTGAACTTAGGCAGTATTCTGGGGTTATAAAATCTTAATCGTAAAAATTTCCCATTTCTTCTTCTTCTGCAGCCCCTTGGAGAGTTCCGGAATAGAACAAAGTAGCGAACGTTGCGATCTTTCAACTTTAGTTCGTTGTTTTTCACCACTTTATGTGTTGTGTTTTCATTAGGAGGCGGTTTTATTTGAATGCATCATTTCAGGTCTTTATGAATCAATAGATCAATAAGCAGACTAAAAATACAATTTAGCAGTTTCTTTCATTGCGTACTGGGCCTGTTAGGCATGAAATACAATTTAGCAGTTTTGTTTGTTGCGTAATTGGGCCTTCTATAATCAGTAGCAAATGCTCGGAAAACATTTTCCAAAATATTTACTTCCGTTTTCCTTGAAGACATGGTTGGGTGACACGTCATTAAGTCACATGATCAATACAGTAACTAGTCACGTGATCAGACACATGTCAGGTGTCAGTCACGTGAGCTTTCAAAATGGACGACCTAAATTTCCAAAAATTCTGCTAAGATCAACATCGACATGTTGTTGCCTTCATTGTCGTGTTTGGCTGCGTTCCACAATGTAACCTAGCAGGAGGGATGACATAGAACAAACTGCTAAGTAGACACACGGTAACATTTCATTATCTCGTTATTTTCACCAGATGAACTTATGCCAAGAATTTCTACTCAGTCTTTAAAAACCTTTCGACCCTACAACTTGCTTGCCAAAGAAATCTTGACACCCAGTAAGTCGTAGGGTCAAACAGTCGTAGGAATGGTTTTTAGTACATTCAATAGTCTAGTTGTAAATATTTGCTAAAACTTGCTTGCCTCAAACACCCTCATCCAAGCGTGTCCCGGTTAAAGAGAAATTCACACTTTTGTAAAAAACAATTGAAGAACAGCATAATAGAAAGTCAAATACAAAATTGATTTGCGCCCAAAATAGTTTGGGTAATGATTCCCGTCACTACCATGCATTTGTCCCCAAAGCAAGGTTCCTGGTGGACAGTGGTAGCAGGCGTACATATTTCCTGCAAAGGGAGAAAGGTATGCTTTTCATATGTTTTTAAATCACCTTGTAACAAAATCAATATTGTGTCTAGCTTGCAGAATTGTTTAAAATGAATATAAATATGTTAGACTCGCGCACCCATCCTTCGTAAAATTCGATTTACTCGCGCACACGTCATTTTGCGAGACACAAAAGTGCGAATTTCTCTTTAACCGGGACACGCTTGGATGAGATATTTGGTGAATTAGATCGTCTTCAGACATTGATGGTACGGGACAAGTTTCACAGAGATACAAAATCTTAAAACATGTAAAAAGTGTGATTACAAGCCTCAAGCGAAAGAAAATGCGAATCACTCGCGCACACGTCATCCATGAAGTCACGTGACAGACTATACCCAGGGTGTCAAATTTTGAATGACATTGGCTGACAGAAATTGCCTAATTTTACAAAATATCCAACCTTTCCAAAAACAATTTTCAGATGATTTCAGAAATCTGAACAACAACATTATTCGCATATGACAACGAAAAACGATTTAGATTGACTCACCTGTAATGTTGTGAGATGTTTATCGTTGAATTTGTTTTCTACGTATCTGAGAACCAGTGATGTTTTTCCAACGCAACCCTCTCCAAGAAGCACAACTTTGAAGGAGAAATTGCGGCCCCCGCCGGCAGCCATATTGAACAATTGTTGGATGCGAACAATAAAATAGTATCTACTTTTGCCTTGGATATTTGCTGTTTTTCGAAACAATTTATATTATGGCAGTAATATAGCAAAATGTAAAATATTTTATGTCAATGTTTTTCAATATGGCGAGTCATATGAGGAAGTAACGCGTTTTCTCGCGAGAATTGTCGAGGCTTGAGCTTATGACATGAACAAATTTCAATTTATTTATACTTTTTTATGATGTTTAAATTACTGTTTGATAATATTTGATCAATTATCTCAATCAATTAGATTATTGACATCATGAATTAAATCATATTTTGGCTTATTATGCATTTGAATTTAATCATTTTGTAAAGAAGGAGGGGCATATGACGTCATACCAAAACAAAAATGGCCCAGTCTGAAGTTCGGGTAAACTTAATATTTTCTTTTATTCTAAATTTCTCAACGTCTCTTTGTCCTTAACATAATATTAAAATCGCGTATGTTACATTATTATATAAAGATCGTAAATGTTTATCAATCAGTCTTATATTTCTTGTATGTTGAGAAGTAAAGGAGTGTCAACAAATGTGAAAAATATTTTTCTGATTGAATTGATTCAACATGTCAGTAAATGGGGCTTGATTAGCTTCAGTTGTGACTATGAATCATGACATCTGGTGATACTAAGGTTACATAATGCAATCCCTCCAAATACAAATCATACATTTAGAATGCCGCCTAGACAAGTATTTCAGGTAGGGTCAGTACACATACATGTACATCACAGAAATTGTAGAATGAATTGAATCGTTTCACTAAATGGGACCAAGGACACACATGTACATGTAACAGGATCTAATCAACCGGTGCACAAATTGCTGATTTAAAATAGTGGGAAATGTATATTGATTATGATTTCAGACGAGCCTTGATCAGGAGGTGCTTTACGAGAAAGATGGAGTATTTCTCCACACAACGATTTCTTCAGCAGAAAATGACGATACATTGATACCTGGGAGATTATTTCTCATAAAAAGGGTAAGCATTTTGTTGTCACAAAAACTGTGAATGAATGATGTTGAAGAGGAGGAAATTACCAAGAATTCAAAAATAAATTTTAAAGATGAACCCCCAGAGGTTGAATTCTGGGATATTCCCCAACCATGTCATGGTGAAAGCAGGCTAAAATTTTTATCCTTTGCAAAAGTCCAGACTTTTTAATATACTCTTTAATAAGAGATATGTCAAATTCTATTCACAATAGTAAAAAAATCATGGCATTAGGGGATGCATCAAAAGTTCGATGTCGGATCGGAAACTAAATAAATCTAGTTTTGACTTTGACCCCCTCCCCCCAAAACTAAATACCATGAAAGTTGATCGCTGAGAATTTAAAAAATGATTGCTAAACACGATCTAGTTTTTGTTAATTCCTATCGTAATTTGGGGTTTGACCCCCCCCCTAACTGCTTTATTTAGTTTTCTATCTGACATCACACTTTACCCATTACTGTCTGTCTTATAAGGGATTCAAAGCTTAAAAAAGGTCAATTAAACCAGCATCAAACTGTAAATTCATTGTCGATAGTCAGAGGCTTGGTGAGGAATTAGAGTATTGATTGAAAAGAGTATTTTTATACTCAAAATGACCTTTGTAACTGTATATATACGTTACATGTATCATTATTTTAAGTAAATGTAGCCAAAACAGATGGTTACATATCATCTTAATAACCATACATACTGTACATGTATTTTGCATCATACAGTACTTCCCATATAAACACATGCATATACATGTACATGTATAATCTGTTTCAAGTTAAGGTTCACCAGCAGTGTCATTATTATTGAAATATATATAGTATTAAATAGATTAAAATTCCTCAATTCACTAACCTTTTATAGCATTACTATCTAGCTTTCGACAACTCCTGTTGCCTTTCTCAAGATGTCTGAATTTGGCGGGAAACTGGTAGATTTGACCTTGACTTGATCTTTGACCTAGCAACCTCAAGTAGACTCGGGGAAACCTTATATCCTAAGTCTCTGTTAAGTTCAGGTTTATATTTATGAATATGTATCGCTTCCTTTATCTTTCGATCAAAGTATTTAGACTCTGAGTCAATAATTCTATAATCCCAGTTTATCTTATGCGCTTCATCAAATGAATGTTGAGCGATTGCTGACTTATCTGGGTTAAATCTTAAGGCGTCTCTGTGTTCTTTTATTCTAGTTCCTATGGCTCTCCCTGTCTCTCCTATATACTTCTTATCACAATCAGAGCACTGGATTTCATATATGACTCCGGACTTAAGGTCCTTGGGAGTGGGGTCTTTGGGTGCAACTAACGCTTGTTTGATAGTTTTCACTGATTTGAAACAAGTCTTGACTCCAATGTCTTGAAAAACACGTTGAAGTTTGGGAGCGATCGAACTCACATAGGGAAGAACTACCTTAATATCCCTATCGTCACTGTCTCTAGCAGGATCCTGTTGCCTAACTGTGTGATTCTGAGCTTGGTTTAACATCCAAGATGGATAACCACAACGGGCTAATGCTTTATTAATATGGGTTTTCTCTGCTTCTAGCTCTGCGGGATTTGTAATAATTTCATTGGCTCTCTTGTGTAAAGTCTTAACTATTCCTTTCTTTGTTGAAAGTGGGTGATGTGAATCAAATTTTAAATATAAATCAGTGTGTGTGGGTTTTCTATACACACTAATGGACAAAGATCTATCCTCCTTAATTTCAGTGACTGTATCTAAAAATGGCAACTTCCTATCTTTTAAAGCTTCAGTTGTGAATTTTATATCTGAGTCTACTGAATTGATAAAGTCTGTGAACTCTTGGACGAACTCTTCCTGTATAACTACCCAAGTGTCATCCACGTATCTCTTCCAAATGCGTGGTGGGTGCGGTGCTGAACTTAAAATCTTCTGTTCTAAATGTTCCATATATAAGTTGGCAATTATTGGAGACACTGGTGATCCCATAGCTGCTCCATGGCACTGACTATATATTTCGTTTTTGAACGTGAAATATGTTGTATTTAAAGTTCTAGCTAACAAATCACCTATGTGTTCTGGCGTTAATTTAGTCCTATCTGCTAACTTATTGTCTTTCTTGAGATTACTCACTATGATGGGAACAACTGATCCCTGCTGCATGCGCCTATTTTAGATTTGAAGATAAGGTTGCACCAAGTTGAGAACCTGTTTTAAACAATCTGAAAATCTAAACATTTAGATTTTTTGAATTCTTTTCTTCAGTCCAATTTTTTCAGAAAGTGTTAAATTAGCTGTTTTAAAAAATTTAATCCAGTACAGGATTTTTATAATTTATATGAAAAAAACTGGTCAAAATACGCCAAATTCTCTTGAATGTTTCATCAAATTCTCGTCTGCATTATCAGGTTGTTGTTTCTCTTGTAATCTCTCACTTAAACCCCCATCTTTATTTATTGTCATTATTATAATATCACAATTACATTTTATTTGCAGGCTGAAGGGGTATTTATAGATTGGAAGCCAGAACAAAATGTGCAGGATTTGAATAAGACAGACGAATGGACGGTAGTGAATCACACGGTGGGATATAAATCAGATTCTGGTAGGTAAAGATACCTCTGATATCACCCTTGCTAGATTTCAACAATTTGTCTTTGTGGCTGTTCTACAAAGAAATTTTGTACAGCTCAGCTTTCTGTAGAATGTTCACACAATTTACAATAAACTAGGTGCAAGTAGAAATAATCTTGATTTGCTTTATTAAAAATTCAAAATTTAGTCGTGATTTCATATTTGAAATCTTATGTGATAAAATCACAAAAAGTGAAATATTGTTTTTTGTATTGGAAAGATTATATTTTCTTTTACTGGACATATATTTTAATTTGGGTAATATGAAAATTGAACCACTAAAACTGATGATATTCAAGCTTAAGGAACTTTCTAATAATCTGTCATGTTATTAGCCGGGTTGGCCTAGTGGTTAAGGCATTGGTCTGAAAAGCAGGAAGTCTGGCTTCAGGCTGAAAAAGTAGAGGTCTTGGGTTCAAACCCAGGTCACAGCACTTCTTGTGATTTGTCTTTGACCTATGACTGCTGACCTATACCGGCCACTGTAAACCTGCATAGTATAAATGTGGCAGTTCGCTTGTCACTGGTAGAAAGTCATTAATCACACATCTGGTGTTCTTGCACATGCGTAGTGGTAATAAAATCTGTCTAGAAAATATGGCTGTGGTGTTTGAAGGCTATGTCATGTTGTCTGGTAAGCTTGAAATCTATGATTTCTACCTACATTTCTCTGTCTAGACTTGGCACCTAATTATCTCATGATATTAAAGACTTGCTGAATCATATTTATTTGGTCATTATGTCACTATTTTAAAGGTATCAGTTAATATGAAATAGATATTTTTTGCATTTTTGAGTGTACTTTTGCATCATATTTTCTATATTTTCCTACTTTTTTACTTCAGAACTTTTTTCACAGTGAGAAACAATGGGGTATTATGAAACAATATCACTTCAAGAAAAGTGTACATTATTTTATTTAAAGAAGATATTGGCATTTTAATTGAGTAGGTGTTGGCCAAAATTGATATTTTTAACATTGGTTTGAATAGGCAACTTTGAGCTGTTGCTCGCAGAAAACAAGTGATATATCAAAGGAAAAAAATAATGTAGAAAATTGATTTAGATGAGCAGAAAGAGGAGACTTTGAAGTACAAAACCATCAAAAAATTACAGGATCAAAAAAGTAGAATCAATTAGAAAAGTGCCTTTTCATGCAAATGTGTAATAAAATTAAAATTTTATTTATGTACTAGTGTTCCATTGACAAAAAATAGATACAATGGAATGTGTTAGAATTTGGTTAATTATGATTGGAAATTGTAAACTTTTTTTACATCTATGAATTACTAATTGATCATTCTTTTTAGTTATTGCAAAAGTTATAGTTTCTAAGTAAGTTTAAACGAGTAATAACATGAAAAGAGATTGCGGTTTAATTAACCAAAAGTGGCTATAGCATTAACTTTCTACAGTGGAAGACTGTTTGACCTACTAGTAAACAAAGCTAAGAACTGGATACTGGGCTAATTAATCAAAACAAGCTTGACAAGCGAACTGCCAGCTTAGGTTTACAGTGCGGCGATTACTAGAGTGCTGCTAACTCGATAAAAGGCTGGCCCTGGCTAGAATTGTCTATGGTTCTAGCCAGGATAAAGATACCAGTTCTTCAACTCGACAATGGGAAGAACTGCTCTACCTTAGTGACTAATATGTCATGATATGACATCTAAAGAGTCAATAAAAGATATAAATTTGCCCCAAATTAGCCACCTGGTGTTGAAACTGGTAACTACTGGTAACTACATACCCACATCTGAGTTATTAATGTGGATTTATCAAAGTATTCATCAGATTCATCAGAATTTACTCCTCCTTTCAGCAATGGTACACTTTTTTCTTGCTTTATTATTTTTGTATAATTTGAAACGTTTTTCCTTGTTTTTTCTGAAAAATGAAATGTTAAAAAAAGATGGCATTTGGACATTTCTTGTTCAATATATTTGCTGCAGAAACTGATTTTTTGTTCAGAGAAAGATGGCATTATAGAAAAAATGGTTATTTTGTTGTAAATGATCATTAATAATAGTCTGACTCCAACAGCAATTACATGTAGGTGCTTGAAATATATTTTTATTCAGAGAAAGATGGCACTTTGAGATAAACTAATATCAAAGCAATGATTATAAATGTATAGTACTCTAAGTGAATACAACTTGTAATATATTTTTTGAAATCCCTGTGTGAGTCAAGTGTCTTTGTATCTTCAAAAATGATTCCATTTGCGAGGTGCGCCATTAACAGAGGATTGTTTGTGCTTTATATGTTCTCTCATATAATTGCTTTCTCTTCCAGGCTCTGTATCAATGAAATCCCCGGTGAAACACAAACACATTATAACCTTCAATATTTCGGATTTGAAGAGCTTCAAAAGATCATCTCAGCAACTTGGGTGGTCCTATTTGATATTTATCCTACAAGATGGCACCACTTTTCCTGCCCTTCATTTCCACCAAGGGGGCACTAAGGCTCTGATCAAGGAAATGGAAAAAACCCTCAGCATTAAAAAGTAAGTTGCTTTTGGTATTGGTGATTGATTATATAATTACCTTAAATTAAAGAAGGTTTTCAAATAGCCATTTTCTAAGAATTTCTAATATTCTTTGTAACAGAAACTGAATACAGTTAAAACCTGTTAAAGTGGTAGCCCTTTGTTATCTCTAAAAAGTTTCCACTTGGGAAGTGTTCCACATGTAGAGGTTCATTTAACATTAGGTCAATTGGTCTTTGGACTCTGAAAAATGTTCCACTATCAGAGGTGTTCGACTTACAGAGGTGTTCCTCTTTACAGGTTTCACTGTTTATGATTCATGGCAGATATGTGACATTTGTCCATCCACTCCCAAATACTGCAAATTAAAAACTCTCATCATAATCAAAAAAGAAACAACATCTCAAAGAATGGTCTCATGCACAAAGAAACATTTCTAACACCTCCTCCCACTCATACCTTTAATGTATTTTGCCTACACTGTAAAAGTAAGTTTAAGTGGATCATGGTCAGTTTTCCAGATCTTAAACTGACTCCAAACACTTAGAGACTTAAATGCAATTACCACAGCAACCAAATTGAATTCATTAAAAACTAATTAAGAAAAAAGCAGCAAATGCCTCGTTGTTGAGATCTCCAAATATTTAACTCACACAACATTGGCCCTGATACTAGATACTTTATTCTGTAGGCCTGACATTTTTGAAAATTGGATGAAAATGTCAGACTAAAAGCCTCATATATTTTGTCAGATAATATATAATGATCATATTTTTCAGATCTAATAATGACTCCAAGCTGTATATAGTGAGAGAACATGATCCTCAGGCCCTCTCGAAATCCTTTGATGAGCTTCAACTGTTCACGGATCACTCCCAGGATATTGTTTCTGTGAGAAGTATACAATTAGATTCTTGTATTCCTTGCGTCATGAGCTTTCCAAAATTAAATAAGATATAATTTATATATATTCATATGCATTTTAGTTTTCTGCTCGACTCACTTAAACTCTTACAAATATACCTCTGAATTGGAAAGCTAAGAAATATAAGGCTCCGAAACTGTTAAGTGGTACCTTTATCCCATATAATATCATTGCAAGTTTGCAAGACAAAAACGTTTTGTTAGAACTGTATGCAAGTAAATTAATTGAAAAATGAACCACATGTACAGTATTCAGTATGTTGTGCAACTTATTCGATTTGAATTTTAGAAAATAATTAAAGATCCAGTTGGTGCTACTCTTGGGGGTTTTGCCAAGGTGACTAAACTACTCCATGACACGCTTATAGCTGCCGAGACTCAAGCAAATGGAAACGGTGCTGGTGCTGATGATTTCTCTGACCTCTCTTTGAGTTTACGACAGCATGACGACACTGATATACCAGGAATACAGACCAGTGAACAAGACGAGCCTGGATTTGAAGTCGTCACCAGGGTGAGTTATTAAGTCACAACAATGAAGTTAGTGACATAATTATTATGATAGCTGAAGATTTTATGTTTACTGGTGTTCACCATTTAGCAGATAGCATTAGAGTGTCTTTCGGGTTTTAATTTACCATAATAATAATTTACATTAGGTGGTGACATTTTGTCATATTAGTGTCATGTAAATGATTGCGTTGACATTTTTAGTCCATCCAAATTTAATTGCAATATTTTAGCCTGAACACTTTCAATTATAGTGATTGCCTAAAAGAAGTAAATAAATTAAAATATGAAAAAAGGAAAAGATTGCGAAACATTAGGGGTGAAATAAATGATGTTAAATGTTGTTTCAGACTGAGCTACCTCCTAGGCCAACTGTGACGAGATCTGAACCTCTATCCCCCCAGGAATGGACCAAACACATGGATAAAGATGGCGTTGTTTTGGATCAAGACAAATTAAAGCAAATTATTTTCAGAGGAGTAAGTCAGTTTAATGCAATAGCTCTATATGACGTGCTTATCAAATGTCTATTTTGCAACTGAAAAATGTAATACTTTCCCAGGTGTACTTTCAACAAGTCATGAAATGGAAGTATTCATATAGTAAATTAAGTTTATTGCCAATTTTTGCTTCAATATTTTGATGATCTAGGCAGAACCTAAATAAGAAATTTTCTTTTATTTCAACATTTTTATGTGCATTATATTTGTGGATGGTGTTTTGCATTCAGCAGTTGGTGTTTGTGTTTGGCATTTGGTGGTTTGAGTGTCTGTAACAAATGACAGGTGATGACATTTTGCATGTTAATGTCTTGTTATTTGTTTATTTTTAGGGTGTGGATAAAACCATACGGTTAGAAGTGTGGAAGTTTCTGCTGGGTTACTATAAATGGGACTCGACATATAAATCACGGACGGAAGAGAGAAAAACTAAAGTGTATGTTTGTATTTCCCATTTTCACCCCTTTCACATCTCACACTAGTGACTTATATATTCATTATGATACCAGGATTCAATATTGGAAATATCATTATAGTCTATGTCATTTTGGATCCTAGGTATAATTAAACGAAACAAAGGGTTTTTAGAATCAGCATTTTACTAATGATTCTTCTCTTTTTGCCAAAATGGCCTGTTGAATTTTTGGAAAATCGAACAGTTTCCATAATTAAGTTTAAATTGTCAATCTTTACCAGTTGCTTTCATACATTTTGCCTTTTGACAGGAATTCTAATGAAATCTTTGAATATTAATAACTGAAGGAATTTAACTTGATGTAATGGCATTATTATTTACATTTTTTGAAATTAATGCAATAATGATATCGATAGTTTTAGTATTCTGAATGTATCATCTACATATTACTAATATTACCATTTTGAGCAATCCCTTTCCATATTCATGACATTTAGATATTGTCTTTGTAATATACCCTACCCCTATATTAATTGCACATACCCTGTCCTTTGCTATGCAGTAACATTTTCAATATGAGCCATTCCACATATTTTCTGTAACATTGTTTTCATAAAAATGTTATCATAATATTTCATAATGAATTGTTTTACTGTTATTCACTTTAGTGATGATTATTTCCGGATGAAACTGCAATGGAAAACTATCAGTGAAGCTCAAGAAAGAAATTTCTCAGCTCTGAAAGAGAGAAAAGGATTAATAGGTATGGAAAATTCCCCTCAAATTCTGTATTAAATGAATGGAAAATTCCCTTCGAATTATATTAAATGAATGGAAAATTCCCCTCAAATTTTAATTTAATTCAAATGAAAATGTCCACCAAATGAAATTTTATATTTTGCTCGGTACATATCTGAAAACATTTATATTTCAATAACTAGATATAGTATTCAAAGAAATACAGAATCATTAGCTCATTTTGAATGGTAAAGCTTCATATTCTTGTTTCAAAATCTAATTATAAGCAATATAATATCTAATTATTACTCTTTGTAAGAGATAGACAATGTCTGTCCCCTTAATTTTAATTTGGATTATGATTCCAAATGGTGAACAAAGTCAGAAAGGCGGTGTCTGACATATTCTGCAAATAAATAGATGGTATTCATTTCAAACTTCTGCAAATTACCACAAAGCTACATATGGGGATATCTTGATATACGTATGATCAAAATCATTTTTAATAATCAGAGGGTGGTGTTGCTCATGGATAGTATTGCAGGGTACTAGTACTCTTTAAAATTGAAATATTTCTATTAATGCTATTTTGTCACCACCAGAAAGGGTGGTTGGGGCTTGGCGGTTAGTGTTTTTATATTAATGCCTTGTCTCTATCTCTAATCATCTCTATCAACTTTATGGATTCATTTCAATTTAGAATGATGGCAATACTTGTTATCTGGTTGGTTTCCCAAAGTTTACATTTAAAACACTACATGCTAGTATGATATAACAATAATGATTTTTAAGATTAAATATTCAAAATTTAGTCAGGGATTTTTTATTTTAAGTCAACATACAAAGGGGGAATTTCAATTTAATATGGAATAGGTGTTGCCTTTTGTTTCTGTATGATATGACACAATTCATCATATGCACACTTTCTCAGTATAATTCTACATTTTAGATAAAGATGTCACTAGGACTGATCGCACGCATCCCTTCTTCCAAGGCGAGAACAACCCAAGCATTCAGATGTTGAATGATATACTTATGACATACTGCATGTATAACTTTGACCTAGGTAAGTTTTTTAATGAATGGAATATATCTCAATATTTTCTTGGTTGCCTTAGCAGCCCATTGAAAGGTTTTTAAAAGTTTTAAGTATGTACAGTACTTACTCAAGGTCACTGTTATTTTAAGTAAGAATCATTTAGGGTACTTACATGTATCTCATGAACATTTCCTTAATATGCCTTTTTGGTTTAAAATAGGTCCATATTACACAATTTTGATTTTATTTATTTTAAATGTTCAAAACATACATTGAGACGACCCTGATTTCAATACAGATTGTTCAGAATCATTTGATTCAAATTGTTTACATTTTCTTCCATATTTATAGGTTACGTTCAGGGCATGAGTGACCTCCTTGCTCCTATTCTAGTTGTCATGGAGAATGAAGTGGATGCATTCTGGTGCTTTGTCGGCTATATGGACCTTGTGGTAAGCTTATATCTGTCAATTCAAAGTAATTCATTTCAAAGTGCCAATTTTGTGTACTCTCTGACAAAACTCTGGTCACTTGGGATCTACATTGTACAAATGAACATAATTTTTTGATTTTGATCAATTAATATATAACAAAAAGAAATTGACACATATTGATAAATATCCTACTAAAAATTCAAAGCCCCACCTCATGAATTACCCATTTTGCATAAAAAATGAAACTTTTACTCTGCTTTTCGGGGAGACTACACCCCAAACCCCTCTTGATAATTAAATTACATTTATTACCATTTATTATATACCTCAAATGTATTCTAGATGCTCATTGGCTTATTCATGGTCATATGACATGGAATAGATGAACTAATTCCCTGGAAAGTCCTAAATCCCTGCTTTCAGGGAAGATGAATTGTACTAATCACCAGTTAGGTCATGTGACCAGTCAATAGTACATTTTATCTTCCCCCAAATCTGAGATTATAGGAGTTGAAAGGTAAAATGCCTTTAAATGCCAATAAGTACCTGTGAACATTTGATATTGAAATGAAAAGACTTCTCATTTTGTTATTGTTTACAGAGTACTTATCAGGTATATAATAAAACAAATAGTGACTGCCACATTTTCGGGAAATAGTGTAAAAATTTTCCTCTCAGGAATATCCTGTCAACTGACTTGTTCCCTCGGCCTGCAGCCTCGGGAACATGTCAGTGAACAGGATATTCCCTTGAGGAAAATATTTTGCACTATTTCCCTCAATGGCAGTCACTATTTGTATAATAATAAATAAATAACATTACACATTTCATAATATGCATGCCTTTTTCAGCATTCAAACTTTGAGTTAAGCCAAGAAGGGATGAAGGGACAACTAAATGATACCCACACTCTACTAAACCTTATGGACCCTGCACTATGCAACTATCTAGGTGAGCACTTCAATGTATAGCTTAACCTCTAGAATCCCAGGTTCTAAAATTAAGCTAAGAGGTTAATAATGGCTGAGCCAAAACTATAATATTTTGGTTAAAAAGACAAAAAAAAGTTAATCTGCTATGATGTTTTCAGAGCTGCAAATTCAAGGAACTGTTTTTATCTAACTCTGTTTGCAAACAGAATTCATGTTATATACTCTAATATACACAAAAACAAAATTGTTTATGTCACTATTTTCAGAGAGCCATGAGTCCAGCAATATGTACTTCTGCTTCCGTTGGCTTCTCATCCAGTTCAAGAGAGAGTTCTCCTTTGAAGACATCATGAGACTGTGGGAGGTAAAGAGCTTCATGATTTATTTTTATCTCAGAATACTCTTTCTGTTCATTAAAAAAGAAATATTCGGGAATATCTCTTACACTTTTTGATCTGAAAATTGATGTTGAATAAATATTTCTGTTTGAGCCCAGTTCATAATCACTGCCTATACGAAATGTTACTTCAAACAGAGAATTATTGCTTTATTTCATTTATATTTGTCTCATCCTTTGCACTACTGGTCTACTTCTGTCCGGATAAAACCAACATATATGCTCTTTTGAACGTCTTGTTGTGTGGAATATCGTCCATGTACTTATATAAAGATTTTAAAAAATTTAAATGTAAACCATTTTTAAAGTAAAATTTGAACTAAAAAAATGGTGGTTTCATTATTGGGATGAGTGGGTAGCACTGAGTGTTAGATAGAATACTGAAACATATTAAGTGTAAGTTTTAATCATTTTAAAAAAGCTAGAGAATTTATCTGATCATTCTTGCCCCTCATAACACTTTTTCTTCACAGTAAACTGTCATTCATTTAAACTTTGTTTGGGTTCTACCTAATTTTCTCCTGGAGCGACTCATTACCAAAATGATTGAATTTCTCAAAAAAATGAATCTGTTTGTTCCTAGTATATATGTCTCTCTTTTTCAGTCTTTTTTCATTTGAACCACAACTCTATTATTGTGATAGTGTATTATTGGATGAGCAATCTTCATTATTGAATTACAGTGTTATAATAGAAAAAATACAATAGAAATGGCAATTAATTAACATTTGTATATCTGCGGCAAAATTAATATTTGTATTGTTAATAGCTTTACACATTTGTTAATAGCTTTTACAATGAAACTTATTGCCTGGCTGTACATACTATGAAGCCTTCTTTTGGAGGTGCAAAGTCAATCTCATAATCCTTGGTATATGTTTTTTGAGAGATGTGATTTCTTTTACATTAACACAGTATTTTAATATTTCCCATCTTCAACATTTCAACCTCCTCCCAACCCTGAGGTCAGAAGAAATTATGAAATTGCATTTATTTTGAAGCAATATTAAGAAAGAAAATATACCTAGTTTGAAAAATATTTTTGGCCCTTACGAAAATAGTTTTTTTCACCCAGAAATAACAGTATCTTTCTTTAATTTTTAAGTTCTGTGGATTTTTTCACCCCTAATATAACAGTATCTTTCTTTAATTTCTAAGTTCTGTGGATTTTTTCACCCCTGAAATAACAGTAACTTTCTTTAATTTCTAGGTTCTGTGGACTGGACTGCCATGTAAGAACTACCACTTGCTAATATGTCTTGCTATCTTGGATACGGAAAAAGCAACTATTATGGACAACAGATTTGGATTTACAGAGATACTGAAGGTATATTATGTCATTTTTTAAAGGTCATCACTTTGGGTGTTCATCATTAGCACACACTTTGACTTTAAAAGTATTTCTTAAGATAAACGAATTAACACAAGGAGTACACATGTCTCGAACTCGCAATCTTGTGGTTATCGCACACATACGCCTAGCTTGAACTTAAAGGGATATACATTGCCAGACCATTTCTCTCCTGATATGGTAGCTTTTACCATACACATTCTTTAAATGTTTAGCAAAACATGGCAAGGTGGTAAAAATTGAGAGTCAATGACATCACATTCTGTATGAAATCTTAAAAGATGGCAGCTTAGTTGAAATGATTGTTACATTTTTAAATGATCAGTACTAACCATATTAAAACATCTTCATGTGTTTTACTAAATATGGAAAGTGCAATTGTGTTATAGAGGTTATGTCACTATGACGTAAAATTGCCTGAGTTCTCCCAATATAGGCCTACCTTGGGAGGCTCTATATTTGGGCAAGAATGAAGGTACACATATATTTCACGTCATAGTGACAAAACTGATGTATTACATACCTACATTCCCAGGGCTACTTCGTATAAATGATGTCACACATCTGTATGCAAGTAGAATTTGATTGAAATCAGACATGAAGTTGTGATTTTGTCATGGTTATTAACCTCTTGAATCCCAGGCTCTAAAATTGGCATGAAACCAGAGAATTTTTCATTTTTTGCCACCTTTTGACATTTTATTACATACCTATACAACTTTAGATGCTCAGCTTAGTAAAATTGGACAGCAGAGATCATTTCTACACGTTTTAAAACAATTTTTGTGTAAATTGGATGAAAATTGTTCAAATGAGAGCAATTTTTGTGAAAAGTTTTGTGACGGATTTTCTCGTCCCTCTGGGCACCAGTCTTATTTCATTTGTGACGGATATATCCGTCACTCTGGGTATGCAAGAGGTTAAAGAAATCTAATATCAAAATGAGGTTAGGGATATCGGTGCAATCGGGCAATATGGGTGGATGTAGCCCACTAACTTTGCCAGTGACTTCCATACAAATGCTTCACTAGGTATGTTTTTCATGATTAAGCTACCATATCAAGACAGAAATGGTCTGGCAGGGAATGTCCCTTTAGTGACAGCTCCTTATTTTGACCATCTTACATTTGATTTGATTTGCATTTTTCCTCAGGTCAATGAGACTTAAAAGTTTTCTAATGTAAATATTTATTATAGAATTTAATAATTGAATTTAATATCACATTCATTTATGTAATGTATGTCATCAGAGTGAGATCAATTCCCCTTTTCAATGTTACATTTACAATTATTGTTGTTTTATTATTACAGTATCATCTGCAATTTATTATCTGCTATCTCTATGATTTCCATATTTTTACTTGTTCAGTCATAAGTATATTTAGTATATGCCTAATAGACACATTCATTTATTCATTTAGTTTTTGTTTTCTTTTATGATGATAAAAGGGCAAAATAAATGTTAATGACAATTACATTAATGATAAGGGTTGATGTTAGCTGACTCTAATGACCGTGATGTCAGTTTATGACATTTTTTATTTCCCATCCATTGACAAGCAATTGTTTACATATATTGAAATTATTTTGATAATATTGTTAACTTTAAATGTTTTACAACATTGTCTCCATTTTAGTTAAATCACCTTTCATATGTAATTTTGCCTAATCATTTAATTTGCCTATTGCCTAATCTTTGCCAGGTTCGGGAAATTTAATGTTGGAAATATTATCTTCATAATGTTATCCATGGGAAGTTTCTTTTTATTTGGAAAATTAAAATTATCAAAATAATAATTTGACCATTTGGCAAATTAACCACTCTGATTAAATGCCACTTTTGCTATTAATTGTAGCAAAACAGAGTTACTGTTAAATATATCCAGTTTATCTGAATTCAGATCTTTAGGATTGCATTATTGTAAAATATGCTATAATAGGAGTAAAGTGCTCTTTATTACCTAAACTATATGATTAAGATAAAAGTCAAAACTGCTCAAAGTAGCTGTCATTAATTCATCCTGAGTAACACTATTTTATTCATAAAAGTTCGTGAAGATGCACATGTATTCACCTCAATGAAATAAAAAATATTTGTATAATATTAATATATTTTTCTTGGGAATAGATTATTAATTTCATCCTGATTTAGCCAAATTAATGTTGTTTTGGAACCAATCAAGATATTACCCTTTGGAAATGGTATGAAAAGTGATACCCCATTCTGAGATTAATTACTTTTATGCTCTGGTATTATGACAATTATTTTTTGATCTGAGCTCATCTGTTGAAAAGATTTAAGAGTGTCATGAAGTGTAATAGGTTTCATGTTTTTATTATTGTCATTTAACATCCCACATCACAAATAGGCGTAGTAATGTACTGTATTATACCATCATTAGATACATGTATTAACACTATGGTATCAGTTCACCCAAGTACGATTTGATAAGTGTACCAGATTGATACCTTGCACACAGAGTCTAGTTATAAACTGTAACCCTCTGCCTAGTATAGACTATAATACAGTTTAGCAGCCCCACCCCAAAGATTGGTGCCTGTGACAGCCCAGGTAATGAATCATTCCAAATCTACCACTCTGACCCTTTCTCAACCAATCAACGAAGTTGAAGGAATGTGTGCTAAAAACGTGCTCATTAACTATGCGAAGATGTCAGGCGAGATAGAAAGTCGTCCGTATTTCAACGACAAACTCTGATTGGCTCGGTGAGATCAGAGATTTATTGTAAACTGAAAGAGTGAAGACGAAGCTCTCTTTTTAGAAGTGAAGTCGAACGAATGCAAAGGGTACCTGATTGATCGACTTATCCACAACAGTAATGTGTAATTGTGCATCTTTGTATTTGACTGACTGAAAAGAACGCAGGGGCTTTTAAGGAATTTTGTCTTGATCTTTCTACCAGTGTCCAGTACATAAATTATGAATCATACCATAAAAGGTATTGCTCATGTGCTCTCCAACTAGTACATTATGCCCCTTTTTGAAGGTCCTTAATACTTGTATTAATTTACACACCCTTTGATTTTTTAAACAGTACTAAGATAAACTTCATATATATGGCAGTAAAAAAATAATGATAAAACACAGGCAGTCTAGTCAGATGATATTAGCTGTCAAAAGTAGATGAAATGTGAGGTCCTACTGATCACAAATAACTCAACATAATTGTGGCCTTTCAGAACTGAGAAGATATGAGAATATGTTTTATCATGAGAGTGTTTAACACATTTTGTAGAATGTCAAATGATGAATTTTCCTTAGTTATGATATGTCTCCCTAGAGACAAATCAAGTGTGCTTTTCAGCAAAATTTCATGTTGTTTTGTTTATTAAAAGGATACAGCACTTACTAAACGGGACATTAAGTAATTCAATATCATTAGTGTGTATAATTTCTGTATTTGTTCAGTTTATAAGTGTTGATTAATAATTTTATCATTAACTGAAACATTGTAGATATTGGCATTAAGACTAAAAGAGCTTTGACTGTTTTTTGTCGTATTGTTAGATAAAGTCTTTTTTGTGGACGTTGTTGGGTTAGCGGTGGGTAGCTTTTGGTGGTCGGCGTTGGGCATATGTAACAAATGACAGGTGGTGACATTCTGCATTTTGTTATTCTTTCTTAAGAGCGTTTTGTATACCCATTCTCGACTAATTAAGGGTATGGTGACAAAATTTCAAAAAAGAATTTGGGTTTAGCATGTTCAAATCATGTGAATAAAACCAAGAATATTTTTCTTAGCCTTAATGTATAAGAACATCTTATTTTTAATTTTTCAGCACATCAATGATTTGTCATTGACAATTCGTTTAGATGACATTCTCCCCCTAGCAGAGGCCATGCATATACAACTCGCACAACTTGCCAGTGAAAACAAACTCAAGAACTCTATAAGAGAGATCATAGGCTTAGCTCCAGAGCCCAAGAACACCTCAGACTCTCCAGATGGGGATGACACCCCGAATGGCACTCCAAAATTAAAAAAGAAAAAAATGGACCTACTGATTAAAGCTCAGGAGAATATTTCCCGGGATGCTACGCAGAAAAGTAGTTCCGGTAGTGAACAGAGTTCCGGTAATGCTACAGCTGTGACTACGCCAGGCTCAGGAAGTAGTTCCGAGTTACTTTTGGACATGGATACTGCATTTATCTTATAGTATGAGAAAAAAGGATTTTCAAAAACTGACCACTCTTAGTATGTTTAACAGGGATGTACAGTGTTACAGGGGTGTATTACAGGGGTGTATAACAGGGATGTGTTACAGGGGTACATTACAGGGGTGTATTACAGGGATGCATCAGGAGTTGGAGTGTATTAAAGGGGGGTATAAAAGGGGTGTTGAACAGGGTTGTATAACAGGCGTGAATTACAGGGGTGTATTACAGGGGAGTATAACAGAGTTTCATAACAATAATGTATTACAGGACAGATACTGAAGAGTGGTATACAATTAATGTATACCACTCCAATATTCTGTGAGCAAAAAATTATTTGCTGAAAAAGTTATACAACATTATAATATACTAAGAGTGGTTCAAAAAGTCCCTAAAAGGAACCATTCTGTTCTGTATAATTTTACTCTTACAGAGTACTAAAATATAGTATACACAATGATACAGAATAGGATATTACACTATATAAATTATAACCATATTGTAGATATAGAATGTGAAATTCCTTAGCATCGATCTTATCTAAAAAAAAACAAACTAAAAACCATGTGAGTTTTTTTAAATTTGATCAGATACGAACAAGAGACAAGTAGCAAAATAAAGACATTAAGAATTGTAAATAGAAATCTTCTAAGCTTATAAAATTGGTAAAATATATGTAGAAATATTATAAAGGATATTCCTTTGAAAACAATTGTGTTGGATTATAATCACGGGTACCAGACCTCAATATACTGCGGGCATTTTAGGATCCACAATGACCTGAACATAATGAGCAAGCTTGCTAATTAAGACATTTCTCCCAGTGCCTTTGTCATGATACAAGCTAGCTCACTGTATCACAAGGTCTGGTTCATACCCATGTCTGTACCACCTTCTTTTTTTATGTGTGCCTGTCCTCTGTATAGATTGCTAATGCTGTACATAAAATCATAAAGGGTTTATGCAATATTTTATAAAAAGCAAAGGAACATTAAATTAAATCATCAAATGAATATTTTAACATACACTTGAAATTAATATTAAATATTACATAATTTGCCATTTAGTTGATTTCAGCTGAATAATTTCAGGTGTGAATTTAAATCAGATTTTTTTAACATACTTCTAAAGAAGCCTTGCACATAAGTGTTTAAATACATTTCATTATTTTTTATGTCACCACCAGAATTGGCTTGCTACAAATGGCAGGTGGTGACATTTTACATTGCTATGTAATTTTTGTGAGAATGAATTAGGTTTGATGAACAATTGATATACATATTGATACACTACCTTAATGCCTTGGTCACATTTGCTCCGATTTTCCCTACGGCGCCCTGCCTGATAGAGTATTTTGTTCAAAATTGAATACAATATTGAGCAAAAAACTTAATCGGCCGGGCGCCGGCTGATGGATTGGAGCATATGTGACCCAGGCATTAGGTGGGTCTGTTATAATGATTTCTGCAAATCTAAATGTAAAAGGTTAAGTTGAATGAGTCAAATTATGTTTCCTACTTTTACCTTAATGCACGAGTAGTAAATTCTGTTTCATTAATTATAATAATGTATGTTGCTGAAATTTACAATAACAAATTGATTACATACAATATTTAAATATAGCTAATGGATTTTGTCTTGAATTCCCAAGGGTTTTTTCTTTCTAGTCATTATTATTGTGTTTTAAGGGGATGAAATATACACTAGACATTTAGTACACATATTTTGCAAATTAGGACTATTTTTTAGGTATTTGTGTCCTTTGATGTACTAATATTGAAATGTTTGAGAAATTGGTACCAGAGGGATATGTGTATGCTGGTTATTATGTAAATAAGCATAACAATGATATATTGGTGAATCACAAATAAATACTATATTTAGCATTGCATCGTTGTTCTCTTTTAAACTACGTATTGTATTTGAGGTTTTATGTTCCAGGGATGTTCCAAGCATTTGAGCAATTCGGTTCTTCCATCCTGTTTAAATAGATAATGTTCATGTTGCATTCATGAAGAGTAATCCTGTTTAAATAGATAATGTTCATGTTGCATTCATGAAGAGTAATCCTGTTAAAATAGATAATGTTCATGTTGCATTCATGAAGAGTAATCCTGTTAAAATAGATAATGTTCATGTTGCGTTCATGCAGAGTAATCCTGTTTAAATAGATAATGTTCATGATGCATTCATGAAGAGTAATCCTGTTTAAATAGATAATGTTCATGTTGCATACATGAAGAGTAATTCTGTTTAAATAGACAATGTTCGTGTTGCATTCATGCAGAGTAATCCTGTTTAAATAGGTAATGTTCATGTTGCATTCATGAAGAGTTATCCTGTTAAAATAGATAATGTTCATGTTGCATTCATGAAGACTAATCCTGTTTAAATAGATAATGTTCATGTTGCATTCATGAACAAGAGTAATTCTTGCACATGTTTTGTTTTTTGACATTTTGTATTGTTAGTACCTCAACTGAAATACTCGATTCTTATTGGTTGATTAGCGGTCAACAATATACAAATGTCCGTCTACCATGTTTTTTCGGTAAATATTATGACGTCATGAAACTTTTCAAAAGGAGCGGTCAACAGTAACTAGTAGCGGTCAACAGTACATATTGTTGACCGCTAATCAACCAATCAGAATCGAGTATTTCAGTTGAGGTACTAACAATATGCACTGTTGACCGCTACTAAGTACTGTTGACCGCTTCTTTTGAAAAATAAGTTTCATGACGTCATATTGTTTAAAGAAAAAAACATGGTAGACGGTCATTTTTGTAAACGTTGATGAAAGTGATATTTTGACTTAACGAGATGACAAGAATAGCAAAAATACAAATAGAAACGTAAAATTAACGTTAATTTACTTATGAGTACGCATTGCTGGCGTGGTTCGGAGAAAAGATTGTGAAATGAAGATTGATGATTGTCGTCTATATGTGTATTATTAGTTTCTTCGGACTAACAAAACAATTGTAGACCTCTCCATTCGGTCAACCGTCAAAATCATATACCTCGACTGAAAACCTTGAAACAACTGTTGACCTCCACCTTCGGTCTCTGTCAACAGTAGTTTCTCGGTTTACAGTCTCGGTAGACAATTTTGCCGGTTGACCTCTGGAGAGGTCAACAATATTGTACAGGGTGTCGAATAAATATGCCCCCCCCTTAATTTCAAGAGAATGAAAGTTTGTGCATAAAAGTGCATCTTGTTGAGCTAGTCATCTGAAACTTCACGTGGAGTGGCTCTGTGAAGCTTAGTTTTGATGTGCTAAAGAACAGTTTGGATATCATGTGGAGAAAAAAGTTATCCAACATTATGTGAATGTTACAGCTAAGGAGGGGAGAACATATTTATTTGAAACCCTGTATGTATACCCTCTATAAAACCATTGCATTGTATTTTATCAATCATAACATTTTCAGTATTCTGTAAATTGTTACTGAAGTCTTTGTTACTTAAGTCCTTTTCGTATAATTTCCTACTGAAAACAAATATTAGGCTTCCGACGATTTTTGTGCAAATTGATATTGTCATCGCAAATTGCCGGTTATTTTCGCATTATATTGTTGTCATTCAGTCAACATCACATAAAGGACCATGTTTTTTACAGAATGTTTTCAATAATTGGTTTAAGAGAAAAACATTGTTTAATTCAGTTCACCGTATCGATACCTATCCTTCATGTACATATTTTTGGGAAATTTAAAGATAGGAAAAGATGGTGGTGGGACATATGGAGGTTGTGCATACTTATATCTTATGCTGTCGGTTGCACACTCGCACATGTTTTTTTTTATGTATACAGAAATAAAGCCTACCACCTTTGGTATATCAAATAATGTATAATATCTTGTATGGCTAGATCGATGGTTCCATAGGCTTGACTATTTTCAAATTAGCAATACGTGAAGCCTAATTTTGCTTTGACCGACTGCTACTTCAAAGAATCTAGGGTATATTGGCTAGGTGTGATGATGTCATTGGTCGTGAATTTTCAAAATAAGCAGTAGACCTTAGTTAACAAACTGCAACATCATCAATATAGCCAATATAACAAAGCCTCTTTGATGTATCCAAATGGAATATTGTTGTCTGATAGGATCCAAGGACACTGGCGATCCACTCGATTTCGCTGGTTACCGAAACGGTTCTGTAACAAAATGTAGGAACGTCGAAGGTACAATTTTTCTTTTTCCCTTATTTCACACGTTGTAGGCAGAATTCCCACGGCATTTTTATCACAAACGTGTATCAGTATCATACGTTTCAGAAAATGTAAATGTATTTGCGAACAAATAGCTCAGAAGACTACAGAATCGTCGATTTTGTTCCTCACTTAAGTTACATAAACGGTATATCAGTTAAGATCAGCACTTTTAACCCATACCGTTTATGTAACTTAAGTGAGTAATTAAATCAACGAGTCTGTTGTCTTCTGAGCTATTTTTTTCGCAAACATGTACATTTTCTAAAACATATGATACTGATATACGTTTGTGAGAAAGAAATTCGTGGGGATTCTGCCTACAACGCGTGATATAAGGAAAAAATAAAAATCGTACGTACCTTCGACGTTCCGACAACCGTTTCGATAACTGGCGTAATCAAGCGGATCACCAGTGAAAGAGGAAGCCATTATTCAAACTCAATACCCCGGCCGTTGCCCGGCGTAGACCAATTTAATAAGCAACACTATTACCGTATTTTGAAGACTAGAACTGCTTAGGAATCTTAAATACTACCAAAATATTAATATTCGAAATGACCATCTTTCACCGGGAAACTTGGTCCAAAGAGAACTTTATGGGAATATTTTTACTAAATTGTTCCACTGCAGGCAATGGAGTATCGAATTCGAATAATAGCTGCCATTCTTCTTTGGATATGATAACTATACTTGACCTGATCCGAACCTTCAGAGAACCAGATCTAATGCCTTGGTACCATTTGCTACGATTTTCACTACGGCGCCCGGCAGATTGAGTATTTTGTTCAAAATTGAATACAGATTTGAACAAAAAACTCAATCGGCCGGGCTCCGGCCGATGGATCGGAGCAAATGTGACCCAGGCATTGCCCCAAATAAAATCTCTCACGGATAACTTTCAATAAATACTAACCCATAATTGTATGTATGTGTTTTCACCAGGGGGGGGGGGTACACTCCCCTGCATTAATTTGGCTACCAAAATTCTCAATTTGGATCACTTATCCAAGCCTGTTTATGTCTTGCGATTTATAAAAACTTTTCATCATACAATTTTTATACATTTTCAAACTATTGTAAAAGAGTGGTATCGATATGGAGAACTTTTTGAACACACGTTTCTCTTAAACCAGTCATTAAAAAACACATTGTCAATTTGATGGACATCACATAAAGGACCATGTTTTTTACAGAATGTTTTCAATAATTGGTTTAGAGAAAAACATTGTTGAATTCAGTTCACCGTATCGATACCTATCCTTCATGTACATATTTTTGGGAAATTTAAAGATAGGAAAAATATGGTGTTGGGACATATGGAGGTTGTGCATACTTATATCTTATGCTGTCGGTTGCACACTCGCACATGTTTTTTTTATGTATACAGAAATAAATTCTGCCACCTTTGGTATATCAAATAATGTATAATATCTTGTATGGCTAGATCGATGGTTCCATAGGCTTGACTATTTTCAAATTAGCAATACGTGAAGCCTAATTTTGCTTTGACCGACTGCTACTTCAAAGAATCTAGGGTATATTGGCTAGGTGTGATGATGTCATTGGTCGTGAATTTTCAAAATAAGCAGTAGACCTTAGTTAACAAACTGTAACATCATCAATATAGCCAATATAACAAAGCCTCTTTGATGTATCCAAATGGAATATTGTTGTCTGATAGGATCCAAGGACACTGGCGATCCACTCGATTTCGCTGGTTACCGAAACGGTTCTGTAACAAAATGTAGGAACGTCGAAGGTACAATTTTTCTTTTTCCCTTATTTCACACGTTGTAGGCAGAATTCCCACGGCATTTTTATCACAAACGTGTATCAGTATCATACGTTTCAGAAAATGTAAATGTATTTGCGAACAAATAGCTCAGAAGACTACAGAATCGTCGATTTTGTTCCTCACTTAAGTTACATAAACGGTATATCAGTTAAGATCAGCACTTTTAACCCATACCGTTTATGTAACTTAAGTGAGTAATTAAATCAACGAGTCTGTTGTCTTCTGAGCTATTTTTTTTCGCAAACATGTACATTTTCTAAAACATATGATACTGATATACGTTTGTGAGAAAGAAATTCGTGGGGATTCTGCCTACAACGCGTGATATAAGGAAAAAATAAAAATCGTACGTACCTTCGACGTTCCGACAACCGTTTCGATAACTGGCGTAATCAAGCGGATCACCAGTGAAAGAGGAAGCCATTATTCAAACTCAATACCCCGGCCGTTGCCCGGCGTAGACCAATTTAATAAGCAACACTATTACCGTATTTTGAAGACTAGAACTGCTTAGGAATCTTAAATACTACCAAAATATTAATATTCGAAATGACCATCTTTCACCGGGAAACTTGGTCCAAAGAGAACTTTATGGGAATATTTTTACTAAATTGTTCCACTGCAGGCAATGGAGTATCGAATTCGAATAATAGCTGCCATTCTTCTTTGGATATGATAACTATACTTGACCTGATCCGAACCTTCAGAGAACCAGATCTAATGCCTTGGTACCATTTGCTACGATTTTCACTACGGCGCCCGGCAGATTGAGTATTTTGTTCAAAATTGAATACAGATTTGAACAAAAAACTCAATCGGCCGGGCTCCGGCCGATGGATCGGAGCAAATGTGACCCAGGCATTGCCCCAAATAAAATCTCTCACGGATAACTTTCAATAAATACTAACCCATAATTGTATGTATGTGTTTTCACCAGGGGGGGGTACACTCCCCTGCATTAATTTGGCTACCAAAATTCTCAATTTGGATCACTTATCCAAGCCTGTTTATGTCTTGCGATTTATAAAAACTTTTCATCATACAATTTTTATACATTTTCAAACTATTGTAAAAGAGTGGTATCGATATGGAGAACTTTTTGAACACACGTTTCTCTTAAACCAGTCATTAAAAAACACATTGTCAATTTGATGGTCATCTTTTGAATGGAAACAATATAATTTGAAAAATATATATATGCTTTCATCTATATTGTTTTAGAAAGACATCAAGCACTTGTTTTGTTCTAGGTATCATGTTTCCATATCAATACCACTCCTTTGTAATCAAGAAACAAAATTAAGATTAAAGACTCTATAGGTTTAGTTATTCTATTAAATGAAAACATCCAGTCGGCAAACTTATGCAGGGGAGTGTAATTTTCTATAATACTGAAATTGATTTATATTTTTTTAATTGATCATATTCTAATAACAGACACAGACGGTTTTATGTTACTAAATTTTATTTATATGTAATTAAACCTCAAGATCTTACAGATTACAATCAATATATTGCTGTTTTACAATAATTATTTTGAAAGTCTTAACCTAGTCAAATATTTCATCAAAATACATTCATCAGTGTTTCCCAAAAGCAAAATTAAATATTTCAATTGACAATGATCTTTATTAAAATAATGATTAATAATGTTCACGAATTTATTTTAATACCATATAAATAAATTAATAAATAAGTTGAAATGATATTACTATAATACATAAAGATACAGTATCAAATTGGCTTATCCATGTCCTAATTCTGAAATGCCGTTTAGTAAACATAGTTAAATATTATAAATTGTGCACTTAAATTCAAAATGGCCACCTTATTAGAACCCGACATACACAAAATCTAATCAGATTTTGGCATAAGTCTGCCCCTGTGTCTATTAAAATGCACATAACTTCTTATTTATATATTACATATTATGTTTCTTGGTCCTAGCATCTTGTAGGTTCCATGCCTCATGGGCCATGGTTCCATGGGTCATTGTATGTTATGTTACGTGCCCTTAACTGTTTCAGGGTTGTTGTAACCTTTATTGATTTAAACCCAGAACTTTCATACTTTCTTTTTCTCATATTATATATTCTTTCAATATGAGGCAGTTCAATCTAAAACAGATATAGTTTTCCTACTTTAAATTGCAACTTCTTCATTTTGATGTGTATCTGTCTGCATATTGATTGAATATACAAGAGTTGATAGAGTAAATATTCAACTTAACATGGTACATAGGAAGATCAACCAATAGTGTTTAAGTTGTTAAAACTAGAAATACATTTCAAGATATGAGTCATCTCCCATATTAGGGTGCAAATACCCGGAATTCACTATTTAGCATATCGACTTCATAATAACATACGATTTATACGGAACAGTTAGCTGGCTGTCGAATTTTATTTTGTTTCGTACACGATCATGTTTATCTTTATACAATGGTTCCAAATATTTGTTTCAATTTAATATTTTTTAAATTGACTTTACTGTTAAACCATTCAATGACACTGGTTTTGCACAAGATCCGTCTGTAGGCTCGATTCAAAGACAGAAGTTAAGTCTCGCGTCAATAAACGTTTCCACTCCTTCGGTACAGCTGATATTATAGCATAATGATCAATAAAATTAATTTGTGCGTTGTATTTTGCCTTAAAATCATAATAATGTAAAAATGTCCCTGGTCATTTAGGATGTCATTTAGGTAAATGACCCCATTATCCATAAGATGCTTATTTATTACCTCTTTGTTATTAATTAGGACCAATCTATTATAGATGAGAATTTTTTACTGTATCTTCGGTTCAACGCCTTTAAAAGTTTCTGGATCGTTTTTTATTTCACGTTCCATGCCCTTAAATGTTTTAGGGTCGTTGTATCTTTTAGGCTCCATAGCTTTAAATGTTTCTTGGTCGTTGTATCTTTTAGGCCCTATGGCTTTAAATGTTTCTGGTTCGTTGTATCTTTTAGGCTCCATAGCTTTAAATGTTTCTGGTTCGTTGTATCTTTTAGGTTCCATGCCTTTAAATGTTTCTGGGTCGTTGTATCTTTTAGGCTCCATAGCTTTAAATGTTTCTGGTTTGTTGTATCTTTTAGGCTCCATGGCTTTAAATGTTTTAGGGTCGTTGTATCTTTTAGGCTCCATGGCTTTAAATGTTTTAGGGTCGTTGTATCTTTTAGGCTCCATGGCTTTAAATGTTTCTGGTTCGTTGTATCTTTTAGGTTCCATGGCTTTAAATGTTTCTGGTTCGTTGTATCTTTTAGGCTCCATGGCTTTAAATGTTTCTGGTTCGTTGTATCTTTTAGGCTCCATGGCTTTAAATGTTTCTGGTTCGTTGTATCTTTTAGGTTCCATGCCTTTAAATGTTCCAGGGTTGTTATACCTTTTAGGTTTCATGCCTTTAAATGTTTCTGGTTCGTTGTATCTTTTAGGTTCCATGCCTTTAAATGTTTCTGGTTCGTTGTATCTTTTAGGTTTCATGCCTTTAAATGTTTCTGGTTCGTTGAACCTTTTAGATTCCACCCCCTTAAATGTTTTAGGGTCGTTGTATCTTTTAGGCTCCATGGCTTTAAATGTTTCTGGTTTGTTGTATCTTTTAGGCTCCATGGCTTTAAATGTTTCTGGGTCGTTGTATCTTTTAGGTTCCATGCTTTTAAATGTTTCTGGGTTGTTATACCTTTTAGGTTTCATGCCTTTAAATGTTTCTGGTTCGTTGTATCTTTTAGGCTCCATGGCTTTAAATGTTTCTGGTTCGTTGTATCTTTTAGGTTCCATGCCTTTAAATGTTTCGGGGTTGTTATACCTTTTAGGTTTCATGCCTTTAAATGTTTCTGGTTCGTTGTATCTTTTAGGTTCCATGGCTTTAAATGTTTCTGGTTCGTTGTATCTTTTAGGCTCCATGGCTTTAAATGTTTCTGGTTCGTTGTATCTTTTAGGTTCCATGCCTTTAAATGTTTTAGGGTCGTTGTATCTTTTAGGCTCTATGGCTTTAAATGTTTCTTGGTCGTTGTATCTTTTAGGCTCCATGGCTTTAAATGTTTCTTGGTCGTTGTATCTTTTAGGCTCCATGGCTTTAAATGTTTCTGGTTCGTTGTATCTTTTAGGTTCCATGCCTTTAAATGTTTTAGGGTCGTTGTATCTTTTAGGCTCCGTGCCCTTAAATGTTTCTTGGTCGTTGTATCTTTTAGGCTCCATGGCTTTTAATATTTGTCGTTTGTTGTATCTTTGAGGTTCCATGCCTGTAAATGTTTCAGGGTCATTGTACCTTTTAAGTGTCATGCCTTTAAATGTTTTAGGGTCGTTGTTTCTTTTACGTTCCATGCCTTTAAATGTTTCAGGGTCGTTGTATCTTTTAGGTTCCATGCCTTTAAATGTTTTAGGGTCGTTGTATCTTTTAGGTTCCATGCCTTTAAATGTTTCAGGGTCGTTGTACCTTTTAGGTTGCATGCCTTTAAATGTTTCAGGGTTGTTATACCTTTTAGGTTCCATGCCTTTAAATGTTTTAGGGTCGTTGTATCTTTTAGGCTCCATGGCTTTTAATATTTGTCGTTTGTTGTATCTTTGAGGTTCCATGCCTTTAAATGTTTCAGGGTCGTTGTATCTTTTAGGTTCCATGCCTTTAAATGATTCTGGGTCGTTGTTTCTTTTAGGTTCCATGCCTTTAAATGTTTCCTGGTCGTTGTTTCTTTTAGCTTCCATCCCCTTAAATGTTTCAGGGTCGTTGTTCCTTTTAGGTTTCATGCCTTTAAATGTTTCTTGGTCGTTGTTTCTTTTAGGTTCCATGCCTTTAAATGTTTCAGGGTTGTTATACCTTTTAGGTTTCATGCCTTTAAATGTTTCTTTGTCGTTGTATCTTTTAGGTTCCATGCCTTTAAATGATTCTGGGTCGTTGTACCTTTTAGGTGTTAGTCCTTTAAATGTTTCCTGGTCGTTGTTTCTTTTAGCTTCCATCCCCTTAAATGTTTCAGGGTCGTTGTACCTTTTAGGTTGCATGCCTTTAAATGTTTCAGGGTTGTTATACCTTTTAGGTTCCATGCCTTTAAATGTTTTAGGGTCGTTGTATCTTTTAGGCTCCATGGCTTTTAATATTTGTCGTTTGTTGTATCTTTGAGGTTCCATGCCTTTAAATGTTTCAGGGTCGTTGTATCTTTTAGGTTCCATGCCTTTAAATGATTCTGGGTCGTTGTTTCTTTTAGGTTCCATGCCTTTAAATGTTTCCTGGTCGTTGTTTCTTTTAGCTTCCATCCCCTTAAATGATTCTGGGTCGTTGTACCTTTTAGGTGTTAGTCCTTTAAATGTTTCCTGGTCGTTGTTTCTTTTAGCTTCCATCCCCTTAAATGTTTCAGGGTCGTTGTTCCTTTTAGGTTTCATGCCTTTAAATGTTTCTTGGTCGTTGTTTCTTTTAGGTTCCATGCCTTTAAATGTTTCAGGGTTGTTATACCTTTTAGGTTTCATGCCTTTAAATGTTTCTTGGTCGTTGTTTCTTTTAGGTTCCGTGCCTTTAAATGATTCTGGATCGTTGACCCTTTTAGGTTCCATGCCTTTAAATGTTTCAGGGTTGTTATACCTTTTAGGTTTCATGCCTTTAAATGTTTCTTGGTCGTTGTTTCTTTTAGGTTCCATGCCTTTAAATGTTTCAGGGTTGTTATACCTTTTAGGTTTCATGCCTTTAAATGTTTCTTGGTCGTTGTTTCTTTTAGGTTCCATGCCTTTAAATGTTTCAGGGTTGTTATACCTTTTAGGTTCCATGCCTTTAAATGATTCTGGATCGTTGACCCTTTTAGGTTCCATGGCTTTTAATATTTGTCGTTTGTTGTTTCTTTTAGGTTCCATGCCTTTAAATGATTCTGGATCGTTGACCCTTTTAGGTTCCATGGCTTTCAATATTTGTCGTTTGTTGTTTCTTTTAGGCTCCATGGCTTTAAATGTTTCTGGTTCGTTGTATCTTTTACGTTCCATGCCTTTAAATGTTTTAGGGTCGTTGTATCTTTTAGGCTCCATGGCTTTAAATGTTTCTTGGTCGTTGTATCTTTTAGGTTCCATGCCTTTAAATGTTTCAGGGTCGTTGTACCTTTTAGGTTGCATGCCTTTAAATGTTTCAGGGTCGTTGTACCTTTTAGGTTGCATGCCTTTAAATGTTTTAGGGTCGTTGTATCTTTTAGGTTCTATGCCTTTAAATGTTTCTTGGTCGTTGTATCTTTTATGTTCCATGCCTTTAAATGTTTCTGGGTCGTTGTATCTTTTAGGCTCCATGCCTTTAAATGTTTCTGGTTCGTTGTATCTTTTACGTTCCGTGCCTTTAAATGTTTTAGGGTCGTTGTACCTTTTAGGTTCCATGGCTTTAAATGTTTTAGGATCGTTGTTTCTTTTAGGTTCCATGCCTTTAAATGTTTTTGGTTCGTTGTATCTTTTAGGCTCCATGGCTTTAAATGTTTCTTGGTCGTTGTATCTTTTAGGCTCCATGGCTTTAAATGTTTCTTGGTCGTTGTATCTTTTAGGTTCCATGCCTTTAAATGATTCTGGGTCGTTGTACCTTTTAGGTGTTAGTCCTTTAAGTGTTTCCTGGTCGTTGTTTCTTTTAGCTTCCATCCCCTTAAATGTTTCAGGGTCGTTGTTCCTTTTAGGTTTCATGCCTTTAAATGTTTCTTGGTCGTTGTTTCTTTTAAGTTCCATGCCTTTAAATGGTTCTGGATCGTTGACCCTTTTAGGTTCCATGGCTTTAAATGTTTCTGGTTCGTTGTATCTTTTAGGCTCAATGGCTTTAAATGTTTCTGGTTCGTTGTATCTTTGAGGTTCCATGGCTTTAAATGTTTTAGGGTCGTTGTATCTTTTAGGCTCCATAGCTTTAAATCTTTTAGGGTCGTTGTATCTTTTAGGTTCCATGCCTTTAAATGTTTTTGGGTCGTTGTATCTTTTAGGTTCCATGGCTTTAAATGTTTCTTGGTCGTTGTATCTTTTAGGTTCCATGCCTTTAAATGTTTCTGGGTCGTTGTATCTTTTAGGTTCCATGCCTTTAAATGTTTTTGGGTCGTTGTGTCTTTTAGGTTCCATGGCTTTAAATGTTTCTTGGTCGTTGTATCTTTTAGGTTCCATGCCTTTAAATGTTTTAGGGCCGTTGTATCTTTTAGGTTCCATGCCTTTAAATGTTTTAGGGTCGTTGTATCTTTTAGGTTCTATGCCTTTAAATGTTTCTGGTTCGTTGTATCTTTTAGGTTCTATGCCTTTAAATGTTTCAGGGTCGTTGTGTCTTTTAGGTTCCATGGCTTTAAATGTTTCTTGGTCGTTGTATCTTTTAGGTTCCATGCCTTTAAATGTTTTAGGGTCGTTGTATCTTTTAGGTTTCATGCCCTTAAATGTTTCTGGTTCGTTGTATCTTTTAAGTTCCATGTCTTTAAATGTTTCTTGGTCTTTGTTTCTTTTAAGTTCCATGCCCTTAAATGTTTCTTGGTCGTTGTATCTTTTAGGTTCCGCGCCTTTAAATGTTTCTCGGTCATTATATATTTTAGTTCCCATGTCTTTTAATCGTTTTTTTAACATTCCAGGGCTATTGCGTTTTTTACGTTTCATTCCTATTATCGTTTCTGGTTCTTTGTTCATTTTATGTTCCATTCTCTCGATGGATGCTGGGATGTTGCGTTTTATTATTTCCACTCCTTTGAATTTCTTTTGGGGGCTGCGTTTTTTATTTTCCTTGTCCTTAAATGTTTTTCTGTAGTTGGGCCTCTCAAGTTTTATTCCCATTAGTGTTTCTTGGCTGGGGCGTCTTTTAGATTTTGTGTCGTCTAAAGGAGGTGTCAAATTATTGCGTATTAAACGTAACATGTCCTTTAAAACCTCTATATTATTGCGTCTCATCGTATCAGTTCCCTTATATGCCATCGGGTCATTGCGTCTTGCCATTACTGTGCTCTTCGGTCCATTGCGTCTTGTCAGGTATAAGTCCATCAATGATGTCGGGTAATTGCGTCTTGCAAGTTGTATATCCTTCAATAGAAATGGGTCATTGTGTCTTGCAATTTGTACATCGTTTAATGATGACAGGTCATCGCGTCTTGCAAGTTGTGCATTCTTTAATAGTAATGGGTCATTGCGTCTTGTAAGTTGTGCATCCTTTAATAGTAATGGGCTGTAGCGTCTTGAAAGTTGCGCATCCTTTAAAAGTAATGGGTTGTAGCGTCTTGATACTGGTGGAAGATCGTACTCAAAGAACCCATAGGGAGAATCATCTGTATAGTAGAAAGGGTAATCCGCATATTGGAATCTCTCAGATGTAAAGTCGTCGTTTAGATCTAGGTAGGCTGGATTATCCTGCTCCCAGTCTTGTGCTTCTTCTGAACGACCCACCATTGCAAGTGCCTGGACCGCATGGTCTTTGCAACACGTGGGATCCAAAAGGTCAAACGCTTGCTCGTCATATGATCTCCCAGGACACCGTAACAGGAATTCTCTGAAATAAATCAGCCTCTTTTTACCAAGTGCTTTGTTCATGATTATATATTTGGCAAATACTGGGTGATCCAATAAAATTGCAACTCATAAATCCAATACTTCCATAATAGGTACTAAATTACATTCTTTGCTCAATAACGCAAGGGTTGGCGCATTTTTTTGCCTTTCAAACGCTCTCATATACTCAAGAAAAGTCAAAATAATTCCAATTATTATTATAAAAACGCTGATATTTTAGGGTCACCCAGTATTTGTTACAGCGTTTTACCATTTTGATTATTCTTGTAGTGATTCGAGGCTAAATTGTCAAATCTACCCCCCCCCCCTGAAATTTCTTTAAAATTGAAGCCCCTTGGCAAAATAAGACAAGACGTTTTTTATAATAGAATAAATAAAAGCGTGCGTGTATACGTAAGTACAATTATGATTGTCGACGTTTGGGTTTGGCTTAAGTAACAGATGGTAACGCTAGCTTTTGTAATTGTAATTAGTTGGTGAAATTTTGTTATGTTAACATGTGCCTTTTGTTTAAAAGCCCATGACCTTTACAAGCAGAAGTAGGAAACAATTCAACCTTACCCACAGCTGGTACTCATTATCCCATGCATGCACCGTACTGTTTGATATGTATGTCGATTTTTCCTGAAAATAAAATAAAACAACGATGTAGGTTTACATTTTTATTCTGAAATGAGGCTTCCACTCGGTCTCTCTGGGCGTTTTGAAAGACTTCGCTGCTATCGACCAATCCAAAGTGTTATTTACAGTGAAATTAGCATAATGCTCAAGCCAACACATTCTAAAAGCCAAACGTTTCCGTTAAGTATTTGTGTTATTTCTCATGTATCAAATTAATTAAAGAATCAACTATTTAAATAAATAAACTATTTTTAGAATTATTATGTTTTAGGAAATCACAAAGTTCCAAGCCGTTATTCAAACTAAATACTCCATCGCCCGACGATGACCAATTGGTAACAATATTAATTATATTTTGAAGACGGCTGAGGAAGCTTGGACACTACCAAAATATTCGTAATGACGATCTTTCAAGTTTAACGAAATACTTGATCCAAAGAGACCCTTATAGAAATATTTTTACTAAATTGTTCCACTGCAGGCAACGGAGCATCAAGTTTGAATAACGGCTGCAAATCCTCTTTGAATCAACACGTAAAAATTAACAAAAAATGCTAAATAAAACAATACCCATAATGCTCATTCGACACGGGCAATAACCAGACCTAAACATTCCCACGCGGATCCAACTATAGGCAACGAAAACCCGCCAATTGGAATTTTAGACCAACCAGATGTTTGAAAATCAAGAATTGTAAGTCTCATAGCACACCGTTTTTTCAAACTTGTCACGTTAAAATCAAAACAAATGGCTGCAAAGAGCCGCATCACAGAGCCGGAGACCCAAACGCTTCTAATAAAAGAATAATTTACCAACACGAAAAGGGGATTTTGATTTTAATGGAACAATTTTGAATAAATGACGTCAATGCACAGACACTGTGTTAAAATAATATAACAAATGAAACTGTTTATGTCATATGGGGAAAAATAATTTGGAAAAAATATGATTTTGATTGAAATATTCCAGAAGGAAAAACAAGATATTTTATCATTTTCAAACAAAAGACTCAAAATTGGTATCCTAGAACTGGAATGTTGCCATCATTTTTGAAAAGCTGCAATTATAAAAAAGTGATGATGAGTTCAACAAAAGATTGTCTTATGTTAGGAGTGCTTTAAAGTTTATCGAGTGATATTTCTTGAAAAACTATTGAAAATTGTAAAAGTTATCAGGAAAAATATGTATATGACTTCTACTAGTAAGCTAATCGGACTGACGACATCGGAAAGTTGCATTCCCGAATACAAGCTCGTTTTAAAGGTACTAGCAAGGATGCGCGTGTCTGGTCTGGTGAATACCCATGATATGGCAACTTACTTGATATTCCCAATGTTTTGGTTCATGTATGAAGCAAGATGATTGCCACCTTGAATACACAAAGCATCACTGACAACGTTCAGCAGTTCCTGAATCCTCCTACTGCTATCAGTGGGGGCAACAGCGTATAGAGACGTCGCTGAAAAAGAACAGCGTCCTGAGTCATGATCTTAAATACCCGACCCTAATTGACATATAGATGGATTAGCAAAAATCGACGAGGGTAAAATGTTCCAAGCAGTTCGACCAGACCCCCTCATGTCTGTCTTTTGGAAAGATAGACGGTTATTGCGATGTGTGAGTAGTATATGGTGAATAGTTTGAAAATATTATTTGTTTCACCCAAAACCATGTCCCTGATACCATTGTCGTACCTTTATTAATTCATTTATGACTTTTACGACTGTCTTAAAAATATTGGAATGCATTGTGTTTGACAGAATTTTCTTGCCAAACAGTATGAAGGCTGTCCTAATGTTAAAGGCCCAATGTAAAGTTTGAAAATATGTTTTTATCATTCGTTTAATTTTCTATTTTTCATGACCTTTTTATTTAAGAGATTTTTAAAAAAGTTGGGGGAGTTGTTTTTTGTTTAGGTCTATATTTAACTAATTTTTGTACCACCGCAAATTTGAGGCCCCATTTCTTGGACCATTATTGATGGAATTTTAAAAAATTAAATTCGATTCAACCCCGACTATTCTAATTTGATTCGCAATGATATTTCTAAAATTAATGATAATGATCGGCATAATGATCATCTATAGGACATTTTCAAATGCTTCCTGCTTGACGGGTATTGCTTGTTCAGTTTTCGGAATTTGTTACTGTTAGTTTCTTTAATGTATTTATAATGTTATTATTTTAATCGTACCGAGTGCCAATTCATTTAACCCATCTTAAAGAAATAAAACAAATGAGTGATATCGATATGGTGAACTTTTTGTTTTGAACACACGTTTCTCTTAAACCAGTCATAAAGAATCTAAAAATTTAACACATCGTCAATTAAATGGTCATCTTTTGAATGGTAACAATATAATTTGAAAAATATATAAATAATCTCATTTATTTTGTTTTAGAAAGCACATCAAACACTTGTTTTTATCTTGGTATCATGTTTCCAGAGTGAAATGAAACATCTTTCCGAACCTCATTGGAACAAAACGACATAAACACATGTTTAGGTCTCTCAATATTGTAATTGTACAAAGGAAATTAAATGAGATTTTTATCTATTTTGGGGGGATTTTGTTTTAATTTCTTTAATACTTGTTTTAGAATCAACCAAAAATTCCTTTGTATAACCATAATATTGAGAGGTCTAAAACACTTTGTATGTGCTATTTTGTTCCTACAAGGTTTGGAAAGACATTTTATTTCATTCTCAAGAATTGGTAGAAAGGAGAAAAAACAATTGCACTAAAAAAACAAAAAATGTTAACAAAAACAGTTTCCTTAAAATATTTCTAAATAATTTTCGCATTTAAACTGTTGTCAATCAGTCAACATTACATAATTATAAAATACCGTGTTTTTTACAGAATGTTTTCAATAATTGGTTTAAGAAAACACATTGTTGAATTCAGTTCACCATATCGATACATATCCTTTACAGTTTCAATTGTTATTATTTTCGAGACAAATAGTATGGTACGCCTACCTCTGTTGTTTAATGGAGATACCATGGCAACAAGTTAGTAATTCAGAAAATATTCAAAACTTACCAAAGAAGAGCAGCCGTAGTAGAGAACGGGCTCCCATCGTTGCTAGCGATACGTGCGCCTAGTCCCGAATTACGATTAGTTTCCAAATGTCTCTTAATATAAGGAGACAATAATGGACTATGTTATTAATATATTGATATTAAATAATAATATTATTTTACATTTTTCGTAAAAGTCAGCATTTGATCGAGCAAGGAACCCTTCCAATAAGTGTTTCACTTATAGCATATTTTCGACTCTATCATACGTTTTTCAAAAAATCATAAAATTATACGTTAGATTTGGAATACCAAATAATTTTGCACGCGAGGGAGAATTTGCAATTCTTTATATGGCTCGTTTGGGAAATAAATTTGATATCAATTGTATATTTTGCTTGTAATTGTATATACTGTATGTTGCTTTGTGTCTCGGGTCTTCGATGCTGCTTTTACACACCCTACCAAAATGATAAAAATGATAAATAACAGATTTCCATACAAAAGACCATTATACTCTTCACATGCACATTGATAGTTTCCAAACTAGGTCAAATGATTTCAAAAGTAGGTCAAACAAAGCTATGTTGTATTTTGTATTTCTAAATAAAGATTAATCTCCATGAGGGACTGCAGGGATCGACGCTCTAATGTATCCCGCATCTTATGTACCTAGAACCTCGGTAGGTATAAAATACACTCATAATCTAGGACACTAGCATACTATATGTATTACATATATTATTATCGGAGAAGGAGGACCAAGGAGGAAGATATACTTTAAGTTTAAAATCTTCCGAACACATTGTTCCCATCCTCCTAAGCAGGTGTCAAGAATCCGTACCTCCTTCTTGGAAATGAATAAACGCAAGGAGCACATGCGTCTCGAACTCGCAACCTCGTGGTTACGGCCCCAATCGCCTAGCCTAAACGTGCTGGCGCTCAAGCCCTCTCGGCCAACTCGACAGAATATATTCTGGATTTTGAAGCCCTGTGATCGAAGGATGATTGTTCCAGACATCACAAACTATGTTTCTTCCTTCATAATTCTACCTACTGTGCGAGTAGCTTCTTTAGATAGATCCGCGTTCGGAGAGAGTATGTATGTGTGTATGTATTACCTTTATTTCCTCCATAAATGAAGATTACAAACATATAAATTTATAAACACACAATCACATAGGTTGTACATATAAAATACATAATCAAAAATTATATGGATTATATAAATCAATTCAAATATATCTATACTCATCCAGTTTTTATTTCCTCTAATTTTCATCTCATTTGACATGATATGTTGTCGACAACATATGACTTATATATGTAATGTAATACCTCAGGTGATTGACATACTCATATAGGTAAGTTTGCATAGCTATTATAATTACTATTCAGAATGGCTTGTATAAATGTTTTTGATAATGGTGGTACCCCTAAATCAAAGACTAGATCATAACCATGGTGGATTAAAAAATCAACCACAATTCATTAAGGCATTTGCCTTATTTGTTTCACACATTGCAAAAGGCTTTGTACAGTATCAATTTAAGAAATCAAGTTCAACCAGAATGTACGTATTGTATAGTTTTTGACTTATCCTGAAAATCAAGATTATTTATGTTGTTTTATTAATCTGCATCTTAGCTGCGTTTGTTCGTATTGAACATCATGATATTCTTCGCTCTTGTAGTGCACGGAGGGTGTCCATTAATGTTACTAACTTTTTGCGTATTGTTACAATAGGACGAAGAATTCCTCGTTTTGGGTTTCGGACGTATTCAACGTCCCCCTGTGATGAACCACTTGAATAGTAAGACGGGTAGTCCGAATATTGAGATTCTGCGGAGGTAAAGTCAGAATGTTGTTTTACTTGGGAAGCCAGAAAATTGCTTATCACATCGCTTTCTTCTAGCGACATTGGTAAGGAACGATCCATTCCACGCGTTCTTTTGCCACCCCCTGTCAACCTGTCAAGTGCATAGTCTCTGCAACAGGTGAAGTTTAAAAAATTCGATACCACTATATTCTGCCTTGTCCGGTCGCAAGTAACGGTCAATGGACTGAAATTTAAACAGTATACATTAGTCCTTCTAATTAAAAAGTAAGTATCAGTTTCATTACAACTAATGGAAATACTATATCTAGTATTCCGATTCCTATACAAAAACAATTATATAAATATTTCGTACTATCTTGTTCTTATAAGACATTCCCAACAATAAACGAATGGTGAATATAACAGTGAATGATAAAACAAATATTTCATACTATTTTAATTTGGTGAATACCTGTTCATCTTTCCATGATTTTAACAAGGTGTATGTCAAGTGTAATGCATAAACCAATGAGAGAGTGGGGAATATGACAGTGATATAGAAATTGGATTTATCCAATGATTATTTTGATTACCGCTTTATATGTACAGACAGTGATATTTCTGATATTTATAGAGATCCATGTGATATTTTTCAGGAAATCGTTTATCAGCCTCATACAGAAAGCCTGCTAGCTGATATCGTTTATCAACCGCATATACATTTGATAAACAAATCTAAATTTTTGATTGTAATTAATCATGGGTTAAACCCAATATCAGATCGTTTTTATTGCCTCGTTGATATCAAATATAAACACAAGCGAGCGAAGCGAACTCGTCGATAGATATGATATCCCTCTTAATAATCCTGTAAACATAAACAAAAGTTCACTCCCCCGGCCCCCATAAGTTTGGCAACTTTAGCTCCCTAATTGAACTAAGTGTTAAAGCCTCTTTATGTTTGAATTTTTATTTACATATGCTTATAATTTTGATGGTCATGTGTAACTTAACTTCATTTCCAATGCACCCAATTATCACAATTTTTCCCTCAATTACACAATAGGTCGGAAATTGATTATAAAATTGATGACTTGCGGCAAATCTACCATTTCCCATTGGTTTACATGGGAATGTCGATTTTCTAAAATTCCCCAGATTTTTCATCAGTTATTCCCATCGCCATTATAAGTATTTTCATCACAAGTAATGTAAATAAAAATTCAAACATGAAGAGGTTTTTAACACGTACTTCAATGAGGGAGCTAAGTTTGCCAAACTTATAGAGAAGAATAGTGCATGCAAATCTCCTATACAAGAAGACAATTTTCACAAAATAAGTATAATTACCTACAACCAGGGTTTGAAGCTCCGGTGATACACCTGATCGTAACGGAACTAAAACGGTTGGCACGTAGCTGTCCAGCCCTGTTAAAGGAAGAAAAGTTTAGTAGCAATAACACCTCTTCCCAAGATTGTCTTAATTTTACGTCCATCAAGTTCGTACCTTCAACCGTGGAATTGTTCAAGTTTCATTTTAAGAACCAAGCACATAATATAGCACATACTCGTATAAGTTGGAAAAATGCTTTAGGATCTTTGATAAAATGGCTTAGCGCAGACTGAAATAAGTGACTTTGTATTGGTATAAGATATTTTGACATACTGTTGACAATTCAAGAATATAATTTGTGACAGATCATGTAGGTTTTCATAGACTTGTTTCGGGTACCCTAAAGTTACCTGATAAACATTCCAAAATGTTTGGTTCATCCATTGCTGAAAAAGTTGTTAAAATATCTCATTTTTGGGACACTCGAAATATACAATATATGAATAGTTAGGTGATACACAGATAATAGCAGACAAGGGAGCACTAAAAGAAATATATTATTATTGACCTGTCGAATATTCCATAAGCAAATATGATAATTTTTCCATCATCTTAAATTTATGTATTGTACCATTGTATCTGTAAATAATTATGTCGTATAAAACAGCCAGCTTACCATCTCTAAGTGCAATCTAATAAGTGCAATCTATATGCAACTAACATTTAGTGCAATATAGTATGTATTTATTATTTATTGTAATATTTTACCATTATATAGTATTCATGAACTCTACCTATGTCATGCTGATTTAATCAGTCTGAGCAGTCTGAAAGCCCATGGTCTGATGCATATTTATCTCATTGACCATTATTGATTTCTATGAATGCCGACCTTATAGTACAGCTATCTATTGGGGGGGGGGGGGGGGGTTAGTTACGTATGGGGTAGCATTCGGAAATATTAGTAATTGTGAACCAAGTGCCTCATTAGTCGACATCGGCTTGTGATCTTATAAATTGTTGTTTTACTATGTATTTTATAGTGAACAATTTGTAGGATCAGTGACACATAAATAAACTATTTTGAACTAAAATAAACTAAACTAAACTGTGTATACTTGTATATGAGTTCTTACCGCTTGACTCGATTTCCATCTAAAACGCAGCTCGTTTATTTAAATTTTGGACATACTACGTTACTTTTTCCTCGACTTTTTACAAGGCAAGCAGTAGCTATCTCACCTACCGTCCTCAAGGATGATTGGCGCCCAGAGTTCTATCCCGATCTTCTGCTATATATGGAGTTATGTCGTGATTACAAAATGCAAATTAAGCAGCCGCCATTTTTTGAATATCGAGTTTTTGTCTTATTTCGAAACAAAAAATTAATAACTCTCAAGAAGTGATCAAAGATGTTAGTTCATATCTTTTGACTGCCATTATAATGTCAGACTTTTTCGTGGTCGAATTTTCTATAGCTCAAGGTCGTAGTTAATACTAGAATACCGGCCATTCTCCTTGCAGCCGTAGAAATATGCAGGCACGACCAGCACTAACACTATCACATTGCTTGCTGGGGATTAGAAATATCGTGTTGCAACCCTGGGAGCCAATCCTCCTCATCCCGACTTCTAGTAATATTTTCATAAATGTTTAACTTACATTTTTAGTCTTTTCAGATAGGCAGTTAAATGTCCCTGGCCAAATCTGCATACCGCATCTGTCACAACTGTGAGAAAGTCTCCAATTCTTTGTTGTCCATCGGTTGATCTTGTAACAAATGAGTTTACAAATGACACAGAGTGGGCTGAAATAAATTGGAAACTTATATTTGAACGTCTTTTATATAAACCATGGATCGTATTTGAGATATCCCCGTATTCTAACGGTTTCTTTCTTGCAATTGTTCTACTATTATGCTACGTATTTCGATTTTTGATTACATTGCACTAAGGATAAAGTATAAAATCGTGTGCAATTATTTAAATAGGACTACTATAAAGGTACATGTATATATTGCTATTCTGATTTTAAACAGTTAAGCTAATGAGCATAGATTACACGTGACTTGCACCTTCAAATGGCGTCAATAGTAATTTACATATTATAAATATCAAAAATATGAAAGAGAATTAAATTCCGATAAAATGAAAAAGGAATGTGAAATTGAAAATATGCAGGCGTAATTTAGGGATAATTCAATATTCAATATCTGTTGTATTTTAATCCAAAAAGCTAATTGAGATCATTTCTTGACACCACTTTTTGAAATCATGATCATTTCTTTCAATCTGTTTGAAGAGTTAAAATCTTCTTATATTCGTTATTGGGGGAACGAAATTATATGTGTTTTCCACGTTTTAAAATTAATGATATTCAGGAGTGGTCTTAAAATATTTAACTTGCAAATAGCAATAGAAATCAAATTACTCGTTTTAAAAAGACATATTAGTAAAGCTTAAGTATGGTTATTGACGTTACCATGACAACTCGTTAGTATTATCAAAAATAAACTTACCAAAAAAGAGAAGCTTCAATATACGACAGGCCTTCATTGTCACGGCTGTATAATGCAGGATAAGTGCCGATAATCCGTTGAACATACAAGCTTTTATGAATTTCCAGATGTGCCGTATGAAACATTGCGAAACACAGATGCCTTGGCTAATGACACTAATTAGCTATATAGTTGCATTCTATTATGCATTATTGTTTATTGAAGTCACTAATGCGTTCACAAACATCCCATTATTTTGGTGACATCAATACGTGGTTATTTCTCATTCAAAACACTCAGATCATCTGGATTAATTTACAATATTGCAGAACTTTTGCTGTCGCTTTACGTGACTCTTCTGTTTACTATTAGACCTACATGTCTATTTAGGCCTCCGCAGGTTAATTTCACAAGCTTTTATGTATTTCCATATGTGCATTCCAGTAACATCCCATTATTTTTGTGACATCAATACGTGGTTGCAGGTAGTTCGAACTCTCACAAAAAGTTGAGATAGTAGGGAGATTTCGCAACTCACTTATAGCATGTTTATTGTTCCTTTATAATGTATTATAGAAGAACGTATAACTTATGAAGAAGAAGAATGTATAACTAATGAAGAAGAAGAATGTATAACTAATAAAGAAGAAGAATAAATAACTAATGAAGAAGAAAAATGTATAACTTATGAAGCGATTGTTTAACGTTGTATTTATTCAAAAAGTGAACTTTCTGAGATACTTGTTATCTGACCCGAATGGGCTACCGAGTGGTGAAACTGGTAAATACCTACATGCAGCTACTCTCTTTTGTGTTATATAAAATTTCGAGTATTTTCAGGCCTATAGAAATCATTTCCCAACATGAGCATGACATGTGCAGATCTTGGCCAGACAGCAAGAGATTTGACAGATGGTACATCACGTTATATCGGTATCTTATCAACTTCACTGGTGATCCACTCGATTACGCTGATTACCAAAACGGTTCGTTTTGGGAACAAAATGTCGAAACACCGAAGCTACGATTTTTCTTTTTTACTTATTTCACACCTTGTAGGCAGAATTCTCACTGCATTTTTAATACGAATGTGTATAAGTAACATATGTTTAAGAAAATCTACACATTTGCGAAAAAATAGCTCAGAAGACAACGGAATCGTCAATTTACTTCCCCACTTAAGTTACAGAAACGGTATTTCGAAAAACAGTTAAGATCTGCACTTTTAACCCAAACCGTTTGTAACTTAAGTGAGGAATTAAATTGACGATTCTGTTGTCTTCTGAGCTATTTTTCGCAAACATGTACGTTTTCTAAAACACATGATACTGATATACGTTTGTGAGAAAAACGTCGTGGGAATTCTGCCTACAACGCGTGAAATAGGGAAAAAGAAAAATCGTACCTTCGACGTTCCGACATTTTGTTACCGAAATGAACCGTTTCGATAACCAGCGTAATCGAGTGGATCACCAGTAAACTTACCTAGCCCGCTCTACTTTATCACTTGGTCACTTTACAAACGGAATCAAGACCACAGAAAGTAAGTACGTACACACGTAGATCATAGTTTGATTTTAATTTGTTAATTTTCTATCTTTCAAATATCCTATGATAAGTTGAAATCAATTTGAATTTTTGGGATAAGGGTTTTATTACTCAGTCGTTAAATTATATTAATCTAGTGTATTTTTAAACAAGTTATTAAATAAGCCTAGAATTCTATCAAAAAGCTTGTTTACTAAATACTGTATATGGATTCAAAGGGGTCATGGAAATAAATAAGAAAACAATTAATTGAAAACATTATAAATGGAAAAAATTGTGTCTAGATTTGTACTATCAAACAAACACAAATTCAGAGAGATTGAGTGTAATTTTGACGATGGATCAATCGCCCACTCGATCATCAGTCACGGAAACAATTCATATCCACGTACGTTCACATAACCGGCGTGTCGGTTTTTTATGTGCCTCGTCTTATTTATCCTGGACCAAAATAATCTTTATTAATTCAGCCGAACTGTTACTATGGTTACACGTATTTCCCGAACCCTGTTTAAGCTATAACATTGTAACAGTTGCCCTCACTTCGTATATCAAGGTAAAGCATTGCTAGAAAATAAATAAAATCAAGTTTATGTTTTGAATTCCTTTAGAACAAGAACCAGATTGGATTATTTTAGATAGTCCAATGAACTTGAAACCTACGAGTTTAACAGCCGACCATATGTCGAATTGAGAAGGCCTCGGTAAAAATATAGTAAATACGTTTTTTTGCCTTTGCTCACATGCCTCTTTAGATTAAATGCTGTACAACAAGCTAATCCTAAGTGGAAAGTGGAAAGGAAATTGCGTTTTATTTTCAAATCTCGTGTGCCCCCTTTGGGCCCACATTTCCTTGAGGATCTTGCATTTTAAATAAGATTCCAAAAATGATCTCTTGCCAGCCACGCTTCGCCTGTTGATTAACTGAAATAAAACAATAAAAAGCACAGCCGATCCCCACATTGTTCTTTAAATGGAAAATGATTGGCCTTATTCCTCGAAAGATAGTAACCCAACACTATGGGCTTATATTGTTTTTATTAAAGGAAATGCTTAACATATCATATACGAATTAAATTCGGAAGAGGATTTTATATTTTCAGACAAACATCCTAGGATCGTTGTCTCGAGCCATGAAGCTGCTGGTAATACTCGGTGTTTTTGCAGTTGCCACTTTGACATATGGTAAGTTTAAGATTTCACCAGAATAGACTAGACTAGATGCAAGTAGAAATAATTGAAAGTTTAATCAAAGTGATATCATATTTGAATTCTATATGTAAAATTGCAAATGTTTCAATTTTTTTACCTACTTTGAACTTTTTTTATTTTGAATTGAAAGTGTGACAACTACATGTAGGTCACCATAGACCTTATGTCATAAAATCACAAAAAATAAAATAACCATGCCTGTATTTGACAGATTATATTTTCTTTTACTGGACACATTTTAATTTGTATACCTACCAGATACAAAACGGTAGTAATATGAAAATTGATCCACTAAAACTGATAAATATTCAAGTTTATTGGAACTCTCAACATTATGAACTTTGTGGCAATAATTGATCTGCTATATTATGGATAAATAAATGGTATTGGTCGTATTAGTCCGGATGGTATACATGTATCATCCACCTATATCGACAATTAGCAGATACATTTTACTTTATTTCTTAATTCATCGAGTATTTCCGATTGAATTAATGTTAACTCCAATAAGCCCTTTTAGCCTTAGCTAATTCCATTTATAGATGGCAGTCATATGATAAAAATTCAGGAAATGATAACATAGAAGGTATGGGGATTCTCTAGATTTTTCACCCTTTTCTTTGATACTTTGAAAAAATTATTTTTATTTAAAAAAATTCTTGGGCCATAGGTCATGATAAGATTGTTATCTATTTAAAGACATCAGAGATATATCTTTCCAACTGTTATATAACTGGAAAATGACTAATTGGTCAAGGGTCACTACAGGGCCATACATTACATTTGAATTAGTTAATATTTCTTCTTAGTATTTCTTCTGAAAGTACAAGACATCTAACATCTATAATTACATTTTGTAGTATTCGTTAATAAAAATGTCTGGAGAAAAACTTTGGAAACATTTTCAATGATGTGAAATATAAGTGTAAGTTGGCACATTGGATCAGTTTCTGAGTCTGCAAATAAATTATTTGGGATTAGTTATAAAACTATGTCTGAATGTAAACTCTCAAATCCTGCATCAAATATCTGAATGATCTCTAACTATCTAGTTAACTTAACCTTTTATCCTGTATCAGTATGTGGACAATATTAAACATTGTAATTCAAGCTGCACTTAAAACAAGCAGTACCTTACTGGTGGCTATATAAACTTATTGACCCCAGGTCATGTTGGTGATTAAGCTAACCAACACCAAGCCAAATATTTTAAACAAAAAGCCAATATTTATCTTTATTTTCCATTATTTATGTTGTTTTAAAAGACTAAAAAACTTCATACCAATGATATATAAGATCTTACCTAAAGATCTGTTGATTTTCTGAATGAATGAGGAAACAGAAATGGTAGCATTATGATGTTAAAATCATAGTATAAATGTGATGTTTTACATGTTGGTTCAATGGGGAACTGCTTTAGGCCTAAGATTCTTTTCCTGAAAATGGGCTAGACATCTATTGGCTGTTTATAGAGTATTTTCAACTATTTAGCTAGGCTAAACTCCTGTAATATACATCTTGCTTATCTTGTTGCCATGGAGATTGTGATTTATTTAATCTTACAATTGTGATCCTTAAAAACTTCTAAAGATTCTTTTTTTACATTGAATCAATCGTGATTTAAGATTTAGGGATATATTTGACTTACTATACCCGGAAACATCTTGACACCAGATTACAAAATCCAACCTAAAGTAATTTATTAAAGACGACAAAGTTTTTTGTCATATATTATCGCTTGCATTTGATTTTTATCAATGGGCGTTATCAATTGATATATATATATGCTATAGCATTCAACAATCGGTCATACACTCCCCTCCATAAGTTTGGCAACCTGTTTCCCCCATTGAACTACGTGTTAAAGCCTCTTTACGTTTGAATTTTCATTTACTTAACCGGCGATGAAACAACTATAATATTGATGGAAATATAACTTTACTTTATTTACAATACCTCCAAATTTTCTCAATTTTTTTCCTCAATTACAATAGATCGAAAATTGATGATAAATTTGATGAATTTTTGAAAATCGTCATTCCCATGTAATCCAATGGGAAATGAAGGGTTCGGGGCAAATCAGAAATCAGAATATCTTTTCAGTAAAAGATTCAGCAAAAAATATTTTTATATAGAAAATTGAATTGTCTAACTTTTTTGAACACTAAGTGTTTAGTTTAGTTGAGTTACAGCGCTTCAAAGTCATTTTTGAAAATAATTTTTCGCCTCCTGTGTTATTTCAATGGGAGAGGTTTTTTGAAAAACAATTTTGACTTTAAAGCCCTATAACTTTGTTGAACCTGAAGAAACATATCAATTTTTTGTTAAATAAAGTTAGCAAATTCAATTTTCTGCCTAACTCGTATTTTTTGCAAGAACTCGGATGGATGGATATTCTGTCATATGACTTCCGGTAAACCTACCATTTCCCATTGGTTAACATGGGAATGTTGATTTTCAAAAATTCATCAAATTTATCATCAATTTTCGACTTATTGTAATTGAGGAATAAAATTGAGAAAATTTGGAGGTATTGAAATTAAAGTGTAATTGCGTTTCAATCAATAGTATAAGTATTTTCATCGCAGGTTAAGTAAATAAAAATTCAAAGGTAAAGAGGCTTTAACACGTAGTTCAATGGGGGAAAAGGTTGCCAAACTTATGGAGGGGAGTGTATATCTAAGTGAATTATTACACAACTGCCTTTTACTAATCGAATGAAATAAACTTTGATATGCATTGTTAATGTGATATATTTAGTCTATTGATTATAATGTTAAGCAAAATTGCATTGTAAATAACAAATCGAACATCCATATAATAAATTTACATCACTAAACATTAAATAATTATACCAGGGCTATGTTAAACATTTTAGCATCGCAGTGATGTATTGTTTCATCATAATATTCGCTCTTGCTCTGACATGCTTGAAGGCATCTAACGATTACAAGGACGAGGATATAAAATTAATGAGCAAAACCTTAAGTTCACTTATAATAGAGGAAAATGTCAAACTGACAAAACTGATTCAGAAACTAAAAAGGAAAGTTAAAGCGTTATCCGATGATGTGTTGGGATTTAAAGAAGAAGTACAGAGTGTAATAGAGAATGTTCCAACAACTGAAAAAACACCAGGTAGCTTAAAGTCTAAAAATTGACACTTCCTACTTCGTAGCACTCTTAAAAATGAATTACTTGAGTATTTCCCAAGTATTTCCCAAGTATAAAAATTACTTAAAGTTAAATACTTAGTTTTACTTCATTTTACTTAGGTTTAACTTATATTGTCATTTTGAGTTTTTTAATTGCTTAATTATGTAAATGTGTATTACAATTACTACAGTAAGTATTTCAATTTCTCTCCTTGCATTTGTAAATTCACCATAAATGAATTACTTAAAAATTACTTAAAATTATTCGTAGTTCAAGATTTTTTAAGTAATTTCTGACTTAAAATGAGTAGTACAATTTCTCAATATAAGGAAATCCAAGTAATAATTTTTAAGAGTGAGTAGCCTCCAATTTTCATGATCACAGATGTTGAAACGGAGCTTCTATTTCTAAAATACAGACTTGAAAAACGTGCTTGCCATGTAAGGGGCTTGACGAGTGCAAAAATGTTATAAATCATCACACTTCATTCTTACACTCAAAGTTGGAACAGTATATTTTACACAGGATTCATGTATATGGTCCAAAAGAAAATGTATTTTATTTATTTTTTCTATACGCAAAAAATGTGACGCGTAACCTCGAAAGCAGCTTTTGAAATTGCAGATTGTTTTTTTATGATTTCTATAATTCTAGGTTCAATTCTTTAATTCTTCTTATTTTCCAATATCTCACCAAATTATCGCTGTCATTTGTAGCTTAGACATATTGTTATTTATGCTGAGGATAAAATTGTGATTTTTTATTATAGAAACTAATGATTAATTGGCATATTGTGTAAATTGTTCCAAAAAGCCTGAAAACAAGGGTTTCTACCCGGGGGTTTCTATAGGCAAAAATAGAATCATTCTATGGTGACAGGCTGCCCCCACCCTACATATATGAATTGTTTTAAAGTATTTCACTAGTAAAATGAATATCCCTGGGCTAAATATTGTTACCAAACCATCTACAAAAAAAACAAAAAACGTTATTATATGATGATAAATACAACAATAAAGTCGCGAACATATTAAGTGTTGATTCTTTCGGAAAACCCCACATAAAAGATGGATACAAAATATTGTGTTGGGCCCCATATGATAAATGAATTGTATTTCTATAAGACAGAATTGGCTCAATGTCCCAATTTACAAATCTGACATCAAGTATGATATACGTGAGCCCCGGGACGTGAGCTTGAGGTTACTGAAACCTTTTAGTCAAGATCCTCGTAAATAGTTATAATGCTAGTAATTATCAGAGAGATAGTGTAAGACACACCGACGGAACGGCGCTTCTTTTTTAATTTTCGACTGTTATTTTCCACATATCATGACCAGGATAGCAATTGTCATAGTATGAGTGCCACTTTAACGTATAAAAGAAACACAAAACAAGCTGCAATATAATTAATATGGCTGAAAAAGAATTAAAACAAAAATTGTTAGATAAACGTGAAAATGTGCACAATTACTGTGTAAAACAAAAGAACATTTTAATTTGTTTAAAATGAGGTAAATTGGGTCTTCGAGCTAGAAGTTCTATCAACGACGTTTCCTTTATCAATATTTAAACTGTAAGCCAAGTTTTGAAAGGCTGGTGTGGATAATGATTGCAATGACGTCGTCGTCTTAAAAGTTCGTCCGTCTAAAGACATGAGATGGGGTGAACAGAAGACGAAGATATGCAATCAAGGATGGTAAAGGATACTATCTTGGTCTAGAGCAACGACAATGGCCTATCATGTACATGTACAGGCATTTGACTATAACTGAAAGATAAGGACACCATGTGGCCTTGACCGATCACAATTTCATCGAAAGGACAGTATGCCTAAATAAATACTGTAGGGTATGGCTAAAAAGGCGATATTGTTCAAACGACATAGTTTACACCAAGATTACATGTTGAACAACTAATAAATAGTAAAGTATACGAGGGTTGATCCAAAAGTTCCGAACCGTTTGCTCTAAAAGTCTTAATACTTCATGAAAATTGTTCATATTTGGCCACAACCACCACATATATAGTAGTTTCATTTTGTGTAAAAATATGCAATAAATTTGACAAGCAACATAGGTATCTGGTTACCATAGTAACACGACAACAGGGTATGTGGAGCAAGAGTGCGACATATTGTAGAGGTAGAAAAAAGTTGATTCTAAAAGAGTGTTACAGGGTACTAAATTTCAAATGTGTCAGTCATGAATGCCTATTAACCAATTATTTTTTCAATTTGTCCATGTTTCATTGTTAGTTCTTGATTTAATTTTGCAAAAAGTCTCTTATCCCCTTATATACATGTACACTTAGTATATCTGCTGACCCTTTGATCAAACCCATCTTTAAATTCAACATCACCTGTCTCAGAAAGCCACTCAGGAACAGCAAGACAGACTTCATTTAATATTCAAAAGCATGTCTTGTCTTGGAAGTACTCCAGGTCCACTATAAAGATAAACGTCAGAGGGAGGCACATATAGTGAGAAGGATGCAAGGGTAAGCCAAGGCATGTGCATATTTTCATTGACCTTTGAGTTAGTATTGAGGTATGGAATTGCGCATTGTCAAAATCGACCTGGATTTTATGCTTTAATTTGACTACTTTTGGCGCAAGGCATTCTTCTGGTCAGTGATATCATAGTTGCCAACTGTAGCTTGTATGATATCAGATCAAACGTATAGCATTGGTCTAATGAAAGAATAATTGATTAATAAGCATGACTAACAAATTTGAAATACATTTGCTACCCTATATACACCCTTCAAGTGTCAACTTTTTTCCAACTCTACAATGTGTCATTCACGTGCTCCACATACCCTGTTGTCATGTTACTATGGTAACCAGATACTTGTTGCTTGTCAATTTAATTGTTTATTTTTACACATAATGGAACTACTATATATGGGGTGGTTGAGGCCAAATATGAACAATATTCATAAAATATTACGATTTTTAGAGCAAGCGGTTCGGAACTTTTGGATCAACCCTCGTACTTCCTGCAATCGCATGGTGGGCAATGCCATCACACATGGTTTTCAACCAAATTCCATGACATCCATGCTGAATGAACTTATCACACGGATCAGACCAAATAATGTTCAACCATATAACGTGGTTCACAGCTAAATGGCATGCTGTGTATCATAATGGTATATTTCACAATTAATACGAACGGTTATTAACCAAATGACAATTTCACAAGATATTTTCCTCGGAAAATGGCGACGATATCAATTGTAATGTTAAATAATATGACCGAATATGACCAAATTTATATTCCCAAAGCTTTCAAGACGCGCTTGTGCGAGGGGGATTGTGATCAACCTTTGGATAGAAACGCACCCTGTCAATGCAACTCTGCATGCGTCCGGTATAATGATTGCTGTTCGGACTACAACCAATGTAACAGCGCAGGAACACGTCCAACCCTCCCCAGCACACCAATATGGCCATGGCAGAGGATGCTAGAAGGAAAGACGCTAACAGAAGGAGGTTGGTATCAAATTTTTCATTTACTGTTTCATTTTTCCATTCAGCGTTCACTATTCCACAAACACGTCTTTGCCGTGGGCAGTGCGATGCAAAGTACGACAGAAATGCACCATGTCAATGTAATGTTCGGTGTCCGGAGTTTGAGAATTGCTGTTCCGATTATGCAAGTTTGTGTGACGTAATTCCGGTTGTACGTCCAACGCTTCCTTCTCAACCTAGGTGGCCGTGGCAAAGAATGCTTGTTGGAAAAACGCTTACCACTAGAGGTCAGTGATATTGTAGATGTAGCCAATAGAGTTCTGTCATCAGTAGGATGAGTTTACACGTACGATTCAGATATAAAAAAGAGCATCAATTTCAATAGGGTTTTTAAATTGAATTATTGAATTAAGTATTACCAATATGGTGTTATTAAAGTGCCGTCAAAAATATACAAATTGGCATGCCTATTTACTATTACCAATGAAAGGTACTAGAACTAAATATATATAATATGCCTATTAGTATTGACCATCAGCAATGTTACTTACTTTGAAACATTTTACCTATTTACCTTTATCAATTACTTGAATTAAAATACTAGCACAGGGTGTCCCGAAAGTATGGGACAACCCCTCGGAAGACATAGGCCTGTAGTAAATAATTTACTAGTACTTTTGTTAATTTAGCCAGGACTGACGTTGAACTCGAAGCCCTCTCAGAATCTTTGTGGAGATCTGATGTCAATAGAGCAAGCACCAGTGATGTCCAATTTAGCACAAGTCAGGGTTCGAAGTAAGTACTAGTGCATACTATGGCAAATGTTTGGAAAGTATACATAGGACACACATTTGGCATTCATTTTTTTATATAGAAATTGTCATATCAAAAGAAAACATGAGCATGCTTTTTGAGAGTAATATATTATTTTTTGTCATCTTTTAAAATTATGACGTACGGAGAGGGACACATATACCAAACAATTAATGCTATGATATCTATCTATGGATAATTTGGATTACAAAACTAATGGAGGGGTATTAATTATTAAGTTTTACCATTTTTAGGCTGTTCAGTTACGTTAACCCTTCAGTGTTGAGCCGACCTACATTCGTTGCACTCCGGGCACTTTTGGACAACTACATAGCAGAAGTTGGAACATCAGAGCCCGTTTGCACACAGTGCAGACAAGAAGAAGATGCCTTTATTAACGCTGTTCTTGAGACGGATGTTATGAAACAGGCTTGGGATTTCCTTGTAATGTATAGTACGTGGTGTGATATTGTCGATAATGATTTACAGCCTTAAAAACGTCCTGACTTATCGTTATAGCCACAGTTTTGCGTTTGGCGTCGACATTTTTATTATATTGATTGATTTGTTCAATTACTATCCCTCAGTCTACATCGTCACACATTTGCTTCTTACTTTGATTTTCAGTTTCGATGCTGATGAGATGAGAAGCTGTGTTCTCAAATACTGTTTCGGGGGCTTCATTGAGTTCATTGAATTTATAAGATTTGATTTCAAAAGTTTGTTAAATGTCAAAATGCAGTTTATAATTTCGGGCTGTAGTTGTATTGATGAGATCTACATGTACAAATTATCTCAAAAGTAGCAAGTGTGCACAAAACTGATCACTTGTGAATTGTCCCTCCATCTTGTACATGATTTTACAGATCTAGCCAGTTCAAACAGAAACACATTTGTTCAACAGCTGAAGGATACCTGGTTCAAGGTGTACTCCAGGTCAAAGGGAAGGGCCATGGATAGTTCCGGTTTCGAGCATGTCTTCGTCGGTGAGATTAAAAGCAGTAAGGTTTCTGGCTTCCACAACTGGGTGCAGTACTACCAAGAAGAAAAAGAAGGTGAAACTGAATTATTTTCCGAAAGGGAACGCTGTCAGGTGAGGTGCATTTCCCGATCACTTCAGGTCAAGTCTTGCAATTGTTAAATTGATAAAACCTTCCCAAGAATCTAAAGTTAAATCAAAGGAGCCAGTGAAGTAATGGAGTTTGGTGTGACAATTGAAACCTCTGGTTTGACTATTTATATATAGGATGATGGATCTAACCAACTACCAATTACCGCATTATTTGTTCAAGTGCCATTTGAATTGTTACATAGTATTATTTGTTTCAGCCAGCCCCCGTATTGACCGTGTCCCATAACTGGCAGGGAGCATTCAAAGAGATAGGCGGGTGGTAATAAAAACTTGATAATTCAATAGAAACTATCCCTGCCATAGAGGAAGAACGCAAACATTGTCTCTGAAATTCCTAAAGTAAACACGGACAAAAGATAAAATAGTGTACAAATAGTGACTGCCATTGAGGGAAATAGTGCAAAATATTTTCCTCAAGGGAATATCCTGTCCACTGACATGTTCCCGAGGCTGCAGGCCGAGGGAACAAGTCAGTGGACAGGATATTCCCGAGAGGAAAATTTTTACACTATTTCCCGAAAATGTGGCAGTCACTATTTGTTTTATTATATACCTGATAAGTACTCTGTAAACAAAAACAAAATGAGAAGTCTTTTCATTTCAATATCAAATGTTCACAGGTTCTTATTGGCATTTAAAGGCATTTTACCTTTCAACTCCTATAATCTCAGATTTGGGGGAAGATAAAATGTACTATTGACTGGTCACATGACCTAACTGGTGATTAGTACAATTCATCTTCCCTGAAAGCAGGGATTTAGGACTTTCCAGGGAATGAGTTCATCTATTCCATGTCATGTGACCATGAATAAGCCAATGAGCATCTAGAATACATTTGAGGTATATAATAATGATTTTTAATCAATTCAAGGACGTCTGTCTCGATAGACGTCCTTGATCAATTTAAACCATACACGTTGACTTTTATGCTCGACTTATGTTACGTAACGTTATGCTTGCAAGCACATTTCGAAATATTATTGCATTTTCTTTAAATCTAGATCTTCTTGTTCACAGACAACTAGGACCATTCGAGTTTACTTGACCTTTCTTTAGCTTAATGATATCATTATAAGGGTGTACTCTTTCATAGGTACATGAGGACAAGCCCAGAGTTTGAAATGGCCATCTACACAGTGTGTTTCAACATAAGGAAAAATTCTGTTTGCAATTTGTTAATGGACGGCTATAGAAGCAGCATTCAAACTTATGACTTCAATGGCGTCAGCCCTAGGACAGTCGCTACAGCATATCCAAAGTGTTAGGACAATTCCAGGCATGTTTGAACAGGCCTAGATTTGATTGGACAAGTTCAAAGACAATTTCAGACTTGCAACACGTGGATCTGTTAAATAATATGTATTCATGAAAAGAAAATGATTTCTAATTTGACACTTGTATTTCACATGTCTTCTGTTTGATAAGTGTTTGAAGTACAAAAAAGATAATTAATCGAAGTGATATCATATTTGAATTTCATATGTAAATATGCATTAAGAAATGTGGTTTCTATTTTTTACCTACTTTGAACTTTTTTTTTACTTTGAATTGAAAGTGTGACTACTACATGTACATGTAGGTCCCCATAGACCCTTTGTGCACAGATTATATCTTACTGGACACATTTTAATTTGTATACCTACCAAATACAAAACGGTAATAATATGAAAATTGATCCACTAAAACTGATGAATATTCAAGTTTATTGTAACTCTCAACATAATATGTATCTTGTCGCAATAGTTGGCTTGCTATATTATGGATAAATAAATGGTATAGGTCGTATTAGTCCGGATGGTATACATGTATCATCCACCTATATCGATAATTAGCAGATAAATTTTACTTTATTTCTTAATTCATCGAGTATTTCCGATTGAATTAACGTAAACTCCAATTATATACACCTTGCTTATCTTGTTGACATGAAGATTGTGATTTATTTACCTTACAATTGTGATACTTAAAAACTTTTAAAGATTCTTTTTTACATTGAATCAATCGTGATTTAAGATTTTGGGACATTTGACTTACTATACCCGGAAACATCTGACACCAGATTACACAATCCAACCTAAAGTAATTTATTAGAGACGATAAAGGTTTTTCTTCATATTATATATTATCGCTTGCATTTGAGCATTATCAATTGGCGTTATCAATTGATATATAGCATTCAACAATCGGTCATATAAAGGGGTTCTCATTTCTCCATCTCATTCCGACAATTATTTTAATTAAATAGAGAAATAATGAATTCAATGAAGAAATGATATGGTATTTACACTCATTAACTCGTTTCTAAACCACAACTAATTATTCAATCTCAAAATTAGCAATTTTCCGTACTGTCTGTACGGGAGATCTCCTGTTGGGTATTTTACCACACTTTTGTGGTAGGGATAGGGAGTCACTCAGATACCTCATCACACTTTCTGTCATGGTAGATATCTACTGGGTATATCCGTGTGTCTGATCTGCAGCATGTGTACAGGTGTCAGAAACCCCAACTATTACATAATACTTTGTTACGTGACACATGATCCTAGCTTGAGAACGAACGTGAGTTTGAATGCTGTTGATACATGTTTAGTTAGCAAGTGCCGCCCCAAGCCAAAGTAAATTAATGTTAAGTTTTTGTATTTAATTGCTTTAATGGTACTTATCTGCTGATCTAAATAAATCTGTTATTTAAATATTCTGGTTTTGTTATTTACAAATTTAATTGAATTATTACAAAACTGCATTTTACCAATCGAATGAAATATATATGATATATGCATTGTTAATGTGGTGTACTTAGTCTATTAATTATAGTGTTATGCAAAATTGCATTGTAAATAACAAATCGAACATCCATATAATAAATTTACTGCACTAAACATTAAGTGATTTTACCAGGGCGATGTTAAACATTTTAGCATCGCAGTGATGTATGTTTACACCATAATATTCGCTCTTGCTCTGCATCTGACATGCTTGAAGGCATCTAACGATTGCAAGGACGAGGATATAAAATTAATGAGCAAAACCTTAAGTTCACTTATAATAGAAGAAAATGTCAAACTGACAAAACTGATGCAGCAACTTAAAAGGAAAGTTAAAGCGTTATCCGATGATGTGTTGGGATTTAAAGAAAAATTACAGAGTGTAATCAAGAATGTTCCAACAACAGAACAAACACCAGGTAGGTGTAGCTTAGACATTGTTATTTATGCTGAGAATAAAATTGTGACACTATTGAGATTTTTTATTACAGAAACTAATGATAAATTTTGGCATATTGTGTAAATTGTTCCAAAAAGCCTGAAAACTACGGTTACCCAGGTGTTTCTAGAGGCAAAATAGAACTATTCTATGATGATAGGCTGCCCCAAACCTATATATGAAATAATATGTATATGATGAATATTATGTAATTAATCTTGGAAAATTAAAAAAAATCCGAGCAACTTTTTTCAAGGGATTTTGTTGCAGAAATTTTTTTGTTACCTTTTCTTTGTTTTAAAGTATTTCACTGGCAAAATGAATATCCCCGGGCTAAATATTGTTACCAAAATATATACAAAATCAAAAAACGTTATTATATGATGATAAATACAACAATAAAGTCGCGAACATATTAAGTGGTCACGCCCAGTGATCGTACAAAAATCATGGAGGGGGGATTAGGCGATTTCTGCAAGAAAACTCAACAAATTTGGAACATTTATTTTTTCAAGAGAAAATTTACAACTGAATAGCCAAATGAATAGGCGGAGTGCATGGCAAAATATGTTAGGTCATCTAGTATTTTTTTAAACTGATACCCTTCTAAGATATGAGATCTATTAAAAAAGGTGCATCATCACCAACGTGCAAAAGTCAATGTTTTTGCTATAAACCGGGCTACAATGAATAGGTATGAGGGACGTTATTATCACAATACTAATGACATTGCTCACTTTTTAAAGTTAGTTTCCATGGATTGCGTTATACAAAATGTAATCGAAATAAATTAATTTAGGATGGAGAAAAAAAATCTGAAAAAATAATTCTTCCAAATTTGTTGAGTTTTCTTGCACAAATTGCCTAATCCCCCCTCCATCATTTTTCTACGATCACCGGGCGTGATGGTGATTCTTTCGGAAAACTCCTCATAAAAGATGGGTACAAAATATTGTGTTGGGCCCCATATGATAAATGAATTGTATTTCCATAAGATAGAATTGGCTCAAGGTCCCAATTTACAAATCTGACATCAAGTATGATGTACGCTGGCGCAGGGACGTGAGCTTTAGGTCACTGAAACCTTTTAGTCAAGATCGATGCTTGTAAATAGTTATAATTATCAGAGAAATGATGTAAGACACACCGACGGAACGGTGCTTCCTTTTTTAATTTTCGACTGTTATTTTCCACATATCATGACCAAGATAGCAATTGTCATAGTTGAGTGCCACTTTAAGGTACAAAATGTGCACAATTACTGTGAAAAACAAAAGAACATTTTAATTTGTTTTAAATTGGGTTTTTCGAGCTAGAAGTTCTATCAACGACGTTTCCTTTAGCAACGTAGTCTAGCTACTTTGTCCAGAGCGACATTAATGACCTACCATGTGCCTGTACAGGCATGTGACTATAACTGAAAGATAAGGACACCATGTGGCCTTGGCCAATTAATTTGATCGAAAGGACAGTATGCCTATCACCCCAGTCACATTTGTTGTACAGCGGCCTTAAGTCGACCGCTGATCAATTAAATCAGTGTATTCCTGCGGCGAGCGTAGGAAAACTACGCTCGCCTTGCGGCCTCCGTACGGCGTATCCAGTTTTTTACAGGCCGCAGGGTCGCCGTAGAAATTATAACTCGGTAGTTATAGTATTTGTTCATTTCTGAGGTCCCCGTAGAAATCAACTTGTTCAACAAGATTGAATTATTATTTGTCAATGTTTCACGATCACTTTTCATTTGATATAACATCCTAGCGCTATGAATTACATTTATAAATTGTCCTGATGTAAATAAAATGAAAAAAGTATTATTTATCAACAGAAATTTAAAATTCACCGTGCGGCTGCCGTGGGAAATGTGACTGCAAAAGTATGAGAGTGCAGAAATTCTACGGCGAGCGTAGAAAAGCTACTGGCCGCAGAAATGATAGACCGCACGGCGGCCGTGGGAAATGTGACTGGGGTGTTAATAAATACCTTACGGTATGGCTAAAAGGCGATATTGTACAAATGACACAGTTTACACCAAGATTACATGTTAAACAACTATAAATAGTAAAGTATACTTTCAATGGCATGGTGGGCAATGCCATCACATATAGTTTTCAACCAAATGCCATATATAACAGCCATGCTGTATGAACTTAATGACACGGATCCGACCAAATAATGTATAATGTTCAACCACATTACGTGGTTCACAGCTAAATGCCATGTTGTGTATGTATCATGATGGTATATTTCACAATTAATATCAAAGTTGAATAACCAAATGACAATTTCTCAAGAGATTAATTTTCCTCGGAAAATGGCGACGATATCAACTGTAATGATAAATATGTTTTATGACCGAATATGACCGAATTTATATTCCCAAAGCTTTCAAGACGCGCTTATGCGAGGGGGGTTGTGATCAACCTTTGGACAGAAACGCACCCTGCCAATTCAACTCTGCATGTGTCCGGAATAATGATTGCTGCTCTGACTACAACCAATGTAGCAGCGCAGGAACACGTCCAACCCTCCCTAGTACACCAATATGGCCATTGCAGAGGATGCTAGAAGGAAATACGCTAACAGAAGGAGGTTGGTATCCAATTTCTCATTTACTGTTTCATTTTCCATTCAGCGTTCACTACTCCACAAACACGTCTTTGCCGTGGGCAGTGTGATGCAAAGTACGACAGAAATGCACCATGTCAATGTAATGCTCGGTGTCCGGAGTTTGGGGATTGCTGTTCCGATTATGCAAGTTTGTGTGACGTAATTCCGGTTGTACATCCAACGCTTCCGTCCGAACCTAGATGGCCGTGGCAAAGAATGCTTGTTGGAAAAACGCTTACCACTAGAGGTCAGTGATTTTGCAAATGTAGCCCGAAATGGTCTGTCATCAGTAGGACGTACGATTCAGATATAAAAAATAGCATAACATTTTTTTTAATTGAATTATTGTATTAAGTATTACCAACATGGTGTTATTAAAGTGTCATCAAAAAGTTATACCAATTGGCCTGCCTATTTAATAACTCCAATGATTATTGGTACTAGAACTAAATATATATAATAGGCCTATGAGTATTAACCATCAGCAATGTTACATACTTTAACATATAGGCCTATTTACCTTCATCAATTACTTGAATTAAAATACTAGATATAGTACAGGGTGTCCCGAAGGTATGGGACAGCCTCTTGGATGACATATACGCCCATTCACCAAATACGAATATTACTTGATTTTCACCAGCACCTGTAGTACATATTTTTACAAGAACTTTTGTTAGTTTAGCCACTACTGACGTTGAACTCGAAGCCCTCTCAGAATCTTTGTGGATATCTGATGTCAATAGAGCAAGCACCAGTGATGTCAGATTTAACACAAGTCAGGGTTCAAAGTAAGTACATACTATAGAAAATGTTTGGAAAGTATAGATAGGATTCTCATAGGGCATTCATTTTTCTTAAAATAGAAATTATCATATCAAAATAAAACTTGAGCATGCTTTTTGATAGTTAAATATTATTTTGTGTCATCTTTTAAAATGAGGATATACGAAGAGCGACACACATAGCAAACAATTAATGCTATGACATTCAATGAATAATTCGGATTACAAACCTAATGGAGGGGGTATTAATTATTAATTTTTACCATATCTAGGCTGTTCAGTTACGTGAACCCTACAGTGTTGAGCCGACCTACATTCGTTGCACTCCGGGCACTTTTGGACAACTACATAGCAGAAGTTGGAACATCAGAGCCCGTTTGCACACAGTGCAGACAAGAAGAAGATGCCTTTATTAACGCTGTTCTTGAGACGGATGTTATGAAACAGGCTTGGGATTTCCTTGTAATGTATAGTACGTGGTGTGATATTGTCGATAATGATTTACAGCCTTAAAAACGTCCTGACTTATCGTTATAGCCACAGTTTTGCGTTTGGCGTCGACATTTTTATTATATTGATTGATTTGTTCAATTACTCTCCCTCAGTCTACATCGTCTACCACATTTGCTTCTGACTTTGATTTTCAGTTTCGATGCTGATGAGATGAGAAGCTGTGTTCTCAAATACTGTTTCGGGGGCTTCATTGAGTTCATTGAATTTATAAGATTTGATTACAAAAGTTTGTTAAATGTCAAAATGCAGTTTATAATTTCGGGCTGTAGTTGTATTGATGAGATCTACATGTACAAATTATCTCAAAAGTAGCAAGTGTGCACAAAACTGATTACTTGTGAATTGTCCCTCCATCTTGTACATGATTTTACAGATCTAGCCAGTTCAAACAGAAACACATTTGTTCAACAGCTGAAGGATACCTGGTTCAAGGTGTACTCCAGGTCAAAGGGAAGGGCCATGGATAGTTCCGGTTTCGAGCATGTCTTCGTCGGTGAGATTAAAAGCAGTAAGGTTTCTGGCTTCCACAACTGGGTGCAGTACTACCAAGAAGAAAAAGAAGGTGAAACTGAATTATTTTCCGAAAGGGAACGCTGTCAGGTGAGGTGCACTTTAAATGATTTCCCGATCACTTCAAGTCAAGTCTTGCATTTGTTAAATTGATAAAACCTTCCCAAGAATCTAAAGTTAAATCAAAGGAGCCAGTGAAGTAATGGAGTTTGGTGTGACACTTGAAACCTCTGGTTTGACTATTTATATATAGGATGATGGATCTAACCAACTACCAATTACCGCATTATTTGTTCAAGTGCCATATGAATTGTTACATAGTATTATTTGTTTCAGCCAGCCCCCGTATTGACCGTGTCCCATAACTGGCAGGGAGCATTCAAAGAGATAGGCGGATGGTAATAAAAACTTGATAATTCAATAGAAACTATCCCTGCCATAGAAGAAGAACGCAAACATTGTCTCTGAAATTCCTAAAGTAAACACGGACAAAAGATAAAATAGTGTACAAATAGTGACTGCCATTGAGGGAAATAGTGCAAAATATTTTCCTCGAGGGAATATCCTGTCCACTGACATGTTCCCGAGGCTGCAGGCCGAGGGAACAAGTCAGTGGACAGGATATTCCCGAGAGGAAAATTTTTACACTATTTCCCGAAAATGTGGCAGTCACTATTTGTTTTATTATATACCTGATAAGTACTCTGTAAACAAAAACAAAATGAGAAGTCTTTTCATTTCAATATCAAATGTTCACAGGTTCTTATTGGCATTTAAAGGCATTTTACCTTTCAACTCCTGTAATCTCAGATTTGGGGGAAGATAAAATGTTTATTGACTGGTCACATGACCTAACTGGTGATTAGTACAATTCATCTTACCTGAAAGCAGGGATTTAGGACTTTCCAGAGAATTAGTTCATCTATTCCATGTCATGTGACCATGAATAAGCCAATGAGCATTTAGAATACATTTGAGGTATATAATAATGATTTTTAATCAATTCAAGGACGTCTATCTCGATAGACGTCCTTGATCAATTTAAACCATACACGTTGACTTTTATGCTCGACTTATTTTACGTAACGTTATGCTTGCAAGCACATTTCGAAATATTATTGCATTTTCTTTAAATCTAGATCTTCTTGTTCACAGACAACTAGGACCATTCGAGTTTACTTGACCTTTCTTTAGCTTAATGATATCATTATAAGGGTGTACTCTTTCATAGGTACATGAGGACAAGCCCAGAGTTTGAAATGGCCATCTACACAGTGTGTTTCAACATAAGGAAAAATTCTGTTTGCAATTTGTTAATGGACGGCTATAGAAGCAGCATTCAAACTTATGACTTCAATGGCGTCAGCCCTAGGACAGTCGCTACAGCATATCCAAAGTGTTAGGACAATTCCAGGCATGTTAGAACTGGCCTAGATTTGATTGGACAAGTTCAAAGACAATTTCAGACTTGCAACACGTGGATCTGTTAAATAATATGTATTCATGAAAAGAAAATGATTTCTAATTTGACACTTGTATTTCACATGTCTTCTGTTTGATAAGTGTTTGAAGTACAAAAAAGATAATTAATCAAAGTGATATCATATTTGAATTTCATATGTAAATATGCATTAAGAAATGTGGTTTCTATTTTTTACCTACTTTGAACTTTTTTTTACTTTGAATTGAAAGTGTGACTACTACATGTACATGTAGGTCCCCATAGACCCTTTGTCATAAAATCACAAAAAGAGAAATACCAATGACCATGCCTGCATTGCACAGATTATATCTTACTGGACACATTTTAATTTGTATACCTACCAAATACAAAACGGTAATAATATGAAAATTGATCCACTAAAACTGATGAATATTCAAGTTTATTGTAACTCTCAACACAATATGTATCTTGTCGCAATAGTTGGCTTGCTATATCATGGATAAATAAATGGTATAGGTCGTATTAGTCCGGATGGTATACATGTATCATCCACCTATATCGATAATTAGCAGATAAATTTTACTTTATTTCTTAATTCATCGAGTATTTCCGATTGAATTAACGTAAACTCCAATTATATACACCTTGCTTATCTTGTTGACATGAAGATTGTGATTTATTTACCTTACAATTGTGATACTTAAAAACTTTTAAAGATTCTTTTTTACATTGAATCAATCGTGATTTAAGATTTTGGGACATTTGACTTACTATACCCGGAAACATCTGACACCAGATTACACAATCCAACCTAAAGTAATTTATTAGAGACGATAAAGGTTTTTCTTCATATTATATATTATCGCTTGCATTTGAGCATTATCAATTGGCGTTATCAATTGATATATATCATTCAACAATCGGTCATATAAAGGGTTCTCATTTCTCCATCTCATTCCGACAATTATTTTAATTATATAGAGAAATAATGAATTCAATGAAGAAATGATATGGTATTTACACTCACTATTACGATATACTTTGTTACGTGACACATGATCCTAGCTTGAGAACGAACGTGAGTTTGAATGCTGTTGATACATGTCTAGTTAGCAAGTGCCGCCCCAAGCCAAAGTAAATTAATGTTAAGTTTTTGTATTTAATTGCTTTAATTGTACTTATTTGCTGATCTAAATAAATCTGTTATTTAAATATTCTGGTTTTGTTATTTACAAATTTAATTGAATTATTACAAAACTGCATTTTACCAATCGAATGAAATATATATGATATATGCATTGTTAATGTGGTGTACTTAGTCTATTAATTATAGTGTTATGCAAAATTGCATCGTAAATAACAAATCGAACATTCATATAATAAATTTACTGCACTAAACATTAAATGATTTTACCGTACCAGGGCGTTGTTAAACATTCTAGCATCGCAGTGATGTATGTTTACACCATAATATTCGCTCTTGCTCTGCATCTGACATGCTCGAAGGCATCTAACGATTGCAAGGACGAGGATATAAAATTAATGAGCAAAACCATAAGTTCACTTATAATAGAAGAAAACGTAAAACTGACAAAACTGATGCAGCAACTAAAAAGGAAAGTTAAAGCGTTATCCGATGATGTGTTGGGATTTAAAGAAAAATTACAGAGTGTAATCAAGAATGTTCCAACAACAGAACAAACACCAGGTAGGTGTAGCTTAGACATTATTATTTATGCTGAGAATAAAATTGTGACACTATTGAGATTTTTTATTACAGAAACTAATGATAAATTTTGGCATATTGTGTAAATTGTTCCAAAAAGCCTAAAAACAAGGGTTACCCAGGTGTTTCTAGAGGCAAAATAGAACTATTCTATGATGATAGGCTGCCCCCAACCTATATATGAAATAATATGTATATGATGAATATTATGTAATTAATCTTGGAAAATTAAAAAAATCCGAGCAACTTTTTCAAGGGATTTTGTTGCAGAAATTTTTTGTTACCTTTTCTTTGTTTTAAAGTATTTCACTGGCAAAATGAATATCCCCGGGCTAAATATTGTTACCAAAACATATACAAAATCAAAAAACGTCATTATATGATGATAAATACAACAATAAAGTCGCGAACATATTAAGTGGTCACGCCCGGTGATCGTACAAAAATCATGGAGGTGGGATTGGGCGATTTCTGCAAGAAAACTGTTTTTTATTTTTTCAAGAGAAAATTTACAACTGAATAGCCAAATGAATAGGCGGAGTGCATGGCAAAATATGTTAGGTCATCTAGTATTTTTTTGAACTGATACCCTTCTAAGATATGAGATCTATTAAAAAAGGTGCATCATCACCAACGTGCAAAAGTCAATGTTTTTGCTATAAACCGGGCTACAATGGTCTACACGCCGTGTAATAAATAGGTATGAGGGACGTTATTATCACAATACTAATGACATTGCTCACTTTTTAAAGTTAGTTTCCATGGATTGCGTTATACAAAAAGTAATCGAAATAAATTAATTTGGGATGGAGAAAAAAAATCTGAAAAATGATTCTTCCAAATTTGTTGAGTTTTCTTGCACAAATCGCCTAATCCCCCCTCCATCATTTTTGTACGATCACCGGGCGTGGTGGTGATTCTTTCGGAAAACTCCTCATAAAAGATGGGTACAAAATATTGTGTTGGGCCCCATATGATAAATGAATTGTATTTCCATAAGATAGAATTGGCTCAAGGTCCCAATTTACAAATCTGACATCAAGTATGATGTACGCTGGCGCCGGGACGTGAGCTTTAGGTCACTGAAACCTTTTAGTCAAGATCGATGCTTGTAAATAGTTATAATTATCAGAGAAATGATGTAAGACACACCGACGGAACGGTGCTTCCTTTTTTAATTTTCGACTGTTATTTTCCACATATCATGACCAAGATAGCAATTGTCATAGTTGAGTGCCACTTTAAGGTACAAAATGTGCACAATTACTGTGAAAAACAAAAGAACATTTTAATTTGTTTTAAATTGGGTTTTTCGACCTATAAGTTCTATCAACGACGTTTCCTTTAGCAACGTAGCAGGCCCGTAGCCAGGGGGGGGTTCGGGGGGTTCAGGCGAACCCTACCCCCGGCCCAAATTTCTTTCAAAATCATGCAGTTTTTCACCATTCTGACTAATTTTTGAGTGATTTTTGGCCATATTTGCCAAAGTGAACCCCCCCCCTAGAATTTTTTAGATAAACGAACCCCCCCCTTGGAAAATTCTGGCTACGGGCCTGCGTAGTCTACTTTGTCCAGAGCGACATTAATGACCTACCATGTGCCTGTACAGGCATGTGACTATAACTGAAAGATAAGGACACCATGTGGCCTTGGCCAATTAATTTGATCGAAAGGACAGTATGCCTATCACCCCAGTCACATTTGTCGTACAGCGGCCGTAAGTCGACCGCTGATCAATTAAATCAGTGTATTCCTGCGGCGAGCGTAGGAAAACTACGCTCGCCTTGCGGCCTCCGTACGGCGTATCCAGTTTTTTACAGGCCGCAGGGTCGCCGTAGAAATTATAACTCGGTAGTTATAGTATTTGTTCATTTCTGAGGTCCCCGTAGAAATCAACTTGTTCAACAAGATTGAATTATTATTTGTCAATGTTTCACGATCACTTTTCATTTGATATAACATCCTAGCGCTATGAATAACATTTATAAATTGTCCTGATGTAAATAAAATGAAAAAAGTATTACTTATCAACAGGAATTTAAAATTCACCGTGCAGCTGCCGTGGGAAACGTGACTGTAAAAGTATGAGAGTGCAGAAATTCTACGGCGAGCGTAGAAAAGCTACTGGCCGCAGAAATGATAGACCGCACGGCGGCCGTGGGAAATGTGACTGGGGTGTTAATAAATACCTTACGGTGTGGCTAAAAGGCGATATTGTACAAATGACACAGTTTACACCAGGATTACATGTTAAACAACTATAAATAGTAAAGTATACTTTCAATGGCATGGTGGGCAATGCCATCACATATGGTTTTCAACCAAATGCCATAACAGCCATGCTGTATGAACTTAATGACACGGATCCGACCAAATAATGTATAATGTTCAACCACATTACGTGGTTCACAGCTAAATGCCATGTTGTGTATGTATCATGATGGTATATTTCACAATTAATACCAAAGTTGAATAACCAAATGACAATTTCCCAAGAGATTAATTTTCGGAAAGTGGCGACGATATCAACTGTAATGATAAATATGTTTTATGACCGAATATGACCGAATTTATATTCCCAAAGCTTTCAAGACGCGCATATGCGAGGGGGGTTGTGATCAAATTTTGGACAGAAACGCACCCTGCCAATGCAACTCTGCATGCGTCCGGTATAATGATTGCTGCTCGGACTACAACCAATGTAGCAGCACAGGAACACGTCCAAACCTCCCCAGTACACCAATATGGCCATGGCAGAGGATGCTAGAAGGAAAGACGCTAACAGAAGGAGGTTGGTATCCAATTTCTCATTAAATATTGTTTCATTTTTCCATTCAGCGCCCACTACTCCACAAACACGTCTTTGCCGTGGGCAGTGTGATGCAAAGTACGACAGAAATGCACCATGTCAATGTAATGCTCGGTGTCCGGAGTTTGGGGATTGCTGTTCCGATTATGCAAGTTTGTGTGACGTAATTCCGGTTGTACATCCAACGCTTCCGTCCGAACCTAGATGGCCGTGGCAAAGAATGCTTGTTGGAAAAACGCTTACCACTGGAGGTCAGTGATTTTGCAAATGTAGCCTGAAATGGTCTGTCATCAGTAGGACGTACGATTCAGATATAAAAAATAGCAAAACATTTTTTTTAATTGAATTGTTGTATTAAGTATAACCAACATGGTGTTATTAAAGTGTCATCAAAAAGTTATACCAATTGGCCTGCCTATTTAATAACTCCAATGATTATTGGTACTAGAACTAAATATATATAATAGGCCTATGAGTATTGACCATCAGCAATGTTACTTACTTTGACATATAGGCCTATTTACCTTCATCAATTACTTGAATTAAAATACTAGTACAGTGTGTCCCGAAGGTATGGGACAACCCCTTGGAAGACATATACGCCCATTCACCAAATACGAATATTACTTGATTTTCACCAGCACCTGTAGTACATAATTTACTAGCACTTTTGTTAGTTTAGCCAGTACTGACGTTGAACTCGAAGCCCTCTCAGAATCTTTGTGGATATCTGATGTCAATAGAGCAAACACCAGTGATGTCAGATTTAACACAAGTCAGGGTTCAAAGTAAGTACATACTATTAACAAATGTTTGGAAAGTATAGATAGGACACTCAAAGGGCATTCATTTTTCTTAAAATAGAAATTATCATATCAAAATAAAATTTGAGCATGCTTTTTGATAGTTAAATATTATTTTGTGTCATCTTTTAAAATGAGGATATACGAAGAGCGAGACAAATAGCAACCAATTAATGCTATGACGTTCTATGAATAATTCGGATTACAAAACTAATGGAGGGAGTATTAATTATTAATTTTTACCATATCTAGGCTGTTCAGTTACGTTAACCCTTCAGTGTTGAGCCGACCTACATTCGTTGCACTCCGGGCACTTTTGGACAACTACATAGCAGAAGTTGGAACATCAGAGCCCGTTTGCACACAGTGCAGACAAGAAGAAGATGCCTTTATTAACGCTGTTCTTGAGACGGATGTTATGAAACAGGCTTGGGATTTCCTTGTAATGTATAGTACGTGGTGTTATGTTCTCAATAATGATTTTCAATATTTTTTGCCTTAAACGTGCTGACTCATCGTTATAGCCAAAGTTTTGCGTTTGGCGTCCACATTTTTATTATATTGATTGATTTGTTCAATTACTATCCTTTGTCAACATCGTCTACCACATTTGCTTCTGATGTTGAGATTTACATGTATGAAAACAAATTGTGTCAAAAGTAAGGAGTGTGAACAAAACTGAGTTCTTGTGAAAAGTCACTCCATTCTGTACATGATTTTCCAGATCTAGCCAGTTCAAACAGAAACACATTTGTTCAACAGCTGAATGACACCTGGTTCAAGGTGTACTCCAGGTCCAAGGGAAGGGCCATGGATAGTTCCGGTTTCGAGCATGTCTTCGTCGGTGAAATTAAAAGGAGTAAGGTTTCTGGCTTTCACAACTGGGTGCAGTACTACCAAGAAGAAAAGAAAGGTGAAACTGAATTATTTTCCGAAAGGGAACGCTGTCAGGTGAGTTGTTGCACTTTAAATGATTTTCCGATAACTAAGTCTTGCATTTGTTAGAATGATAAAACCTCACCAATAATCTAAAGTTAAATCACAGGAGCAAGTGAAGTAATAGAGTTTGGTGTGACACTTGGGCCCTCTGGTTTGACTATTTATATAGGATGATGGATCTAACCAACTACCAATTACCGCATTATTTGTACAGCAAGTGCCATATGCATTGTTAAATTGTATTATTTGTTTCAGCCAGTCCCCATATTGACCTCGTCCCATAACTGGCAGGGAGCATTCAACGCGATAGGCAGATGGTAATAAAAACTTGATAATTCAATAGAAACTATCCCTGCCATAGAGGAAGAACGCAAACATTGTCTATGAAATTCCTAAAGTAAACACAGACAAAAGATAAAATAGTGATTTTTAATCAATTTAAACCATACTAGTTGACTTTTATGCTCGCCTTATGTTACGTTACGTTATGCTTGCAAGCATATTTCGAAATATTATTGCATTTTCTTAAAATCTAGATCTTCCTGTTCACAGACAACTAGGACCATTCAAGTTTACTTGATCTTTTTTTAGCTTAATGATATCATTATATATATTTCTTTTATTGACATTTTGTATCAAAACATGACACATTAGTCTATGTACAAACTAGGCTGTCTTGACTCAAGACAATACTACACTATAAGGGTGTACTCTTTCATAGGTACATGAGGACAAGTCCAGAGTTTGAAATGGCCATCTACACAGTGTGTTTCAACATTAGGAAAAATTCTGTTTGCAATCTGTTAATGGACGACTATAGAAGCAGCATTCAAACTTACGACTTCAATGGCGTCAGCCCTAGGACCGTCGCTACAGCATATCCAAAGTGTTAAAACAATTCCAGGCATGTTAGAACTGGCCTAGATTTGATTGGACAAGTTCAGACTTGCAACACGTGGTTCTGTACATAATATATATTCATGACAAGAAAATGACTCGTAATTTGATACTTGTATTTCACATGTCTTCTGTTTGATAAGCACATGGTTTGATAAGGGCGATGATATTATTATCTAAACGAATGATCGCATTCATTGCACTCTGAATAGTATTATAAGCTCATGAAGCATAGGGAGCATATAAACAGCATGATTTATAAGCAAAGAAAAACCACAACTGACAGACTTCCAAAACTACTAGTTTACCATATTAAGATTGACATACATTTTTGATCTTATTTATATTGACAAAAATTACAACAGACACATATCAATGTTTTTATCATATTATATACATATTATATACATGTCTCTGTTTACAACAAAATAAAAGGTGTACCCGGTATATGTTTAAAAGCTCGAACTACATGTATGCTTCCCAAAATTATATTTCCAGCTCTACCATCCTTCTATACTTGAACTTATTATTACATATTATTTGATCAAAGTGATCACTTGGTTTTCTTCTCGGATAATATGACAATAAAGGCTATGGTTCCTAGTTCCAAAGCGACAAGTCATTTCAGAATAGAAATAATTTCTCGAAGCATATGGATTATAAACACAAATGCAAAGGTACGCCTTTGGTTGAACGTGTTAGCTGCAGCAGTTAAAGGAGGCTCTATTTTTGGCGGTGTGATTGTCATGTTCTCTGACATCAGAGTTGTTCCGAAAGTTGATTCATAAACTTTTTGTGTGCTATTCGTTTCCTGCGAGGCATGCGCTTTTGTGGTTTCCTGTGACGCGTGCATTTTGGGCTCCATTGTCGTTTCTTGTATCACGTTAGTCGAGTTTGGAGTTACGGTCGTTTCATTTCCCGCCTCTTTTGCTGTAGTAGAAGCAGCTTCATTTTGCGTTGTAGTTTCTGGTACACTTGATGTGTTGCAGGTTCGTCCTGTGAAGCCTGTAAAAATAGAGAGAAAAGACTCTGGCGTACTTTTGTGTCAAGGAATAAACTGTGTTAAATACTGGGTTAAAAATATTTCAAATGAGAGCTGAACTTCATACTTGGAGCTTGAAATGAGAAGTAAACTTGAAATTGATAAAGGAGACAAAAATTGTTTAATAAACCTCTTCCCATTCCCTACTCAACTTCTGTTGAAATCTTTTAAAGACGTGGAACAACTGCTAAAGAGAGACCTATCGAAATAATCACACACGAGTTTTTAAGTTAAAAAATGTTGGTCTCATCCTGAGTATGGTAGAATGGTGTCAAGATTTTCAAACAATAGGCTAACATGCTAACCTTTTGTACAGCAACATTTCTGATCTTCTGATACGCTTCCATTAGTGATACACATACCATTATTCTCACACGTTATCGCTGAAATTAGTCAGTTATATATTTAGTAATTATATTTTTCAAACCGGAAATAAGTCCTCGAATATTTTCTATGCTGCTATTAAGACAATAGAAACTACACGTAGGCCGCCAAAGATGGCAGTACTGGTCTATCGACTTATATCTCCACGACATACTGTAGACAGATCAGTACTGTCATATTATGTCTTCGTAGTTACAATGAATTAGATATCTATCCAAATTTAGAGCTACACATATATGTATAGATACATCAACGTGTTTGGTATTCAATTCTAAGAATAAAAAATAGATCCTTTCCGATCATGAACTGACAGAAGCAAGCTATTAACATGGAAGGGAGACAACTGCGAGAAATTTTTCATACGTTTTATACGAAATCGTTGAAATCGTATCCCATATGATCCTTTTGCTCCGCCTATGTACGCCTCGTACAAAGACCACTTCTTGCGTGCAGACACCAGCAGCTAGTAACGTCACGTGGATAATTCGTTTAGCAGCATTAAAATTTCCAGCTAACAATGTAAACATGTTACCACTCCAGTCTGGCGGTTGAACAATCCATTTTATTCCTAACAACGTCAAACCACCAGAATCTGTGTCAAGTGTGCCTTTCACTTCATGTTTTCCGTTGATTTGGTCGCCACTTACGCCATCTTTAGTCCAGAAAGTAAACTCTCCGTTAACACCACCTCCATCTATTTTGGCGAACGTAATTTCCAGTTGGCCATTAAAATCTTTGTCACCACACTTGAAGCTCGTTCTCCATTTGCCATTTATACCTACAGAACACGAAATATCCCATCATTATGAAGTACACAGTTGCACAGCTTTAATTGATAGAATAGTGTCGATTTATCCTTATAAAAGGAATTATAATCACATGGACTACGTGTAGGTTGCCAGTTTTTTGCAGACCTGAGGCCTCGTCACCCGCTCGTCGCAACGCAGATTAGCAAGCGCACCGCAACGCACGTTTTTGCAAATCGCAATCAGGATTTATATCATCCGCTAAGCGCAACGCAACGCAATCTCAAATTGAGAGATGTTTCAATCGCAACAAATGTTGCGATAGCTCTTACCCTGCCGCAAATCAATCGATCGCAAATATTACCCATCTTTAAATGTGTCAATCTAGGGGTTTCTTTATTGATTACGTAAGAATGTTCTTTTCTCAAGGTTACTGTGCAATAAAAAGGTAATTTATGTTTTTCGAAAGTGCTTAAAGATTCTCGCTATCTTTATCCAATCAGCGTTTGCGATGTGTATCGGCTCACATATAAAAGGCGAATCCAACTCAAATCCATGCAGGGGTGTATGAGGTACTCGAATGGGAGAGCTCGTGAAATCTGAATTTATATGCACATGGTCAATGTTTACACATGTTTGGAGTTATTGAAGAAAATGTGATATGGGTGTGGTTCCGAATTCATTGCTGGAAATATGATTTTAATACGTGAAATTATATCTATAAATACAGCACTAAAAATAACAACACATGAAGTACATGTGTGATTGTGTCCAGAAATGTTTGAAACCCTTACGGAAAATTCTGTCTGCATTTTGTCACCATTGCTCTTTCTTCCCGCATTCTAGTGCTGTTTGAATGAATTTATTTATTTATGTATTTCTAACTAAAATATATCACATTTTCTTTATAAACCACAATCATTTAGATCATAAAAAAATTATTCAATACTTGAGTGAGCACGATATGCAAGGGTTACTTAGTTGACACAGTAAATGACCACTGATATTGTGTTAGTCCATGCACACGGCGTATTCTGCTAAGGCCATAAGAAGTAGATTCTTTGTTTTGCGTCCCCTTGCTTGCACGATTTTGAGTAAATCAGAAAGACAAACACATCCAAATAGCAATCACAAGGGTCTGAAAGTGCCATCGCATTTCGTTCAATCCGAATCAGACGAAATGGCTGATGATTTGATGTGCGTCAAAATTGACAGTGTTATAATTACTTTGAAATACATTGTGTATTTTTTACCCTTGAATAATAGCTATGTTTAAAAATATTGTATAAAATGTATAGATATGTGTTTGTAATCACTGCAAATTGGTATGTCATCCCTTTTTATGCCCATAAAATGTATATATTTCTCAGCAAACAAGTTTGTGTTTTCATTGAGTTTGTGTTTGTTTTCCTTGTACCCTTGCATGATTTGGATTTTGACAAGACACATAACAAAGAATCTACTTCTTATGGCCTAATGCACATTTGCTAACACCCCTAACTTTCATAGTGAAGTGACTAATTGGTTTATGTTTACGTTTTAATGTGTTTTGTGTTCCTTGTTACAGCAAGGGGGGCCAGTAAAGTAGACTAACATGTTTGCATGGCAAATTTTGATCGAATATGTGAGACACTTTAATCAAAGAATTCGTTAATGGTAGAGCTCCATTGTCCCAGCGCATCAGCATATAAAATCTGAACGCAATCCATCCACTAGTACATTTGAGTAATTAAAGATTACGTTTTTACAAAAAATGGCGGCCGTTCTGAATTGAGCGGCCATATTGAAAATTCCCTCTCGAGCAGAGGTCCTACACCCATAAGGAATAAGTCTATATTTGAATCAAAACTGTCAACCGGTATTTGAGTTATCACCCGGACAGACGATCAAAATGACGGACGGACGAACGGACGAATGGAAGGACGGACGGCTTTCATATATCTCTCTCGAACTTCGTTCGGTGGGATAATAAGTTAGGGTTGTTATGCATTGCTGTAAATTATTATTTAACTAAGTATGTACGCGACAGCTGATTTCTTATTTTTTTATTTAAAATCCTTTAAATAGCACATACATGTAGCACACTTTGATAACATTGTGTAGGACTATATAGTTTTTCTATTGCTTATTTCTAAAGTGTTAATAGAACACAACAAACATACGAATGGAATATTGCTAAGCAGGTATTCATTATCCCTTTTCAATAGTTTAACTTTTCATTTATTTATCTATTGACATTTATGGCACAGAAATATGAAGTGCTCTTACAAAAAATGTAAAAATGAAAATTGTGAATCAAGATGTATTAAAAAAGACCATTTATACAACAAATAGCATTCACAGTTGTAAAGTGGATTAGAGAATGGTATTATATTGGGACTCTAAGTTCTTACCGTTGGGCGTTATGCCGCATTCTTTAAAGCCGGGGTGAAGCTCTAAACACTCGTTTGTTCCGCTTGGTTCGGTCTCATCACACGTCGTACGCTGAAATAAGTTTTTATTTAGGGGGTTATAATGTGATGATGAAATAGATTCGGGCGAAATATTGCCTCAAATTAACTTCATTTTAAATGCTCATGCACCGAAATATTTTGATGAACGTTAATTTGATGGTTACACCCATTTGAGGCATCAGCCAAATACGTTAGAATACACTCCCCTACGTACGTAAGTTCGACAATCAGATGTATGACTGTAAGTCTGATAATTTGATGTTTAATGTCCAATTTGATGTGTCTAAGTAATCTTTATTTTGTTGTTGTTTTACTACAGTGTTCTTGAAGCGTATGACTTAGTATGAATTTTTAAGTCGCCAAACGTAAACGGGGCCTGAACACGCGATCCAGTATGGGACGCACCGTTGCCAAACCTTTGGAAGGAAAGGGTATATATCTATTTGAAATGATTTAAGATTGATAAAAAATTTCAATGGTCTGTAGAATGAATTACAAGTAAATTGAAATCAGATAATTCTTCATAAAATATATTTTTCAGTTTGTCTTCTGTACATATAACTCTGGTATTAGTGTATGCACCACTGGAAAGACCAACCGTTCGAAAGCAGTTGTTCATATGCATGTAGTAAACATGAATTCAATTATTTAATACACAGCAGCCCACAAAATTTATGAATATGGACGTTAGGCATGAAACTTTTTTTTAATATTTTTGCTACTGCATTCTATGACTAAAGTGTTTCCAACCAACCTTATCATTAACATTTTGATACTTTTTAGTACTTACTTGAATCATAAATACAACTATAAGACCCCACACTTCTTTTAACATCATCCTAACTATCAGCTCAGTTTATTTTTACTAGAACGGACTACTTCTTTACTTTCTCGTGTTTATCTATCTTCATATAATCTTATGTCACGTTAACGTTAACTGCAATTGCTACTGATTTATTCCGATTCCAATATCCAAACAGCGAAACGCAACGTTGTTACAGGCTATCACCGTCAAATATATGTCAGTAAAAAAGAGAATCACCTATTATGAATAGTGCCGAAACCTATAAAAAAACAAAAAACACAGACTATGTAAACGTGATAAGGAACCTGTGTTACTTAGGTCGTTCTGGATCTGATTCTATTCATCGTTCCACGACGTTCATGATGTCAGTGATTATGTTGAGTAAATTGCATGTTGACAGCGATGTAAATGGATAAACTATTTTGCTGGGAGGATATGAAAAGGGCCTTATATGTGAAATATAAGTTTGAGAATTGTCATTTAGTTAGACTCCGCGTTGAGTCGAGTTCGCTAGCCAGTATACGTACTGTACCTCTCTAAGAGTAATAGTAAATGAAAATAGTAAAATCAGTGCACGACGTGGATGTTTAAAATGAAATGAAGTTACATAGAAAAAATCTTGTCCATGTGATACTTTATCACTCTCTTCAGAAGCACATACATTTATCTTTTTGTGGTTAAAAAATCAATAGACTAAACTAATAGATTAGATGCGAGTAGAAATAATCTTGATTTACGTCATTAAAGTCCCCGTCTAAAGTTTGAAAATATTTTTTTATCATTCATTTACTATTTGTCAGGACTTAAAAAGTGATTTTAGAGATTTTTGAACAAAAAAATTTTTTTTCATAAAAAAGTTGTGAGCATTTCATTTCTCAAATATTCAAATTTCCCGCCATTTTTCAAAAAAAGTTGAAATTTCTTAATCATCAAATATTTCTTAATGCATTTCAAAAAAGATTATCTTTCTAACACCAATGCAAAGATTGAACAAAAGACACACTATTTCAATAATAAAATGTCATATTTAATGGGCCACTTCAATGTTTTAGCTTATCAAAAATATTTTGAAACATTAGTGATGTCACTAAGGTACCAAAAACTTTTTGAAATAAATTGAATTTTTTTTTTCGATGTCAATCTTTTCTAAATATGCTAGACTTTCATAAAAAAGAATGTTGATTGTCTAACTAGGTTAAAAGGAAGAATAAATTATGTTTTAGATATCATTGTACCATTGGTTTCTATGAGAACTAAAATTTTGAAATGCATTTTTCTCAGAACCATTTTCATGCACTGATAAGTTCATTTCTCGCTTGTTTATCAACCGATTTTCTTAATTTTTTCGGCAAAAAACATGGGAGGATGAATACTTTGCATTGGTATGAATTGTGGCTAATTAGAAGATATGAGTGACCTCTAAAAGTTGGTTTTAAATAAATTCACAAATTTTGGAACAAAAAGTCTATAAAAAACACTTTTTGAAATTTAAGACAAAAGTTTCACATATCACACTTTGATAACATTGGGTAAGACTACAATATAAGCCAAAGTGGTTTAAACTTTACACGGGGCCTTTAAATATTCAAAAATCAGTCAAAGTGATGCCATATTTGAAATCTACATGTAAAAGGATATCTAGAAATATGGTTTTGAAAATTGTTTATGAATTTTTAATTTTTTAAATTTGACTTCTAGTTCGAGTTAATTCCCCATAGACCCCATGTTACAAAATCATAAAAAGTGAAATACATGTACACTCCCCTCCATAAGTTTGGCAACCTTAGCTCCCCCATTGAACTACGTGTTAAAACCCTTTTTACGTTTGAATTTTTATTTACTTAACCGGCGATGAAATAACTTATAATATTGATGGAAACGTAATCTGACTTCATTCCCAGTACCTCCAAATGTTCTAAATTTATTTCCTCAATTGCAATAGGTCAAATATTGATGATAAATTTGATAAACTTTTTAAAATCGTCATTCCCATGTAATCCAATGGGAAATGGAGGGTTCGGGGCAAATCAGAAATCAGGATATCTTTTTAGTAAGAATATATTTCTATCTAGAAAAATTACCTACTCGCATCTGCGTTGTTGAAGTTTAGTGGCCTTGCAGTTAATAGGCAAGGTGGACATAAATGAGGTATATAAATTCTACACTATAGATGTCACCCTAGGATGCCACACGTTAAAGTTGCACGAGAGCCAATTTCAGACTCTTTTATTAGCTTGTATTTAGCACTGGCAAATAACATCCCTTTTTTATTTTGACTTATGTTTTAAACAAAACGGAGGTTAAGCTCTATGATTTAAAATGGGTTGAAGGTCCAAGTAAATGTGTCTCATATAACAAGAAATCAAATGTTTTGAAAAGAAATTAGACTCGCTTAAAAAGATATTGAAATGTGGTAATTATCGATTCGTAGTAGAGCCTTTTATCAGATTATAGAAATATAAAGGCGATCGTGAGCCAAATCAATGTAGATCCGACTACCTTAGCTTTGTACACTGATAAAACAAAATAGTGACGGACCCCTTGGCAAATCGTGGCTACAGGCTCGGATCTAATTGATAGTAGCCAGTGGCACTGATTTCATCCTCTAATAGGCCTCACACTGCTGCAGACACTCCAAAGAGAACGCTAGTAAATCCGTCAAAACCTTGCTACCCAGTGGGCATCATTTCACGGGTCGCAATCAGTGCGAGTATTCATTACCATAAAGAACCACACGATGGAAGGAGTCGACATTGTCCAAAATAAATTCGGGAACACGCGTAAGATAATTGATAAAAAAAACTGTTTAAACCGTAAGTACAGTAGTCAGTAACCTCACTGATCAGTCGAAGCAATTCACTTATAATTAACAGTTATAACATAGATGTACTTAGAATTGTCAATCAATCAAACTTTAATTAAGATACTTTACCAGGGAAGAAGCAAAATAGTCAATGGCAATCAATTCAAGAAAATGCAATTATTGTGTATTATTACCACCTTGGGCCGCTCTACCACCAGCATCTGATAGAGCCCATGTTACCACGTGTGGCATCAAGACTAACTGAGTGCTGACTTTAGAAGTGCTCTAGCGAAAGGATATACAGAACGATATGCAGTATGTGTTAAAGGCAAGTCTTTTCTATTTTAGATAATCATATAAAATCCACATGGAATCGGATGCAATAAACCAGGAAGGTTTTCTGGGTTGAATAATTGAATTTTCAGCCATCTGCACATTGTGGTGTACGACTTATCACGTTCAGTACCCTTGGCTTCATTATCAAAGTCCTATTCTTCCAGCTGATTGGATCGATTTTGACAATTCCTAAAATGTGAACCAATCAAATACTGCGTTACAAATCAGAAGGGGAATCCCTCACGTGATGTTGACGGAAGTGCGTAGGGCGTCAAGGAAAACATAATTTCTGCACAATTTATGTCATTTTCTCGCATTATATGTCAAGTTGTCTGGGAATACTAATGTAATCAAGGTGTGGTCTGCTAGCCAGTGTCATGGTGGAACCTATATTTGACTATCAATTCAGATTGATTTTGATAGGAGATAGCACAGTTGGGAAATCATCACTTTTGAAATATTTCTGCGATGGGAAATTTACAGACATTTGCGATCCCACAGTGGGTGTTGATTTCTTCGCCAGGCTGGTCGAGGTGATGCCCGGAGTGAGGGTGAAATTGCAGCTATGGGACACTGCTGGACAGGAACGGTTCAGGTGAGATATGATGCATGGCAAGCTAAATCAGTAAATTTTTGGAGTTTGTGAAAAGGCCTCTGCTCTGGGTTCACCATTATCATTCATATTCATAATTATTAAGTTAGTAGACTATATTATAGATGGTGCTTACTGTGTCTGTGTTTGTGAAGCAGCAGAAGAAGTGAATAGCTCCCATAATTCTTTCATATTCTATCGTATTCGGGACTTCCCCATTACGTCATCTCCCGCATCATCTCCAATCAAATTGCAGGATGCGATCACGTGAACAATCATGAGCACTTATCCCGTTCCCGGACTATGGTCCTGTGAACATCTCAATCTTTTGCCTGTGCGATTACAACATGGGAGAATTTTTTACTGATCTTACACTTCAGATACCTACTTCAATAGATTCCTTGGTAATTTAGCATTCTTTTCGTGTAGTTGAATCCACAATTGTCTGGGTTTATCGGCAGAACGAAGACATTTTCGTTTTTGATCGCAATATTTGCGTGTAACATTTAACTTATTTCAACCGTCAAATTCCTCCATATTGGTACTTCCGGGCTACATCCGGGACAGCCAAACGGGGGATTCCCCTTTTAAATGAAACCGCCATTTTGAAAAGTGATGGAATCTCTCTCGATGAAAAAGAGAAAATGTTCCCGTTCTGCCGATATACCCAGACAATCGGCGGTTCCAATATATTAGAAGTTACATCTTGAGTTCTATAATGCATTGAGGTAGGTATCTTAAGTGTAAGGGGCGTAGATAATTCTCCCAAGTTGTAATCGTACAGGCAAATGAATGCGATCAGTGCAGGACTATAGTCCGGGAACGGGATAAATGAGCACATGCTCTCTCAGGGCTGCGCATGCGTAAAGTAAAATGTGAAATCGTGGAAATGGCGTTAACATCAGTTCAATATCATCATCTTAACTGACAGTAATACTATTAAAGTCACGCCTGGTGATCGTACAAAATGGATTGAGGGGGGATTAGGCGATTTCTGCAAGAACACTCAACAAATTTGGAAGATTTATTTTTTCAAGTTAAAATTCACAACGAATTGTCATTTTTGCCTATATATTTTTTGTGCGTTTATTGGAGTCTTTCAATACCAAACCATGCGCTTAATAGAGAGAATACAGTAGGTGAATTGATTGATTTAAATGGGTGCCAATTAAAGGCAGAATCAGATCTATAGGGAGTAGGGATGTCATGGTTTCCCGAGATTGTGCCGCCCCTCGGGACTTTGGTCTCGGGAAGGGATGGGACAACCCTCGTGTTCTGAAGATCCAAACTAGTATTTTCTTTCGTTTTTACAACTTATCTGCCAGATTACTTTCATGCGTAAATGTCATCCAGTGGCAATTACTCTAAGTGATTATAATAAACAAAAATTCAGAACAGAACATGCAGTTTTATCAATAAAAGTTTTTCCTTTTGAAATATGCTTTAATTTAAATTTTAAACAATAAAAAAGAATGGCGAGAAAGGTAACAACTTCAAATTAATCTCAGATTACAAGTTTTTGCGCAACATACGCAGCCCTTTTATGACGTTCAAAAGATCCGGGCTGCATAAGCATAACCGGAAGTAGACAAAAAATGTAAGTTGTTGAACTGTTTTAAACTTATTAACTATTTATTGGTTACCATTCCGAATGTCCCGTCCCGAAATGGATAATTCCTGTCCCATCCCAAAATATTTTTATCCCTTGACATCCCTAATAGGGAGTGACACAATTGCAAACAATATGTACAATTGATCTACCAATATATTCCTTACAAGCTCAAATATAATATCTCCCAAAAGATCCTCAATATGTTATCAATTGGTGAAGATATTTAAGATTCAGAGTGCAAAAATGGGGGGAAAATATTTAAGACAAAAGAAATTGCATTATTTTAATTATCAGTTTTCCTCAGATAAAGTATATACTTGGGGTATTTTTAGAAAAAAGACATGACAAGGTATGACATGAGCCCAAAATATTCTAAAATTGAAACAATTTTCGTCAAGATGAAGCACCAAAGTAATTGCTAGATCTGGTTTTGCCTTTAAATCAGTTTACAGTATGGAGGACTTGTGTATGAACATATTATGCACATGTTATCTTGTCAAATTTTTGTATTCTATGTAATCTAAGGTATTTTGTCTCTCATAGTACTGCAATAACAAAAGTGATCTTTGACCAACCACAACTGATTCAAATGTTATGTACATATTACATACATGGTACATGTTTGTAGATGTATAACAAGTTTATCAATAATTGTATGTATGTACTCTACATTGCTACCAACTTCAGACACTTGAAGGAATTGTTTTCTGTGTTAAAATTTTAAACTTAGGTTTACTTTACAATGTACTGGCGCCGAAAGATTATTAAAACAAATTTTTTCATATGTACCCATCTGTAATATATTTAGCACATACATTATTCTAGAATAAAAGATAGGTGTAAAATGCGTGAAAAATACAGTTTTTAATTAATTAATATATTTATTCTCCTTGCATATTAAAACTGAAATTCTTTTTTCATATGTTTTGAAAATTTCTTAGCCGTTCAATGTACATGTATAAATTATTTAGAGTTTAACTTGCAACATGACTTATGGGTTACCATGGCAATGAATTACCATCAAATTAGTTTTGTACATGTATACTACTTGCATGATTCTGCTTAGAGAGAGATGTTGCTATAGGAAAGCAAAACTTAACCCATAAGTTGGTCTCAGATATATCTAAGGTATGTAAGATATTATGGGATATCACTGATTGTTTGGCATATAAACCCATGGTGTAATCTACATGTACCTTAAATTTTTTCTTATCTTACAGAATTTCTATGCAAAATGAATGTAAACGGGAGGCATAAATGTTGGAAATAATAATTTTAACATATACAGTTGCAAAATTTCATAAAACAGGTGTATTTGATGAAATAACAGACGGCCTGCCATCTGCTGCTAAAAAACGGGCATTCACGTTTATCGCTAACTTGTATCCCATTTCCTTGGGATATAGTCGTGGGAGGTGTATAAGGGGGGGGGGGAGGGGGGGGGGGGGGAGGGGGGGGGGGGGGAGGGGGGGGGGGAGGGAGGGGTCCCAACAACTTGAAAATAACTATGTTTTCATAGTTATATGCTTCTATACATTCAAGGCATGCAGATATAAATACCTCCAAAAATCATTGTACTGGGCCCTCCTTAATACATGATGCATATTTGTTAGGATAAGATGTGTAGGGGGTATCCAATGTTTGAACCTGGACTATGCATACACAGTCTGGCATTCAGAACACCTACATTCAGAAATACATTCAAGAATCATTGTACTGGGCCCTCCTTAATACAGGATGCAGGGATTAGGTGTATAGGAGGGGGGGGGGATGACAAGGGATTAAATCGGAACTTTGTAGAAATAATTTATCATCCAGACAACATGTGGAAGTATGTCCAAAAACAAGACTATGTTCACATAGACTTCTATACATATAGTGAATGCAGATAGAAATTCACTCAAAAATCATTGCACTGGTCCTTCCTTAATACTGTACAATGCTACATACAGTACATGTACATTGTACATGAAGTAGCTCATGGAATATACATACAGTATATTTAAGACATTGAACTTGTGATTATTGAGCAGTTAGATAAGATGATCAAATGCTAGTGTGTAGGACTGATAACATATACATGTACCAGTGATCTCCCCAGGATTTTTTCTCAAGTGGGTGCAAAATTCTCATTTTCACAATTGAGATCCAAAATTGCTCAAAATATGCCCATTTTACATGTACATGATTTTTCTAATTTTCAAGTGAGTGCAAATGAAATCTCATACAGGTGCAAGCCTGTTTTTAAAATCTCAGTTGGTTGCTGCTGCGCCCACTTGCTTTAATGCTTGGGAGATCAATGCAAACATGAAGGTGTAAAGGAACATATATGGTCATAAGTGTAGCCGTGTACAGAGCAGATGAGGCTATTACCTAAGCTCAGTCAAAGACATATAATAACATAAATTACTGTTATTATGACTCTGCCTCACTATTCAGACAATTTCAAGCTAAAACTGAAAGTGAATTCCAAAGTTAATGATATACCTCCTACAGGCTTAATTTGCTTAATTTGGTTTATTTTTTGGCCAAAATGTATCTGATGAGACAATTTCCAATTTACCATCTTTGACAGACTTACACACTTGAATTGCAGATTAGCAATTAAAGGGTGACGCATATCGTTTAGCAAATCGAACGCTCGTTTCTTGTGTTGCTCACTGTTTAGTATAAAAGGCCCGATCCCGGAATATTACTCAAGGGTTCACAGGCTCGAGGTCGTTGTGTCAACACCTCTAACTGTTATATAGCATAAGTATATTATAGATCGTCACACATTTATAAAAGGGTGATTTTTATTTTGACAAATCAATTCCACATTTATGGGTGAAGTTTCAGGATCGTCTATTTGTGTATAATAAGGGAAAATTGACATCTAAATTTCCCCATAACGTAATAGCACACAGCTTGGCATATGAAATATCCTACAAATGAAACAAAGCAGTTCTAATACAAGGATTTATATTGACTGTTGTACATATTCTTTGAACGCAATCACTCTATGGATAACGTTTTCAAAATCATTATAAACGGATTACTTTATCTCGAAGACAATGTCAATAAACTGGATTTTACAGAACTCCCCTTATTTCTTAAAAATGGACTGATCCAGGAGCCGCCATATTGTTTTTATACGGGAAGCTTATCGTCACCCTTTAAAGTAAAATAATTGTTGCTGCATTGCATGTATATGAGGTTAAGGTAGGTTAGGTAATATGAATAATCAGGTATAGCTAACTGATTAATTTTCCCTCTCTACTCACCTTAGATTAAACAGATAGCATACAGGCCCGTAGCCAAACCGGGGGCTTCCTCATCTCTAGCTAAGAATTATTTCAAAATTGTGCAGTATTTTCACCATTTTGAGCACTTTCAAGTGATTTCAGACAAAAATTGTCACAAGTGAACCCCATATATCCTTTTACCAACTGAACCCCCTTTTGCAAAAGCTGGCTATGGAACCTGACATGCTTAATGATTTATATGCAAAGAACATCAAGAAAAAGTACATTTATGATAAATATATCTACTTGCAGGTCAATCACTAGGTCATATTATCGTAACAGTGTTGGAGCCATGCTTCTCTATGACATTACAAAACGCAGTACTTTTGAACATTTAGACGAATGGCTAGAGGAAGCTAAGATACACATAGAGCCGAACAAAGCAGTATTTATGCTAGTAGGACATAAATCAGACATGGAGGCTGAACGAGTTGTCTCCACGCGAGAAGGAAGCGCATTTGCAGACTTTTACGAAATGAGGTTTATGGAGACATCAGCAAAAACTGGTCAAAATGTTGAAGATGCTTTTGTGACGATCGCACGTGAGGTTTATCAAATGTTACAGGAGGGGAAACTTCAGCCGGAAGAGGGCTGGGATGGGATTAAGAATGGATATAATCAGAAACGACGGAGGGAGGAGTTTCAGTTGATGGAAGCGGAGCCTAAAAGTGGCGGTTGTTGTGCATAGATCGCAAATGAATGTATCCTAGTGTTCATTCACTCAATATGAGATTGTCGCTAGGATCATGCTTTAAATGTAAAATAGAGTGGAGAATTGTGCAATCACCAAGGAAAGAGGTATACAGGTATTAAGCCAATACTCTAGACTGTATAGAAGTGCCAAATGATAAACTACTTCTTTCAGATTATGGATGGTACAATAAAGGAATTTATCATGGATGTTTATACCTTAGTGGAAAGTAAAACCAAAGGTACTGAGTTGTGGAGTAATTTGAAAGACATTTGAATCAAAGTGTGAGAGGGCTCAAAACCCTTTTCAACAACATGATCTATATTCAGTGTATACTACTCTACAAACTGCACTTTGTATACCGCACTGTTTAGTGTACACTACATTATGTTCAGTGTACTGTACACTGCATTATGTTCAGTGTTCACAATATTATGTTCAGTGTTCACAACATTATGTTCAGTGTACACTACATTATGTTCAGTGTACACTACATTATGTTCAGTGTACACTACATCATGTTCAGTGTACACTACATTATGTTCAGTGTGCACTGCATTTTGTTCAGTGTTCACAACATTATGTTCAATGTTCACAACATTATGTTCAGTGTTCACAACATTATGTTCAGTGTTCACAACATTATGTTCAGTGTATACTACATTATGTTCAGTGTTCATTACATTATGTTCAGTGTTCACAACATTATGTTCAATGTTCACAACATTATGTTCAGTGTTCACAACATTATGTTCAGTGTTCACAACATTATGTTCAGTGTTCACAACATTATGTTCAATGTTCACAACATTATGTTCAGTGTTCACAACATTATGTTCAGTGTTCACAACATTATGTTCAGTGTTTACAACACTATGTTCAGTGTTCACAACATTATGTTCATTGTTCACAACATTATGTTCAGTGTTCACAACATTATGTTCATTGTTCACAACATTATGTTCAGTGTACACTACATTATGTTCAGTGTACACTACATTATTTTCATTGTATGCTAACATTATGTTAGTGTGTGGATTACACTATATTCAGTGAGTGTACAACCAATGTACATGTTGAAAAAGACATCTCAAGGATGCCAGTTTTGGAAAAGTAGCCAGAGTTGTTTAATAACGAGTGTAGCTACATGTAGCTATAAAGCAGGGGAGGCATATTCCTTCCTAACATATAACTGATTAATATCCTCCTCATACTAATTTTTCCTTGCCTATTTAAATTCACTTTACCTATTTTGGTTCCTTTTCACGTCCTGGCTTAGTAATGTACATTTCAAGCACTACATGTATTTAAGCATGATAATGACATGCCAAATGTGAACACTGTTATTTCTGACATATTTAGGTAGGTTCACAATTTGATTCATCAAGTTTCGGACCTGACCTCTATAGAATGTAGTGATTGATTTTTCATTACCCAATGAGCACTCATACATATGTTGAGTGCTCAGTTAGTACAAAATTAGTACTAAATTAGCACTCTTGGCATGAGTGCTCATGAGCGTGCTTTTGGCAGAATGCTAATTTAGTACTAATTTTGAACTAATTGAGTAATCGGCATATCTCCCTCGCCTGTGTTTATGATCAGTTTCAATGTGATTTATTCAGCGAGGCACAATTTATGTTTTCAAGTTGAATGCGATATGTGATATGTTTGAAATTTTGTAAGCACAAAAATACTCATTATTTTTTCTACATTTAGTATTAAATTGTGCTCATTTGCTAAATTTTCAGTTGTAAATCAGTGGAATTTAATATCACAATCATTCTTGGTGTATTGTTGTCTCAAATGAATACTTAGTACTATTGGACATCTTCGTTCACTTGGCTCCCTTCGGTCAATGAACGCAGTGGAGACCGAGCATGCGAAGATGACTATTGGAGAGAAAGATAGTGTTTTCTATTCTACATAATCATTTATACTCAATTTTAATCTGTTTTAGTTCTTAATTAATGAAATATGATGAAAGTGCAGTGTGTATTTTTATTACATCTTAAGAATGAATATTGTTGAAAATGTAGGGAATTTGAAAATTATAAAAAAAAACTTGATATTTTATCAAATTGAGCAGTGAATTTAAATATGAACAATTTCGATATTGCCATATCGCCAGGAACATATATAATTGATAGTTTGTAATGTAATACAATTTTATGACAGTTCATTATTAAAATATGGGATGGTGTGCTCTCTGATTCCCTCAATAAAGCCAAAATAGTTAAATTCATCTGTAACTTTCTTTTTATGAAAATATCAAGGCATGAAAAATTTATTGTCTATTAGATAAAAGTTGAATTTACAACTGGCTATTTGCAATTTTAAAAGACAATTAACATTCTTTAAAGTCAACAACAGTAATTTTTCAAGCCTTGATTGTAACAGAAAATGGTAAACATTAACTCAAATTATAACTTTGTGTGGCAACTTGCAAATCAAATATCATCAGCAATCAGAAATATTTTGAGGGATTTAAAAGAATGAATTATTGGAGTATTTAATATTTACTCAACTTTTTGTTTTCACACAATTATTGATTGTATAGAGATTCTTACCCAGTAATGATTTAGTTTAGACAAAAAGTTGAGTCTTAATAACTGGCATAAGTCTCACATTTTAATATGTTATTCAAAGATTGTTCATATTATACTCACATGTACATGTACCTCTATTATTTTGTTTTTTTTAAATGGAATAAAATAAACATATCCATGATGCCAAATTCGTTTTCTGTTTATTTACAAATTAATTTTTTTAGTTAAAACCATGAAAGGGCCTTAAAGGGAGAATCAGATCTATAGGGGGTGACAAAATTTTAAACACACAACATGTATAATTGACCTACCAATCTATTCCAATTACAATATCTCCCAAAAGATTCACAATATGTTATAAATTGGTGAAGTTATTAATGATAATAAGAATTCTTATAGAAAAATAGTACACTACTGTAAAAATCCTTAGTTTTCCTGAAATAAATCAGTTCTTTTGTGATTTTTAGAAAATAAACATGACAAGGAATGAAATGAGTCAAAAATATTCTAAAATTGGAACAATTTTTTGTTTAGCCTGCTCGCTAGATCTGATTCTCTCCTTAAAACACTGGTGGAACTTTGGGGCAGAGCCGCAGAGGCATCAGCTGAAAAATACGTTTCATGAGATACAAGCCAGGGGGGGCGAACCCCAAAAAATCTTTCATAATCATACAGTTTTTCACCATTTTGAGCGCTTCTCAAGTGATATTAGCCACATTTGGGCCAAAATTGTCAAATGTGAACCCCCCCCGGAAATTTTTGAAAACTGAACCCCCCTTGGAAAATCCTGGCTACGGGCCTGAGATAGGTACACAATTTTAGAGAAGGACATACAATCAATTGAATTCTATTCTAGTTTCGTTTGTTAGGTTCATACAATCAAATGAATTCTATTATTTTGTCTCAAATGAGTAGAAGCGCGAACAAATATGCCAAGTAATAAGCAACATGAGGAGCTTGAACATCGTTCGCCAAGGAATTTTAAAAGTTCTCTTCAATAAATAGATGGCGGAAACGGTCGACCAGGAAAAACACTCTTAGGCATACTGTAGGTTACTTTAATAATTCCAAGTTGAACACTGAAATGTTATTCCAAGGTAGAAAATAATTAATGCTTTTAAATAGAATGTGGCTGTGTGCAGCACTCGATCAACCAAATGGAGATCTTTGAACTATTATAAATTATTTTTGACATTATTTAGTATTTATTCAGAACAGTAAAATACGAAACATATTTACAAGCACGTAGGAAGATTTAGAAATGACTTCGTACATTCCCCTCCATAAGTTTGGCAACCCTAACTCCCCCATTGGATAAAGCCTATTTATGTTTGAATTTTTATTTGCATAGACTGTAAAGAAAATATTACTTTTAGAGCTGGATATATAAATTCACTTAATTTCGAAAACTTCCACTTTTTCTCTATTTTTTCAACAAAGACAATAGGTCTGATATTGATGGCAAATCTGATGAAGTTTTAAAATCGACATTCCCATGTTAAACCAATGGGAATTGATAGGTTTGTCGCAAGGCATATGACTGAATATCCATCTATCTGAGTTCTCGCCAAATATCCGTCTATCTTACATGTAGTTATCTTCAAATTAGGTAGGGAATTGAATTTGCAAACTTTATTTAACAAAAAGTGCTATGTATCTTCACGTTTAGCAAAGTTGTAGGCCTCCAAAGTCGAAATTATTTTTCCAGAAAAACCTCTCCCATTGAATTTACACAGGAAGCCAAACAATAATTTTTAAAAATGACTCTGAAGCACTTTATTGGTCACAAAGTAAACTTATACTTACAAAAAACTTAGACAATTCAATTTTCTATATATAAAATTAATTTTTGGTGAAACATTTACTGAATAGATATCCAGAAATCTGATTCGCCCCGAACCCACCATTTCCCATTGGTTTACATGGAAATGACAGTTTTCAAAAATGCATCAAAGTCTTCAATTTTCGACCTATTGTACATGTAATTGAGAATAAATTGGAATTGAAGTCAGGTTACATTCCCATCAATATTATTAGTTTACTTCTTCGCAGGTTATGTAAATAAAAAATCAAACATAAAGAGGCTTTAACGAAGCTTTAACAATGAGGGAGTTAGGGTTGTGTACACGTTCAGTGTCGCATTCACTCATAAAATATGCTTCAGCGAATTGTTAATTGCTTGGGAAAATATAGGTATCCCCTCATTGAAATGTTACTTTAATCAATGCTTATTTTGTTAATGTTCCTGGAAAAGTGTACATAGATAATGGTATTCACATGGCTGGTTATTCAGGTGGCTAAGGTCGATAGAAATAATTTTTAAATAAAGATGGCATGGTAATCGATCTGTGTTTATTTATAAATATTCTCTTGACACTGCCATGGAGTCTGTTGGTGCTGCCATCTTTATATCGGCACAGAACCTATGGTTATACATGTCACCAATAC